AAATAAATATATATATGTTTCTGGCTTATTGTATTGCATGCAATGTGTCAATGACATGTCTACTATTCAACAGTGAAATTTTTTCAGTATGACAAAGTTACTCAATTTGGTAGTGTGACATTACATGAGGTCACTGTGACAGTGGTGGTGGCTGAACTAAAGTGGTTGGTGTCTGGAACTTATGGATCACATGCTTCTTGATTACTCTAATCCCTAATCTTTAAGTTAAACACCAATGTTTAACTAACTCAATCATTAATCATTGGTATCTGCTTTCCATAGAATGTTAGTGTTTGAACAAAGTCACTCCGGTATCTGCTTTGCATCGAACATCAATGTTTGAACAAAGTCACCCTAGTATCTGGTCTGTGTCAAACATTAATGTTTAGTATCATCAATCTATGGTTGCTCTACATTTGGAACACAGGATTAAAAAACTGTGTTGTTCTTGTAAGTCATAATCCTGTGTCTAATGTTCTTTGTAGGCTAACCTTATGTCCCAGCTCTCAACAGTATCATGCTGGTTAATATATTTTGGAGGCCTGAGGAAATACTACTTTTCATGGGCAAGACAAAAAGGAGGCAGACTTTTGTAGCAATGTCTAACAGAGTGTGACAGGAAATCACTGGTGTTATAAACAAAATCAATCAGCTGAAGAAAAAAAATTGCTCCAGCAAGTTATATATATTAATCAGGCAACATTAAAGTGTTTTTTGACAACTCAGATTATAAAAGTGATGCCTTGAGCAACTCAGACTCCACACCTACTTTCCTAAATGTATCACCACTGGAATACCTACTTCTTGTGTCTTCATTGGCCCCTAATGTGTTATCCAATGTTCCAGCAGCTTGTGAGTGAATTCAGTAGTCTAAAAATTTTCTGGAAGGGCTTTCCTTGCCTTCTGCTCTTCATGAGCTGTGCAAGGCAGTTTTGACAGTTCCCAGAGATATCCTCAGTTCTCTACTTCCTAATGATGAAATACCAGTATCCAAACTATGAAAATTCAATATGGATTTTGTCCAGCTCATTTCTGACCAACTATTATCATTTTTTGAGACTGCTTTTCCTGTTGATTCTGTGGACATGGCAGCTCTAATACTCTCAGAAGATTTTGTAGACATTATGATGAAAGCTTATAGTCAGGCCCTTCTCAATGGAAAGTAGTCAATATGTAATCTATTCTCTCAAGGGAAGCTCTTACTTCTCTGGACAATTAAATTTTGACAAGCGTTACATCATGTGCATGCCATCAGAGACAAGTGGTTAGGTTCTAGAATGTCCAGAGATGGGCTACAAACATTTAGAATTGCCTGCATCCAGCTAGGCCATCTCTCATGGAACCAACCAATTGTAGGCTCAGCTGCATTCAGTCTGCAAACAACCCTTAAGTTAACACATTTATTATCTTCTGAATGGTTGTCTGATACCATTGTTGACATGATGGTCAAATTCCTCACAGTATAGTTATGAGGTATACACCCTAACATTGCCCTCACTGACAGAAGTTTTGGCTATGTAGTTTAAATTGCTGCAGACAGATCTAATTATGCAAACAATCACCTCCCATCAAAGCAGTTCTCAGAGTTTTGCAATGGAAAAATATATCTCTATACACCAGTATATCTCTCAACACATCTGCATTTTGTTGCATTTCAAATCAACTTCACTAACAAGTCTTTTTGCTATGAAATCTATAATTTTTGTGTATGATTGTGCTACTCAAGCTAACCACACAATAGGCAATTCCCTTAGTTTGGAACAGGACATGTCAATGTTTACTGAGAAGGTGCAATAGTGGTTGAAAAAGGTCTTTGGGCAGTCATTCTACAATCATAGCCTCACTCTGCCATGTGCTCAATTGTGGGACTTGTTATCTTGTAGGTTATTTGCAATTAATACCATTGAATACAACACATTTGGAACACCACTTAGTATCATAGACCCCATATTGGAGTGAGCAAGATGATTTGCCATGGTGGTAGAATGTCAGACTACAGGACACCAGCAGTAGCAGATTGCTGCATCCTTAAACACCATCACTGGTCCATCTTGTCAAGCATCATCTGAAATATCCATGGATATGTTGCTAGTGCATCATAATGAAGGAATATATCAGCAATCATCAACATGGGACAGGAAGGCTGAACTTTTGAAAATCAATCATAAAAAGGTGGATCAGATTAAGGCAGAGCATAAACAGGACACTTATGCACAGCAGGCTCAAGAACATGTTCCTCATGTACAAGAAGCTCAGGACTAGGCTGTGAAGGAGGCAGCTATATAAGAAGCTTAAGAGCATTATGACGCTCGGACCCACACTGGGTGGGAACAAGTGTCTTTTGATACTCATGTCAAGGCCTATAGAAACTTGTAGGAACTATGTCATTCCAGTTCCCTCTAGTAACAAGTTTCCTTCAGCTGATAACTAACTGGCATGCATCCGCACTTAGGACTATTCTCCATATCATCTGTCCATGTCCTTTCCATGTCCACCTATCTCCGCTGGTGCATGTTCATTTTTCTCGGTTTGACTAAATGATAGCGAGGCCAATTACATGTAACTACATATCCTGTTCTGTGTGTGCTCTCATTACATATTACTTATCTGCCTCATTTCATCGCTACAGTTCTCACCTACAGGTTCTGGATGCTCACACAGTAGGATAAAGTCTCGTGCATTACATACAGTACAATACTTCCCTTCCCTCAGATGCTACCTTTGTTTTGTGGATTTACCTTAGACATTCTTAATACTTTGACCAATTGACAAGCTTTGTTTATGCTTACTCTGAACCCGTGTGTTCTTGATCACTCTGAGAACGTGCCTTTAAGTTTTCTTTACCTAGGCTCTGCATGGATCCGAACCGCTCTTGGTTTCTGACTTAGCACCTCATACCTAGTTATACCTTGGCCATAAACCTCGTCTATACCTAGCTGCTACTTGCAGAACCATGCTTGACCTAGAACCCGCCACTTTTTACCTAGGATCCTCTCACTTTCATTTGTTTTGCATCACACACTCACCAGACCTGTGGTCTCGCTTTTGTTCCTATCAGTGGACTTGTTTTTCCAAGATTGCCTTAGTTCTTTCTGTATCACATTTGCTTCCTTCACATTATATTTGAAGGAAGTGCTTCATAGCAATCCTCTGGGGTCAAAACAGTACACCCGCACTCAGTTGGATTTATTAGTGCTCTAGCTTTCTTGCTGGCCAGTCACTATTACTTCTTCACAGCATGCTGAGAGAGATGCTTGTTGTCTTCTTAGATAGATGATCTATAGATAAACACCTATAAAAACAAATATCTCTATGGTCAGCAATTCAGACAAATACCAATAACTGATAACATGGTTGTTCGTGGGTGGCTTGTTATATACTACCCAAGGTATGTTCAGCTAAAGGTACTTCTGTAAGATCAGTAAATATAATGGTCAATCCAACAATATAGGATTAACAGAAAAACAAACAAACAATGGTCAGCCTGATAGTATGGCAAAGACCAAAGAATATAGAACTCTTCCTCAAGTTTCCTTTCAACAACAGTGCCTCATACCAACTATACTCCAAAAAGAATGGTGCAGAATTACAATGATCAACCTTCTCAGCACAAAACAGGTAGAATCAAAGATCAAGACTAGTCAATGCTTTATTATAGAACTCTTAGCTCAATATTGTACCTGATGTCAAAGAACTCACTTTGAGTATTCAAACAGACTCAGGAATGGACATCCTTGGATTTACTACCAAGTCCCCTCTTCAATAGCTAAAGCCTATCAGGCAAAGAAAACCTTGGCTCAGTATCACTAATCAGATGAGTGAGGTCAAGCTTCACTATCAATCCCTAAAGTCTCCCTACTAAGCTACTCTGAGTCTTAGGTGGATGTAGAGACAACATGAATTTTATGGAATATGCTTTTGGAAAAAGAACACCAAAGGTTGGTGAAAGTAAAACAAAAGAAACAGAAAAATAGGAATTTGGATATAACTGTAGCTATACCTTGCTTGCTTGTTGTTGTACACAGTGAGCTCACAGCTGGTTGCTTAGTATGATGAGTTTGTAGTATTTACTGTCTCTTGAGAATGTTCTTCCCAGTCTTGAATAGTTCTTGACACTGGTACTGACACTTATCACACCTCACTCACAACTTAGTGTTAGATGAGTTGTAAACTGAGTCTCTTTTTTGATTTATATAGGATATTTGTAAATGTGATTTGGTTAAATATATAGTTATGTTAACCCCCTGGCCCCAAAAAACAAAAATGGAAAAGCCTGTCAAATCAATTTTGGTAATGTATCATTAAGAAATCCAGTATATATATCATATATCAAGTGTAAATATAACCATTACATCATTTCACCATGAGGAAATTTCATATATCACACAAACTGATCACTATACCCACCCAAGATATCATTAATACACATATAAGTAACCTACTGTATTCCTCAGATGGCGTCAACATATGAACAATATATAGGATTATACACTTTCACATCCACATTCACAACAGTTCCATTGGTGTACTAACATAAGCAAATCAAATGAATCACACAAACACATGTGCATGAGATTCAATCATATACATATCATAAACTTCCACACTCGGCACTGTTCCATCTGCAGAAGCCATAACTTGATAGTATATAATGTACCTAAATATATAAATGTAATTGTCATTATATATTATTATATACATTGTATAGACTACGTATCGTAAAGTTCCACACTTAGCACTGTTCCATCTGTGGAGGTTATTACTCTATAGTACATAGTATATATACATAAAGATATAGATGTCAATACTCTATCAACTACATGTATACTAATTTAAACATCACATGACAATACCACATGATGCTCGCAGACCTCTAGAGAACATGAGGCAGAGGGCGGAGGGTACAGGGTAAATAAAAATGCTGGAAGCTGGATAGTGAAAAATTTAACTGTTAGTTACCTACCATCATGTTGCCCTACATTGTCATTTTTTCAATCTAAATGCCTCCCAAGAAATTGAAAGGCGGAGGAAAGAAAAGCAGCATAAGGAGAAGTGAGTATCTGACATTGAAAAGTGGAAGGACAGACTCACAAATGAGATACTAATGTGCATCAGGATGAAGGTGGATCACACCTGCACTTGGATCAAAGGCCAATAGAACCTGTGGGTCAGAAGAAAGACATCAGGCAAAGAGATGCAAAAATTGGACTCGTGGGTTGTGAAATGCAAAGCTGGCATTGCATGGGTAAATTCGTTGGATATTGCAGATACCCTGAAATTTGGGGTGTACAATGATCAACCTGAAAATGATGTGGAAATGAACAAATTGGTTGCATCCTTCAAGACAAGCAGTATCACACTGATGAAGGAGATGTCAGCAATCCCAATTATCATCAATATGAAACACATGGAGAACAAGAACTCACTGTTGAGGAATTTTGATGAACCGGAGAAGGTGGGCAAACTAAAAATGAAGGACCAGAATCCTATTGTGGTCACATCGGGCCAGCATTGTCTTTTGGCACTAAGATGATGCGCACAGTCCTTGTGCAACAAATTAGAAACCCTCAATAAGAAGCAAACCAAGATCATGGGCATGTCAAAACTGTCGACAGAAAATGTTCAGCATCACAATAAGTTATGGGCAGAACAGTGCAATATAAATATACTTGATATTCTCCACAACATCGGCAAGTGGGACATTATTATGTACAATCAAGGTGAGCTCTGATCCATTGTTGCCACAAGTGTCCAACAGTGTTTGTGAGCATACATATGTCGAACATCAGCGTGATGTATGGTGTTGAAGGAATATTGATGCACTTACTGTGTCATATGACCGCAGATAGGACAGTTCTATGCATGGATCATAGCATGTTAGCTATGTGGCTGATATATGACCACTCATATTTGGAAAAATGATATTCTCCGCACATGCCACCATTCTGAGCACGGATCATGTGTTGATAATCTGTTTGAGACACCATTGGCACAGTTCCTATGGCAAGCATTATCAAAATCATCAGAATTGTTATTGATGGACTTACTTGCAGATAAATTGCTTGTGGATGGGGATGACTTGGCCAACCATCTCAGTAGAAATAGTACCTTGCATGAGTACAAGGAGATAGAAGAGGAGTCGCTTGTCAGGGCATTGAAAAAAATTAAGGTCGTGTATGACACATTGCCTGAGAACAAATATGATACCCTGGCGACAAAAATGCTTACCAAGATTTGCACCACAGCTGATAAGAACTCATGTCTGCAGAAGGTGCTGCATCACAACAGACTGTGTCTCTTTCTTGCTACATGACTCCTGGCATTGGGACTGCACATCAGACATAGACAGGAATTTTCAGTGACATGGCTGTCAAAGTCCATTGACATTTGCATGGGAGTAAGTTCATTTTTCAAGGTTGAGAATGTTAGTGTTACTTACATTTGTGCAAAGATATATCTGTCTTGGTGTGAAATCTACATCAGCACTTTGAGGAAATTAGGGTTGCAAGACAAATTCATGAGTTATGCTACCATGATGAAACTGCAGGAACAAGCCGAAGAAGGGAACAAGGACACTATAAAACAAATCAAGGCATTGCATGAGTCCATGAAGAAGGGCAGTCAATGGTGTGACATGGCGATATGGGCCCAAGTCCTTGAGGCCATAGACAAACACACAAAAAATGCGTTCAGCAACATCATGAACATAATTGGAGACATGTCTCTGAAGTACATCATGCATTTAAGTTCCTATAGGTCAAAAGTCATCAAAACACTGTGGGACACATGACATCTAATGTCGAATGCCAATATCAAGAATAATGAAATTTTAACACACCTTGATAGCATCGTTGCATGTGTCATGCTTCACCTCATACCTCAGGAAGGCAAAACAGCAGCTCCAGAGCCATTGCTGGGAGGATTCACGATGACATATGCTTGGGCGTCGTTCATGAAGATAGAGAAAGGTATTGAAGAGGTAAGCTTCCCTCTATTTTAGGACATGTGAAGCGACTGGCTCACCTACGAATACATTCAAAGGTCTGTCGATGGTTCGAGACGCTCATTGACTATTATTGTGCGCTGCACCCCAAGACCCACACAATGGATGATTGGTTGAGCGTGATGTTGGTGAACATCGCAAAAGATCCATGATTCAGTGACCACAGACATAATAACCTCAGAGAGGTCAGCAACTATATTGATAGCATATGCATTTAAAGATGCTGATGTTAGCTCATACAGGTCACCAAAATCATTTGAACTTACAGATGTGCCTTGATGATGCAGTTGAACAACTGCATTGTGTATGACAAGCACAAGCTTTTGCCAAGACCACGCAAAAAGAAAGAAATCAACACCACATATGAGAAGCTACCAGCGGCTGAGACCATCGTGAGTGAGGCACTTAACAAATTTCTTCTATCAAAAAGGACGAAGAACAGCCTCAAAAACCATAACTTGACTATGGAAGCTCAAGCAATTGCAGGCATGATGTTACTGCACACAACCAGTTGGGATTGGCTGAGCCTGTCACTCAAAAATGGTCCTAGAGACATTGAGCCTTGCATTAGGGCTATAGCCATTGAACAGATGTACATAATGAAGTACTGCCCAAAGCTCTTGTGTGACAAGTATGTTAGGGCACTTCATAGGCTGATTGAGCAGGCTTTCTTGAAAAGGTACAGATATTGGGTGAGGCGGGAAGGTTAAAACACATACAGGAATGGGTTTGGTGGAACGGACTAAAGCTGGATGAGTCACAGTTAGATCCCAAGGAGGTCCTTGATAGCATTAAAGGCAAGGCCATCCTTAAGCAGCAATAGATGCATGACTGTCTTCTTCTTGAGGAGAAAGACTGAGATGCTCTCAACAAATTCATGAGCTATGTGATGGGCATGTCATGTGTTCACTCTGGTTCTGGTTCCAACTCCCTGCTGTCTGCTAATATCACACGTCCATTGGCAGAGGTCATCAAAGTAAGTCTTGATCTGCCATGGCCATGGGTCTATGTGCGGCCCATGTGTATGCGTGTTTTATTTTATGTCATGCAACTTCTACATCTGAGGGTACTTGGCACAAAACGGGGCATGTATATACATGGCCGCAGATGCCACTGTTTTATCCATGGCGAATCAATGAACTGATTTTTTCCATACACAGGAAATAGAGGTCAACCATGCAAGACTTCATTACTGTCTACTCAACAAGGACCCTACCATGTCTTTTGACATAGATACCCACAAAGTGGCCCTTGGTATTGAAATACTGGAGTCATATGAAGACCCCTTCATGATGGTAAGTCATGTCATCCTTTCATATATGTCATAAAACACACCCGATATATTCTTCCCTCTTACTCTATTCTCACATACATTATTATATTGAGGCATCGGCAAATGACGAAGAGGACAAACCATTGGAGAAGGAGCCTGCTCCAAAGAAGAAGAAAAAGAAAGGGAAGAGTCAAGCAGTTGATGTCAGGGGTCCTCCTGTCCTGGAGCAAGACAAAGGACCAACAGATGCACCTGCATGCTTTGAGTCTGCACCTGTTTATCATGTCGATGATCCTCCTGTTGATGCACACACTCCTGTTCCTCAAACAGAGTAGTCCAAGCAACCCAAGACTTCATCTGGTAAGCCCAAACCATGTCCTGTCCTTCGCAAACAATGGCAACCATCACCTCATAGCTTGGACAACGATATCGAAATTCTTGATGACTCACTCAACTCTGTGGGTCACAATGTTTGCACTAATGATAATGGTACATTTGTGTCTCTTTATTTCATCATCGCGCATTCATAAATATTTCATCATCTAGTCACAATGAGTCAGTTCAAACCAATGAGTCATTAGGTATATAGCTAAGTCATCCTGGCTTGTTGCTAGTCATGTGACCTATCCAACTTCTGATGACAAACCTAGGGAGGGAGTGAAAAATATCACATCATGTGAATTTACCTCATCACATCACCATTATTTAAATCCCAATCATCATAGGTCATTGTTTGTATTAATATAATTGTGCTACTAATTTCTAATCTAGATAGCATTCTCTGTTCATGTCATGGCCTCGTTAGTTCACTTTTCTGGCCCTCCATACATGTCTCCTCTAGCATTTCAGATGTCATCCTTAGATTAGATAAAGAGTCTTGTTTATGACAATACAACTACTTATTATATAATCATCAATACCACTTCTATTACAGCATTTGATACACCTGTTTGTGTTCCCTGTCTATGGATTATGAACCTCAAATACTATACATGGCACTTTATATCTGGTCATCTAGTTGCATTGAAAAAGACTAAATTACGACTATATTTTTGAAGAGCTTAATATCTGGATGTGTTCTTTTGGTTTTTAGTTATCCAATGTTTTACTTGAGGGCTCAATTAAAGAGTCTTTATGCACCCTAATCAGCTTGTTGGCCTAACTTATGCATCAAGCTAACCTCTTGTTTGCAGTCTAATACTTCTTGAAACATATAAGTCTTGAGTCTGACCCCTCTTATGCTATCCATATGCTTGATGATTTCTTATAATGGGTGGCATTGTGTGGTACATTGCATTACATTATGAACCATCAAGTTTATTGTCTGTCAGACTGTCTGATTTTTCAACTAATGCTTATATACACTATCATGTAGACCACACCAGTCTCCATATTGACAACACAGTCTCTCAGGCTGATATCAACCTCTTGCTAGAGTTAATAAACAAAGGTAGCTTCTGGCTTACCTTTAATACCTTGACTAAGATACAAAAATAGCATAAAAAGTGGTTGTCTGAAAATGAAGTTTGGTTTGAAGATCATCTGTAAGACATACATTCATGTAAGAGGGATGTGGTCATCATCTATGCTCAGTGGGATAGAATCTAGTACCCTAAGTGAAAGCCAAACAGTACATAAAATAGTTAATATTTAATGACTCATTTCTACTTTTATTCTAGAAAAAATCAGAAAAGGTGCTTTCTAGTTTTGCCATCATTATATTTACATTCAATAATTATAAGTCTCTCATAATATTTATTTTAAACTAATAACTAATTATATTGAAAATAGCTAAACTCATTCTATGGTCTTTTAAAAGTAAGCCCAAAAAGAATAAAAATAAAAATAGTAAGACCACCAAGTATCTCAGGAAACCAGTCAAATGAAATGAAACTAGTAAACAGTAGGAGACACAAGATACTTCAACAGTCATACACAAAACTTTTCAGTAGATGCAAAAATTGCAAGATGATAATGAGAATAGTAAAGTGTGTCATAATAATTAGGATAATCATATATATTGTGAGCAATAAAAAGTTGGCAATGTACCTCATCTGACATGTAAGAAATACACCAAGGCACCTTCATCAAGAACATAGTACTATATAAAAAGTAAGCTAAGAATTTCTAATAAAGAAAACACATACTAAGAAGTTAATCAGAAACACAATTTAAGAAAGATAACCATATATGAAACTGAACAAGTTAAATGGACAGTAACTTATATCCTTGCCAGGCAAATGTCTCAAATACCATAAGCACAAAATAAAAGATAGTAAGAATGGAAAGAGAAATTTGTTAGATTTAACATTCATATAACAAATATACATAGAAAACTAAAAATATGAACCAAACACAGTAGTTGGAGCCCAGACAAGACAAGACTTGGCATTTAACTATCATAGTGTATAAGTAGGGTTGAACTAGATGTAGGCAATAAGGTATATACCAGAAATTTGGAATGGATTGACCATCTCATCTATACTGTTTGCATCATCCGCATCATCCTGGCCTAATTTGGCCATCCAGAAATGTTTCAGAATGCTTTTGGAATTTATTGGAACTTCAATATTTTAATTCTTGCCACCAGGCAGCACAACACCCTGCATGCTGCTCATTGTCATTTGTCATGTTTGTGCAAACCAATTATCAATCTTCTCTACCTAGGGCTAACAACTTCTACCTTAGGTAGAGGTGGCTCTAGTGCATTGTGCTTTCTCAAGAGTCAAGGGATGTTTTTGTTCACTTGTCTATGAATTCATTCACACAGTGAGATTATCAGCAGCATGTTTCAGTACGATGGTCATTTGTCAGTTGATAGGAATGAATCTAATGCTGACAGGATGAACAGGATGGATAGGATGGACAGGATGGACAGGATGGACAGGACTTTCTAACTTTCAGGTTCCCTTGCAACAAGCATTGGGTCCCTGGTGGAGGGTATCATGCTTCTTATACTGAGTTTGGTAAAAAATTAGGTGTATATTTATTATAGAACCCTTCTCCACAAGTGAAAGTTAGTAAATAGTATCACAGGACTATGTGAATAAAAAAACCATTTAAAGCAGGAATATATTATAGCTGTTTGTATATATAATGGTACTGGCACCTCAATATAAAATAATAATAACATAGACTAAAAAGGACTTAGTGATATTGTGATGAGTTATAGTATCATAACATCTTAGCTTCTAAGTCTACTGCAACATAGGTTATAACCTAAAGATATTCAAAAGTGCAGAATTTATCAATGACTCTTGTAGCTTGGATGACAATGTAAAGAGTTGATCCTATGTAGGCACTATCAAGTGAGTACCTTGAAACTCAAAAGTGTGAGTATAATTCAACCCAAACTATCTCTTAAATATCAATATAAGAGATGTCTGTTAAGATTAAAGATTGAAAGAAGGAAAAGTTATACAAGGTATGTCTGAGGTACCAAAGTACTTGTGTGATACAAGTGAAGATATCTGAAGTTAAGAAATGATGATCCAATGGTGTACAGAGATTCTAAAGAGCTTGCAACTAAACAACAAGGTTTTAGAGAGAGAGTATAGTGAGTATGTTAAAGTATGTTGAAGTATAAAACTTGCAAGAGTACTGAAGTATGACTATGCAAAGCCTATCAAAAGAATTTAAAGATAGCAAGATCCTTTGTGATACTCAAACTCCAATGTGTGGATATAGTGCTCAAGTAATTCTATAATTCTGCCAATTATATCAGAGGAGATTTGGAACTTTGTGGTAAAATCATTATCTGGTAAGTAGTTCTGTGGGCTAGTAAGCATTTGATGATATTTGAGTGTCTATATAACTTACTGTTAAGTCTGTGTAATGATGAGAACCTCGACAACAGTCTACATGAACAACATTGAGGCATCTGTACCAGGTGGATATTGATTTACTAATGCTAGTTAGTTATGGTTATAGATAGTGACCTGAAGGGAGATCTACTATATAACAGGCATATGATTGAAAATATGCATGCTTGATTTTGAAGGTTCAACAAGGGAACAAGATGAAAAGATACTAATGTATCTATTATGTTAATCAATGTTTGTTTTGCTAGTATTTTACACTATTGTTTCTTTACTCAAGCTTCAAGTCTTATTGGTTGATATATTTGAGCCTTTCTTCTGCAGGGCTGATAACACACTTTGTTTAGAGCATGTTCGGATAGAAATATTTGCATGAAGTTTTGAAATATTGATCACGCAAATTCGTCGGCATTGTGCCGAAAGTTTGTCGGAGCTTTAATTAAATCAGCAGCTGTGATCAATTGATATTCAAAGGTATATCGCATATCATATATCTCCTCGTCATGGATGCTCAAGAAGATCAATTCGAAATGGATCGTCAACGGCTCGCCTTGCTCGTTTCCAATCCTCAACCGGAGGTTCAGGATCGTCTTGTTAAATGTATAGGACTTGTTATCAGTATAGTAGTCGCTGCAACACATGGTACATTGCAGACCATATATCCCAAGGACCGACAACCATATCACACCTCGACCCTCTCTGGGCAGGACTGGGTTATTGAATTACTAACTGGTCACCCAGAGCGCATCCGCTGTGAACTTGGCATGCATGCCTCTGCCTTTGTGGAGCTTATCACTCAGCTTCGTGCTATGGGCCACTCAGATTCCAAATTCATCTCCCTCGAGGAACAACTTGCTATCTTTCTGTACGCTTCGGTGACCGGCCTATTAGTCAGACATGTCGGGGAGAGATTCCAACACTCAAACGAAACAATATCTAAGTACATTTATTTTTATCTAGGATGCAGTGGATATCTGACTCTAGCGCATAGGTACTTTCGCAAGATCCTCGTTTCTTTCTCCTCCAAACCATTCTATTCAACATACGTCTAGTTTCCTGATGGGTCCGTCCCTCGCGAAGTCCACAGAAACCCTAAGTGGTGGCCTTTTTTTAAAGGTGCCATTGGTGCAATAGATGGGAGCCATATTCAGGTGACCCCCAGGGCTACTGACCATGCTGTGTATCGTAATTGGAAGGGGTTCCTATCTCAAAATTGCCTTTTTGCGTGTGATTTCGATCTCAAATTTACCTACGCGCTCACCGGCTGGGAAGGCTCTGCAACGGACGCTCGTGTTTATGAAGATGCGTGTCTGAATGACTTCGAAGTTCCCCCACGCAAGTATTTTCTTGCAGATGCGGGTTATCCACTCCGTCCCGACTTACTTGTGCCATACCGAGGTGTGCACTATCACCTAGCTGAATGGGGATGCGCAAACACCAGGTAGGTCCTTTTACTTGAATCAAGCTCAATTTGGAACTCATCTTCCCTACAGGCCTGCTAATAAAGAAGAACTATTTAATTTGCGACACACATCAGCAAGAAACGTCATCAAGCGCATCTTTGGCATTTTGAAGCGTCATTTTCGGATCTTGCTGTTGCCGCCTGCATATGCCATGGAGTTGCAAGCGCGAATTCCCGCCGCACTGTGTGCTGTTCACAACTTCATCCGCGTGCATGATCCCACAAACATCCCCACCAACGAGGCCGACAATGAAGATGACGACGAAGACTGGCAGGGTGGATATTCTGGTGGAAATGCCAAAGAAGACAATATTGCGGCTATCGAAGAAGATAACGAACTTGAGTTTCGTCAAGGATCTGCGATGTGGAATGACTATCAGTGCATCTTGTTAGAACGTACTTTCGAAGGGATAGATCTTGATGAGGGGGATGAGGACCTCGAGGACGCTTTTGATGAGGATGAGGATCAGGACAGTTTTGCTTCAGAATAATTCACACTTCAAGTACCACTTTGTAGCCTCCAAAATCAGACAAACATTGATGCATTGCGACAGTTGTGAACATGTAGTATTGTACATACATTGAAACGAAAGCAAGCAGTAAAGAACAAGGTACATGATATATTTTCAGCCCGCCATTGCATCTGTGATGAGCTTCTCAATAAACGGACACCTGATTGCTTTGTCTGTGAGGGACACATAGAACTTCAGGAATCTCTCGTTGTTCTTCTCACCAAGGACCATTATCAAGACGGCACGCTGGTCAGCAGGCATGTCGGCATCCTCAGTTTGCAGTAGGTGTGCCGCGCGTGTTACCAAGTCCATGCTGTCCTCAGGCTCAGGCACAGGTGGAGGCGGAGGCGGAGGCGGAAGGGTACCATTATTCATGGAACTAACAATGAATTTTTCAAAGATATCTGTCAGACGGTTGACAGTGCCCTGCAGTCCCATCACGGCAGCAGCAGGCGTGATCTTGGCGGCCTGTGTTGCACTGCTCATCTTGGCCACATTAGTCATCTTCTGAGAGACGTGTGAACGTGCTTTCTTTGAGGGGGGGGGCGGACACCAAGGTGGTGGAGACCGGCTGAGCTGAATCATGGGTCAACGCAAATGAAGTGGTCTCGACAGAATCCACATTGGTGCCCTCATAAGGGCGCTTGGCACCAGCAGAGCTGGTAGCGGTAGAGAGACCACCGGTGTTAGAGTGAGGACCGGTGGTGAATGAAGGGCCGGTGACAGATGAATGATTGGCAGTGGTGGAAGGACTGGCAGAAGAGAGGGCTGGAGCCTGAGCAAGGCCAGGCTCATCCTCATCAGCGTCTGGTACTGGTGGAGGACCCATAACACCTGGGTGGAAGGCATGGCGCCCTCTAGCGCCACCCAAGGGAATTATTTCCTGCATTTTCTCAAAGTAAGGCCAGCCTGTGTTGCAGAATGAACGCATGTGAGAATTGGACTAAAAAATGTTAGCTTTTATTTGAAAAATAAAAGGGGCTGACGTACACTGAGCGCAACATATGAATCCCACACAGCGGACACTGCAGGGCCATGGATCCCAGCTCCATTGGCACCGTCCCAGTGTGTACCAGTCTGGTTGCGGTATTTATCGATAGCGTGATGAATAGACTTGAGCTGAAATATTGAATCAGTAAAGTGAGTGAAGGACAGAGTTGGATGGACGCACTGATGCCCACTTGCTCTTCACCATATTGACGGTCTTTGCTGGACCGATCCGCAATGGTTGAAGGTTGGGATCATCGTTGATGACTGTTAGTGCAGAAGTATACACCTGTGGCTTGAAGTTGCCGGAGGTATCCTTGCACAGTTATCATACATATGATTAACAAGTGCGGTGATTTCTTTGTTTCTCCAGTGTGCAGGTGTGTGCCTTGTAGGGATTTCATGGGCCTCAGGTTGAGCCATGATAAGATTGGTATATTGAGTACAGATCGCAGTGATCGCGATGACACCAGCGATCAGTCTATTGCGCTGGTGGATATCAAAGGAGGAGGAGGAGCAAGAGATCTCCATCGATTAGTATGTACAGTAGGAGACAAGGAAGGTTTAAGCTCCGACGAACTTTCGGGACAATGCCGACGAATTTGTGTGATCAATATTTCAAAACTTCATGCAAATATTTCTATCCGAACATGCTCTTATTGTAACATACAGTCCAGGCACTCTTGGCATGATATATAATCTCTGCTTCTACTGGTGGATATTATATTTGATGTCTAATATATGATAGTGGTTATCACTTCTCTCACCTGCTAGTCATTTCATCAGCCTTTGGTTTTTATCTAAGCTCTACTTACTTATGTGAGGTATTTCAAATGCTGAGGACCTCTTTGTCAACTTGCATCTGTCCCCCTCTATGACTCTATCTTTAGAACATCTGAGTGCATATTCTAATCCTTCTGTTATATTGTATCCTCCACAATCTATACTACTTCCATTATAAACATATTATTGATATTATGATTCTAAATATCCCAAGTCATCTGGTTATGCTTAAGTCCACCCTGCTCACACTAAACATTCACTTCTTAACCATCATTACCTTCTTTGAATTCAAAAATGTCAATGCTGCACCTCTGTAGTATCAAGTTGTGATGATTGAGAGTGCAGCTAGACTTAAAAATTCTGTAGGCTTAGATAAATGAGGATGCCTCCATAGTGGTCCAAAATTTGAAGCTAGAGACCTATGAAATATATAGCCTTACAATCCTCTAACCACATCTTCTATTGCCCTACACATAGATACTTAAAAGATGGATTAAACAATATCACTAGAAGGACATACCTTAAGTTATTATAATAGCTTTTGTAGCCACCTAAACTTGTGTGATAAGGCTGACTTGCTGAAAGTAGGAGACCCTTCTAGGATAGAAAAGATATTTGGAGTTGAAATTATGTTGTCTATATATGAATCCTAAGTTGAGATCATGTAGCTCCAGATAGTAGCTGTGGTGCTAAGCAAGAACCATAATATAGAATAAAGGGATATCATGATGAAATATACAGTTATGTAAGGCAGGGGCTACAAGGTGGTGGTAAGCATTCTCTCTATCAGAAACCTTAATTTAAGGCTTAGCTAGGTGATTGTAATTTCCCTGAACATTTTCACAGAAGACAAAGCTAATGTGATGTTCTGTGCATATAATTATGAGCCTAGCAACAATGATATGACTAAGATGAGTCACAATTTCCATCACTCCGGCATACCCCTCAGTTTTTGTAGAAAATGACCTAATAAATATAAGTGCTATAAGAGTTTAATTACACTGTCAAATTTGCTCTTGTATATAAGTTGTTACGTTTATTGCATGTGAACTTATATCTTATGGCTCCAACTCCACCAACCAGAAATAACCCACTATACCTAGATAGCTTGCAACTCCTTCTGACCCCTGCTTCACTTACCCTTCTTGCTTTTATATTGCATATATCCACAGTGCTGGGGGTAATCTCTACTGGTATAGAAATACAATAATGGCTAGACACTGTACAAAGTAAGCATCTAGCCAAATATATATGTGTTGTGGTCTTATACAGCCTAGTCTGCTATACGTGTGAGATAAATGTATTTGACCTAAGGGGTTGCTGTTTGGTAAAGTAAAATAGTTAGTTATACAAAAAGGAAGATAGTTCAAAGACAAAAACATTGGATCTGATACTTTTGGGTCAGGTTAGGTGTTGGATTGCATCAGATTATGTTGGGTTATATTGGTTTATGTTGGGAATGTGTTGGAAGGGTAGAGATTGTCGGTAGAAATAAATGTCTTGTTACTATTGGATGTTTCAGAATATTTCAGATAAAAAAATAATGATATTAATCCAGTAAGAAACTACAAATATTGGATGACCTCCATCCTACTCAGAGGTAGAAAGGTAAAGTAAACATCAGGAAATCAGAGAGTCAGTGGTATGACTAGGTAGAGTTTATAAACCTTAGTCAGTTAGTGAATTATTGGTCAAACTTCATAACATATGATAATGTATTGCCAAGGAAGTGCCAAACTGATAGAGGATGATTAAGTCTGTATCATCTAGTTGATTGATAGTCAGACTTGATAATAAATGATAACTGGTTGTCACACTAGTGCCCCATTGATGGAAGGTAATCAGATCTTTGTCAACTAATTGAGTAACTGTCGGACTAAATAATGCATTGTAAGTGGTTGTCAGAAATTAACTGGCAATGGTTGATCATTTGCCAGTGAGTTGTTTGATGATAATATAGTAGCAAGTCAAAAGATAAGAACAGGCACTTTCTGAGAGCATGATGTAGCCAGAACACTATTGGTGTCTAGGCAAGCAAGCAAGTAAAAATGTCATTAGCAGTACTGATTTTGCTATAATACAAGATATGTGTGCAAATGAGTGACTCACACAATGTGGGTGTATTCTGTCTGTGTGTGAGAAAGTGTATAGAATTTTGGAAGCCATGGTGTATCAACTTGGCGCTACAATCCAATTAAGGAAATTATTGAAAAAAAAATTAAACTAACTCATCTACTATTGGTATAACTTGAATGCTAGTGCTAGCTGTACATACAGTATCCGATCATTATCAAACACATTCCAAACTATAATCATCTACATACAATGGAACAAAATAACTTTTTTGAGACTCCTGTCAAACTGATCATAAGTTAACTGATAAAGTTTTCTATAAACTACTAAGCACTAGTACTTAATTAGCCAAGCCCTCACTGGCAAACACCTACTCTACCAATCATATGCAATTCAGCCATTATACATACACTATTCAAATTTTACATTGTAATATCAACAAAACTTCACGAGATCTGGAACATCATAATGGTGACAGCACAAGATTGCCTTCAGACTTATTGTTCAGTATTGCCACCCGATCTCATTCAGACTACTATGGAGGAAAAATGTTGGTTAACGTTAATGGCACTCCAGAAAGAGTATGAGCTTCAAGACTACTTCAAGAAGTTGGATAAGGCATGGTGGGAACTCAACAAAGTTAGAAAAGTTTTGGGTATTGATAGAAATTAGTGTGGACAGACTGGGGGGAAAGAAATGAACAAGCCAGATTCAGAAAGGTGGAAGTATTTGTATAGTTCATAGGGATCAGTGATTTTAGACATGTTCTCTGAGAACCTCAGCAGCATAAATAAGGGCCTAGAGAGTAACACAATCTGTTTGGGTGATGATACCTGCCAAAATATCTTGGGCTCTGTGAGGAGCTTCATAACTGACCAATAAAAGTTGAGACACACCTCACCAATCAACCACACACCAGCATGTCTCAAAATCTCCCCCATGATAAAGCAGATCAATTGAACTTACCATGACACTGGCATAGATACCATCAGTATGAATAGACCTTGATGGAAACATGAGGAAGTAATGAGCTTTGAACCAGGCATCAATGTTGCTAAAGGGTGCCATGAACAGGGGAAACCAGCCTGGAGAGGAAGTACTTACTCATTATTGTGGTTACCTGGGGTAGTAATGATAGTCTGCAACAAACCAGTCATCTGCTACACCTCTGAACCACCCTTTGAGTGGCCAAGCAAGCTTTCCTGAATAATAACAGGAACAGTATAAAGAGTTGATTCTATGTGGGTGCTACAAATGTTGTTACCTTAGAACTCAATGTGCAAGTGTAATGTTCGTTCCAAAGAGACTGCCTATAGAAATATCTTTTGATATAAAATGCAAGGGATATCTTGTTAAGATCAAAGTTGAAAAAAAGGGAAAGCTACTCAAAGTGTGCTTAATGTTCCGAGAATGTGTCCAAAGTACCAAAGTACTCGTCCGATGTGGTCCAAAGGTGGTCCAGCATCAAGAAACAAAGGTCCGAGGTTGCATGAAGCATCTGAAGAGCTTCCAATGAACAGCAAAGGTTCTGAGAGTGAAATATGGCAGTTATGTCAAAGTATAAGGCTTGTGAAGTATGACTAAGCAAAGCCTATTGAAAGAACTCAAAGACAACAAGATGCGAAATAGCAGTGGTCAAGCCAAATAATTGTTCCGAATGAATAAGATGGATCAATTGCATGAAGTTCAACTATCTAAAAGTGACTCTACTAACTATGACTCATAGCAAGGGAAGTGAAGTGAAGTGCAAGTAACTGGTGAGCCTGATTATATCCTATAGCGTGAAAGTCCAGAAACTGTGTAGGCAAAGTAGTAGCAAGATAAGCTATCCGAAATGTAATAAGACTTGAGGCAAAATGGGCGGGTGTCTTGGAAGAACATATACGTTGAAATGGTCATCGAGGTGGTAGCGGTTGGGACATGCTTTACTCCCTGATGGTACTCCATCATGGTAGGCTGACGCCGGTGGAAGGCAGTTGGGTTGTGCATGTGTATGATGGATGAATACACTGCGAGGCGAGGGCATGCCTTAAGGAGGTCGGAAATGACTTCTTGTACCTCGAATCCTTCAACGAGTACATGTCGGATGTAGATGGTGACAAGTGGTATGGTCAGGCATGCGTGAAGCGATGTAGCACCAAAAGCAAACACATGCTCCACCTGATACCTGTAAAAAATACCGTTCATCGAGGGGCAACACTAACACAGCACAGAAAAGTTACTCACTGCTTCACGCAGGTTTTCAAAAGCTGGAATGAGTCCGGCACCCGTACCGTGTGCCCACAAATCAGCATCCAAAGGGTAGCTCCCCTAACATAATCCTCAATCCCACTGACAAAAAGTCCTGCAAAGAACTGCAAAGGATTACATGCCATAAAGAAGGGGAGGTATCCAACTCACATCGTCCACAGGGTATGCGACAGGATCGCCTGGTATTGCGAGTCTATTCCTCCCTTTTCCCACAAACTCGTCATCCTCAAACCCACCCCATATGTCGCCCTGGTCGGTTTCTGAATGAGTGTAGATGAAAATTTCAACATGCTTGTATTCCAGGTGTTTCAGGCAGTCTACGAGTGCTTTCATGGACTCAACATGCAGGTCAGCTTTTGCATCCATCCCAATATCAAATATAATCTCATGAAATTGCAAGGCATCATTGGGCCTATATGGTCGTAGCTTATGTTGCATTGTGGTCGCAGGTGATCCGGCAGGGTCGAGGATGGTGAGGATGAAGTGCAAGACAAGGATGGGATTGCTACATATCTGCGACCAACTGGCCATTTCTATATGACCATGAATAGTAGCGGGGACCTTCAGCACCGGGGTTCCATCACAGTCCTTAAATCCCTAATTAAAGTCAAATAGATATATCTCCAAGAGATAAAGAAAAAGCTTACAAAGTATGGCATCATGGGACCACCCCTGGAACCCTTTCCACGCATCTCATGGCATCCAGGGCACATGAAGTGAACATCGGGGTCGTTGATACGCTCTTGGAACTCCACCGGAACAACGACACACTTTGTACAGACTACGTGTGGGCATATGGAGCATTCATACAGAGAGCCTCCATCCCAGCAAAAAAGGCAGAACTTATCCAATTTTGTGAGCTGCACACTAAGAAGAGGACCAAGGTTTGTAAACTTACGATGTTATGGTACAAAGGCTTCAGCACGGCCTTCTCACCCAATGGTAAAGCTCCCTTAGATTGTACGGTTTTGAGAACCTGAATACCACCGTGGCCCATAAGCTTCTTGAACTTTAGTAGCACACCACACTTGGCAGACCCTCCTGTTGTCTTTTTGCAAGTCTGCTTTGTCTGTGCCATAGCGATGGGTGAACGAAGGGTAAAGTGAAAGCAGGAGAAGACTCAGAATTTACATAACATCAATTCAACGTCCACTCTCCAATACGTAAGGCTACAAGTTCCAAATGAGAACATTTGGTGCCCACACACTCCCACTATGATAAGCCTCAAGTGACCGTAATCAAAGGTTTATATTTCAAAAGCCACATTTAGACCTTGTCTAGACGTATGACATATTACTGCAGTGTCGTGGTGGCTAATACATCTGAATCATCAAGAATCTTGGCCCATCTCCACCACATCAAACACTCAATTCATCGGTTTCTTCCATCCTTACTGGTAGGTTTTTCCGCCAAGGACTGGGCAATGTTTAACTCGTGGGATTTTTGTAGCAATGCAGGTGGGGGAGGCAAACGTGTCCTCTGGACTGCTATAGTGGCTGCCCAACGTGCACATCCTGACTGCGTCTCATTAGTATATACTGGAGACATTGATGCGACAAAAGAACAGATTATAGCTCAAGTTGAAGCACGCTTCAATATCTCTCTTGATCCCAAATCTTTACATGTTACGGTTCTTAGGCTTACCCTGTCACCTCTTCACCACTTCACCTCTTCACCTTGTCACCTTTCACCCTTTCACTTATTCACAGAACTTCACAGAACATTCTACCTAATTCCTTAGCGGCATTTATCCCATTGGACGCTTACCATTCAGACTCCCCTTGTATGTTAGAGCTCCACTTCATTCTACGTATATATAGTCAGTAGATACCCTGTATGCTTCTTTAACTTGACCTCAGCAATCTACCTTGTAAACCTATGGCTAGTAGTAAAGGGGGTTCATTGTTAATCGTAACATTACATTTCGTCTTCCCAAAGAGAAGACATTTAGTGGAGGATGCCACTTGGCCGCATTTTACACTTCTTGGCCAGAGTCTTGGGTCCATGTTCCTCACTTGGGAAGCTTTATCCCAAGTCATTCCAGACTTATACATTGGTAGGTCTACTTGTTTTGGATGCTGCAGGGCTATCGATGCTCATACTGCTTAGACAGCATGGGTTACGCTTTCACATTCTACATAGCTGCATGGATCACTAAGGGGTCCATACCTATGGATGTATATATCCATTATCCAACAATCAGTACGGATATGCTGGCCCGTGTGAAGGCCAGAAAGGCGGGTCATACCAACTGCAGAGATGTCGCAGGCTCGTTGGTATTGAGCCGTGGGAAGATGTGGTGAGTACAAGTGATCCACCTTTTACATTCCCGCTCTGTTTAGAATTTTATCTCCTGCTGTGGTTCCATTTGTGACTGGTACTTATCATAACACACCTCATAGGTATTACCGTTTCCTAATATATCACTACTCCTTGGCGCTCTCCCGCCCTTTATTATGGCAAACTCCAGCTGGACAAAGAATCATGTCGATGCAATACTCTTGCACTCTGACCCCGTCATGAACGTAATGCACTTTCTCAATCCCCTTTTTATCTTTCATTTCTTTGCAACTACATTCAAGTCAAAGAAACTCCACGCCAATTCAGCAAGCAAGAAACCAGAAGCCAAGATTGTCTACCTGCCATGTGATACCCGCGAGATGGCACAACTCCCATTGGACGAGAGGGAAAGAATCATTCTGAGTATCGCACAATTCAGGTATATTTCTATTCTACTTTACATTTGTTACTGGAGCTCAAATGTCGCTCGTAAAGGCATCCTACAATCATCGAACTTGACCCAGTCTCATTTAGCGGATGCTGAGGCTGTTGCTCACATCTGTTACGTCGACTGTAGGTCGGCGTGTGCGAACTAGGATAGGTCTTCTCAGCGACGACTCGAGTGAGTCTACTGAAGCTGAGCGTGGTCTAGCCTTGACGGAACGTCAAGGATTCCTCCGGCGATCTCGGTAAGACGGCGCTCGTCGAGATGCAGGGCTAGCGGATACGTGCAGAGGCGTATGGAGGCGACTCTGAAGTGCGGTCTCACACAAGGAAGCGGTTAAGCTAAGATGAGCAAGTTCTTGGTAGAACCTAGTAGATTAAAGTAAAGATCAATCTACAACAATGTGCCTACTTATACATAGTGTATGTAGGTGTTCAAGCTCAGTCTGTAATCTATAGTATATCTCTAATCTAAGATAACCAGACATGAGGTTAGATAAAGTACATGAGGCTTAGCCTCTGATCATACATGCAGCGCCAAGTGCAGCTGCGCATAGGTACAGGAAGCGCCAAGCGCTCCGGGTCTTCATACATGAGGCGCCAAGGGCGCTCCGGATCTTCATGAAGCGACATGCTGTATACATGCGCTGATCTAGGGTGTACCATGAGGCGTACAGCCTCCATGGAACAGGTACAAGGCCGTCTAGGCCAGGGGCGGGGTCATAGCATCAGGCGGGGTCATAGCGCCATGAGGTGGGGTCATAGCGGTCCAGACCGCTGTCTTTCTAGGCGCAGGCGGCGCACCGCCGCGCGGGGAGTCTAGCAGAGCGGGGGCAGGTGTAGGGAGAGCTGGGGCTCTAGTAGGTGTTACAGATCCCTGTAACATTACCCCGTTACTAAGGTTGAAGTCACCGGCTTCAATTAACACTACGTCCAAAGGCTGGGAGGACGGTGCGGGTGTCGAGGGAGTTGCTGGCACAGGCGTGAGGGGTATCGGCGTCGCGGGCATAGGGGAAGGTGGAATAGGGAAGGCGAGCGCGAGGTCGGCGAGTGCTTTATGGTTCTGCTCCCAATCTAAGAGAGCTTCGAAAAACTTCTCTTCATCTGAAAACTCTTGGAGCACGATGCGTCCCTTGAGTCCAGGGCAGTGGATCGATAGATGATCCGGTCCAATCTCGCTGCAGATGCAGCAGACGTAATCAGGACACTGTCTAAAAGTGTGCCCATATCCGCCGCAACGCTTGCAGAGCGTGCGGGTTCTATCCATCGTGGCCGTTCTCTTTCTACTGGGCAGCGGGCGCACGGGTCTAGTTTCTTCTTCGGCGCGAGGCTTTGCTGAGGCCGTCCTCACCGCGAGGTTCACAAGGTCGGGGAAGTCGAGCGGTAGGAGGTGAAGCGCCATTGCGCGAATTCTTTTCTGAAGGTGGAGCATGGCGAGCGTCCGAGTACCTTCGTCTATATCTGTACGAAGTGCAGGCGTCTTCTAGCATCTTCGTAGGTCTTTATGATGTGCACAGCGAGGGACGTGCTGGCAGCAACAGTTGCGCTCATGTCACCGAGGATGTTGTCGATCTCTCGGGAGTACGCAGGGGTGAGGATAGCGGTTTCGCTAAACGCGCAATTCTCAATCGTGCCGAGGATTCGTCCGTAGTCGGAGTCCTTTCAGCGTCACAGTGGTAGGGGTTTCAGTAGGAGTCGTCATGATGATGGGAGGTTCTGAGGAATGTTAACTGTAGGGAGAGTGTCTTTATGTGTTCCTCCTAGGTCGTTCCAAGCTCCGCTTGAGTCAGACTTATCTTTCGTTTGAACCCTATCAAAGTTCAATCAGCGAGGGCGTGTCGCTCCTCGTGTTCTAATCTATGCATCAGAGGGTGATAATCATTGCCATGATGAGTGGGCGCGTTCCGTTATCTTTGTTGGTAAGTCTACGGTCGGCGGATCTAGAGGATCTAGCGGGCTTGCAGGAGTTTCCGAAAGGTTCGCCTCGTGATAGTTTAAGCGTCTTTCCGGACGATCAGGGGGAAGGTAAGGGCATGAGGCTTGCAGGAGTTTCTCTGGGGATTCCCTCGTCTTCATCGTCTTCTGGATCTTCTGTTAAAGTCGATCGTCGAAGAGTGGTCTAGTTTAAGCGTCGTTTCGGACGTACGGTGTCGTAACCTTTTGTTAATTGCTTACGCGAGGTCGAGGACAGGGGGTATCCAAGCATAGGGGGCCGGAGGGTGTCCGGGGTCGTCCAGCGAGGAAGATAGTTTAATGTCGTTTCAGACAGTCTTAGTTTAATGTCTTTCCGGACAATCGCGCAGTTTATAGTCGTGCTGGACTCGGACCTAGTTTATAGTTATAGCGGACTCGGGTCTAGTTTAGCGTCATAGTGGACGTGTCGGCGAGAATCGAAAGGGGTAGAGACCTATTAGATAGAAAAGATGTGGAAAAGGTAAAAGCAATGATGAATTTACCCCGTCACTAGGACGTTGATCTACCACGATTAACGAAATTAAAAGTCCAATTCGAGTTCTCCGCAGTCAGGGTCGTCAGAAGGAGAGGCGAAAATGAAATCGCCGATCGTCCGAATATATGAGGATCCGGGGTTGTCTTCTTCGTCAGAATCGGAGTCGGACTCATTAGAGTCCTCATCAGCCAATAGGGCTGGGTCAGGAAGCGCGGGCGGCGTCAGAAGACGCGCATTCAAGCGCTGGATCACCATGTCGAAATAATCTTCGACTGGGTTCTGGTCAGGTTCAACCGACGACATATGTATGTCGGTTGCTGGGGGTGTCGCGGGGCTTACAGCATGGCCCGGTTCAGTGTCTTCGCTGTCGGACATAGGCATGTCCTGGTGACAGAGAGGGACGGTTTCTTCGTTATCGAACCGGAGTTTCTTGGCTGCCGGTCGATCTTCCGTGAAAATGGCTCTTCCTTTTCCGAGAACAGATACTGGCTCTCCGGAAAACATAAACTTCGTCTGAGTTTTCTCTGGTTCAGGGGCCAGTCTAGGGTGCTTAGCAGGGGGTGGTTCTGCGGTAGCGATAGCGCGTCCTTTGCCAAGGACAGACGCGGGTTCTGCCGAGAATGTTAATTTCGGCTCAGAGGCGACGGAAGGCCTCTTCTTTTCATTAAGAGTCGGGAAGGGATTCTTCGGGACTGATGGGGGCGCCAAAGACGTAGAAGTCTTGGCGGCTTGGCTCCTCACAGCTTCTTCGGGCTGTGGTGCGGTCTGCTGCGGCTGAGAGGTTGCGGCAGTCTGGGGTGTGGGTCCTTCTTCGGGGATTTCCACAATCGTGGCATAGGGCATGGCAGCCGGTGCCGGTGCTAGTTTATACTCTTTACGGAGTTTCTTCTTCGTCTGTGAGCGGTCAGCGACTCGCTTATCTTTCTTCTGGAAGAGGGGCGTCAGGCCGTTCTTCTTCCGTTCGGCATCTATATCCCGCTCCATGTCTCTGGATTCGGGGGTGGCGGCGAGGGTCAGAGTGGACGCCGTCCAATCTATGCTAGGGTTGTTGGCGATTAGCCATGGTTGCCCAAGCAGGAACTTATCTGAGTATGACAACTCAGCTAGGTAAAACCTAACAGGCGTTACCCGTTCATCGATCTTGACCGTGAGGGTGCAGTATCGGGAGATAGGCCCTCCGGCCGTAGTAGATCCGTCCGCGTTAGTTACCGTGAGTGGCTTCTTCAGCGGGTGCGAGGAGATGCGGTGCTTCTTGCAATAATCCTTATGAATGAAGGATCGGCAGGCACCCGAGTCAACGACCATAGAAGTCGTTATCGGTGCTTCTCTTCGATCTGAAATCAAGGTTACGGGAACCCGGAATTCGTGTTTCTTACCGACTGGTCTTAATTGACCTAATCGGGTCTTCATCGACAATCTTTCTCCTATCTCGGCAGAGATTGTCACTGGCACGGTGGCCGGTCGCGTTGCAGTTGAAGCATCGCCTGCTGTTAAGGCGGATGCGGATTTCTTTCCCGTTGAGATGGGAGGCCGCGGCGATCTTCGTGCGTGTGGATGAGGGTCGGGCTTCATTCTTTTCTCGCCTGGCCAAGGCGGTCTTCGATTGATTCTTTTCTCGCCGTATCACGGCGGTCTTCATCGTCAGCGCCTTCTTCGGGGACACTACGTGTGTACGGCGCTCTTCTTCGGGAGTCATCCGTGAGGAGGATGCGATATTGTTGACGTAAGGCATGTCCTATCATACAATGCTGGTCGAGGCAAGGTGCGTATCTGGGTGTGCGTCGCGTAGATAGGCGACGATCAGATAGACTTTAATCTTTTGTTACGTCGACTGTAGGTCGGCGTGTGCGAACTAGGATAGGTCTTCTCAGCGACGACTCGAGTGAGTCTACTGAAGCTGAGCGTGGTCTAGCCTTGACGGAACGTCAAGGATTCCTCCGGCGATCTCGGTAAGACGGCGCTCGTCGAGATGCAGGGCTAGCGGATACGTGCAGAGGCGTATGGAGGCGACTCTGAAGTGCGGTCTCACACAAGGAAGCGGTTAAGCTAAGATGAGCAAGTTCTTGGTAGAACCTAGTAGATTAAAGTAAAGATCAATCTACAACAATGTGCCTACTTATACATAGTGTATGTAGGTGTTCAAGCTCAGTCTGTAATCTATAGTATATCTCTAATCTAAGATAACCAGACATGAGGTTAGATAAAGTACATGAGGCTTAGCCTCTGATCATACATGCAGCGCCAAGTGCAGCTGCGCATAGGTACAGGAAGCGCCAAGCGCTCCGGGTCTTCATACATGAGGCGCCAAGGGCGCTCCGGATCTTCATGAAGCGACATGCTGTATACATGCGCTGATCTAGGGTGTCCATGAGGCGTACAGCCTCCATGGAACAGGTACAAGGCCGTCTAGGCCAGGGGCGGGGTCATAGCATCAGGCGGGGTCATAGCGCCATGAGGTGGGGTCATAGCGGTCCAGACCGCTGTCTTTCTAGGCGCAGGCGGCGCACCGCCGCGCGGGGAGTCTAGCAGAGCGGGGGCAGGTGTAGGGAGAGCTGGGGCTCTAGCAGGTGTTACAGATCCCTGTAACAACATCCTCTTCCCCATGCTCCCTCGCATTGACCGAGTTACTGACCAGTGAGACTCATGGGACCCATGGCACTTCAAACTTTACTTTCTGAAACAGTGGGACGAGGTCAACAGGCATCTCAATCTTTTGAATGGCTACGAGCCATGATGCCCCAAGTCTGAGGAGATGGACTGAGAACATTTTTTGCAACACCCTGACGCAAATGCTGTTCTCATCATCGCACTTTCCTTTTTCTGTCTTACGCTACTCAATAACGTCATTCGGAAATCCATGTTCTACTTATATATCTGTCTTGTGTCTTCCAATATTACTTACATGCGCCCCATTGGAGGATATAATTGATGAGAGGATGTGCCGCATTCCATCCAGATGTTGTGTTAAGTGCTAACTAGACAACTCCACCTGGGATCATCATGATCTGAAACGAGTCAGAGGTATAAACATGATCTCAGCGGGACCATGACAGTACTAGGCAGCCTCTGTCAGGATAAGAAATGATTGATCATGACAGACTGGTGAAGAGTTCAGGTGTCGATCTGGAAATGTAAGTGATCGAAAAATGGACCTTTCAGATCTTCAAAGCTTCAGGCCTCAGGTGTGATCTCATGGTGAAGGGGGCTGAGTCTCAAGATATCACCACATCTACAGGACTCTTGCAATATTTGTGATGAGGTCCACAATGCCCCACATCATGATGGTGGAACAAATCCTGTGCATACATGCATTCAAGGTAAAAATGGTCATTATTCAAGAACCTACAATCCTGGACCCATTATTGTATGGCGAGATATCATTGGCTTGAAAATGCCTTGCAACACCTGCAATGACAAACCTTCCCCGAGCCTAGAAATTTGTACTTCCACTCTTCTTCACAAATGCTGGCGGTTATATTGGAGAGGATGGAAGGAGAGAATCGCCTAAAGTTTTCTGCTTTATCTGCGTTGGACATGGTGACTTGTTAACTGTCATCGAACCATGCGTGTGATTTATGAATGGAGTGCTTACTAGTAGATACAGGCTGTGTGGTTGCTCTGATGCGGTTGTGTCACTGAGAATGAGAAAGATGTCTGCTTAGCTGCAAGCAGAGCTCCGATAGTGACACTGACCTGTGCAAGAGTGAGCCAAGATGAGCTGTTATTCCCACATCAGTACGAGTGAATGCGACACACCAAAGTGAACATTGAATCCCTAAATTATAGGAGCCACAAGAGGATGCATCGAGGTGAGGCTACATGAGACAGTTAGCAGCAAAAGTAGTAAGAAGCCATTTGTGTGAGCATAAGTGTGGGCATCCACGTCAATGCAGGAGTTTGCATCGGTGCAAGCTCTTGCGTCAATGCAAGTATCCACTGATACACAAAAGTGCAGGAATCTACGTGCACACGGCAGCAGGTGTTGGCAAGGACGGTGATCACAGTCCCCACTGGTAGAAGGTGTCATGGCAACTGGGTGGATGATTCCTCCCCTTATCGTGTTTTGTGTGACGAGAGTTCACAATGGTGAACTTCCTACACAAGTGAGCAAGATCAGTGTGCCAGTGCTCTCTACTCATGGCCAGCTTCCACACCAGACTTGCCTTCATTGCACACAACGATCTGGACCATTACTAGAGTTTGTAGCAGAAAAGAAAATTCGAAAGAAGGCAGGCTGCAGACAGGGCACCGGAGCTTGCTAGAGTACTTGTAGCCTGCCAATGGGCACTGTGGGGTAGGTGGAGAAGAGAACCCGCATGCTGCACAGCCACTGCATGTAAGTTCTCTGTTACGCAGTTTAGGCTAAGAAGCTCCTGGTATCGATTTGACCCCACAGTGTGGCGAAAGAACCGAAAAATGATGACAAAGCAGAAGATGAAGTCATGACATATATGGAAGTCTTACTGTCCATTATGGATGTCACTGATGCATACTAATGAGCGTGCACATCATACAATTACTCAAACTAGAAGTGTCCGTGAGTAAAAACCAGAGCAATCATGGATTATAAGTTCATACCAACATATATTCGCAATCCATTCTACAAGTCAAAACCACATCATTGACTAGGTGTAGTACAGTCCATCATGAATATGCCTCTCAGAGGCAGACACTGCAGATCGTGGAGTGCAGCATCGAGTGTCATATATGGACACATTGCTCACTGCTAAGAACATACGCCATGACAGCACTGATGTTTTGGTCTATGGGAATAGCTTATCATATTGGTTAAGGCATGAATATATCTGATAGTCTGAAGAAACTAGCTTCAATCGTAGTCCAACATTTATATAGAGATACTTGCCAACACTCTTATCAGGGTCGCACCAACATTTTCCTTTCGTGTGCACATCTCCCTGTGGACAGTGCTTAAATGGGTCGTGTTGATACCCGATGTCATTGAATAAATGAATTTGTTCCTTCTTTGTGAACAGTGCAGCTCTGATGCTATGAACTGGTGCATCTCCCCAATGCTATCCCAAATGAAACCATGTCCCAAAGCGTGCAAACGCAAGACTCACGTCATAATAGAATCCACCCTGCTCATCAAGATATTCGAAGAATTTTGAATATGCCTTGCCTTGCCAGAAGTCAAGATCTGCAATTTCAAAGTTGCTCCAGACTGGCCACATGTTTTCATTAGCATGGGGAAATGTCGTGATGTGCAGTAACATACAGTGACACAGACTGTAGGACTCCCTGCCATCATCAGAGAGAAATTCCATCACATTTCCAGGAGTTACCAAGTCAGGATTAGCATCAATGAAAGCTAGAGGAAGGTGAGATTGAAATCATAGTAAATGCCAAATATGCTTACACTTTACAACATTCCATAGTGTTGGGATGGTAGCTGGTATTTCAGATATTGCCATGGTAAATCCTGTTGATGTCTGAGACTAGTGTATAATTGAAAGCATCATTTGATTTACCATACACCTTGTTTTGGTCTTGCATCATGAGAAAGGTATCATAGTCCATGTCGCAGAAAAGCTGGATGTCTGGCCTGATTGGTGAAGATAAGCTACATCACATCTCCTTCGCCTGCATCCACTCACTCGACTCTCCAATAGTACCAGTACTTCTGCAAGAGCTCATGTCGATAGAAGAACTAAGAACTAGTGAGACAACTTTGCCAAGATGCATTATGATCACGTACACCAGAATTGAAGCGACACATATTCCAATATCTAGGAGCAGTTAGTCAGAAGCAGCGATGATAACTTACCATACGCACAAAACACTACCTGGAAGATCGTCACGCTACATGTATGCTTAGAGCTGTAAAATAACCTACCTCCATAAATCACATCGTTCTTAATCATGTCATCGCAAGACTTGCTTGCTTGTTCTCCATCAATCCACGATGGTTGATGGCAATGGTCGGATGGGATGAGACCAAATTTGACCATGGCATTGGTCAAGGTCCATATGTAACTTTATAGCCTGTTAGCGGTTTCAATAATTTAAGCATAAAAGGGCGCACTGCTTGAAGCTCTGCATAAAGGGCTTGTCGTTGAGGAAGATTGGAACTTTCTGTTGAACCTATCCTCGAGTTGCTTCATACTGCTCATGATTTCCTAAAGCTCAAAGTTCTGTACAAGTACAACAATTGAGGTGTTCGCTTTGCGATCTTGTAAGTGCACGGGCGAATCCGGCTTGCAGTACTCGTCGGGCGCGGGTGTTTTGTAGAGGTTTTGACTTCGGACCAGTTCATTTTTCTGCGATATTTGAGATGGATGTCACCTTTCCATATTCCTCATACATAAAGCTCATAATGTAGTGAATTGAAATCTGTTCCAGTGTCAAGCCAGGTAAATTGTCAATTTGACATGAACACGTACAATAACACCCGAGACAAGCAAGATGTAATGCATTAGGGTCATCATCTTTCCGCAGTAGAATGAAAGGGAACTATATATCTTTCTGTTTGTACGTTCGTAGGCCTGTAGACCGGCAATACATATGGCATAGGTTTCATCGTACTTTCGACACATTGACAAAAAACTCTCCGCTGTGTGATTGGTTCGTCAGGAAATTGTGGAAGGAGATCAGGACCTGCAGATGCAGCTTTAGATATCTGCAGATGCAGTTGAGGTCTCACAGAAGTGTTAGGACCTGCAGTTGCAACTAGTTCTATGAGTAGATCATCTCGGGCACATCTTCCATAGAGATTTCTGAGACTGTAATATGCTGGTTCGCGGTCAGACGGAATGTGCCCTTGTGTATTTTGACGATCTCGCGAAGACCAGTTTTAAAATCACAGTCGGGCTCGTCCTGAATACACCCATTCTCGATGAAGAGCATAGTGTGGCGCCTGCCATCATCTCCCATTGACCAGCCAAAGTCATCGATGTTGTGGTTGAACGTGTATGGCCATGCTGGAGCCAATGGATAACCAAGTCAACTCTCAACCTCTGCTTTGAATGTGTCCAGTCCCATGTGGTCAATGGTGTATTTCAATTTTGCAACTGAAGACTAATTAGAATGTCTGCAAGTGTGGAACATTCAAAATACTTACCCTGCACAATTACCGTTGTTGCGCTGTGTAAGCATGATCTTTTCTGCTACAGTAGGACCTTGTTGGACGGTACAGAAACCAACAACATCCGCAACTCAAGGGTATGTTTTCTTATTGCTGTGGGTTACTCCAATGCCACCACTGAATTTGGAGGACTCCAGAATGGGATTCGGCGTGTTCCTGACGGAAGTCACAGATTTGCCAAAATCCTTGAGAAGTGAAGCACAGCAGAGGAGTCGAGCCTGGATAGTGTGCAACTCAGTTGTGAGGTTGTTATCATTTGTTGATAGTCTGTTTATTTCCTGAATGATGACATAACTGAATGACTGAACGACATGAGCGACAAAGAAGTGTACCAGCCAGTTCATGTGGGTGTACAGATGGTCCAAGGATTCGTCCCAGGCGTAAAGCGCATACCAAAGGATAGCCAAGAAGACTAATGATGGATCCTTAGACTATTCGAATATCTTCTGCCAATACACGCCCTCTCCCACTTTCTGGACTAAATTTTTCAATCGCTCTGCAGTTGTCCTATTCCACTGAGCACTTGGGTGGTATGATAGTACTACCACTGGGGTCGGATGATCCTATCATGTGTAGAGCGAGCAGGTCTTCAAGAAGGTACTTTTCCGCCGGCGAGCAAACTGAAACAAACATGAAGATACAACACCAAAAATGAGGGGGAGACTCTACCAGAGTGAAGATGAAGCGACTCTTGCATGTCTATAGCTTTTTCACCGCCTGGACAAGCTATTAAGTTATGCTTTCCTGGAGAGCTTAGCAGACGCACAGGAGATGTGCTTGTTTTGCAAGGACATGGTGGGCTTGTCCCATGTACAAAGAGCAGTGTTACCATAATGTCTGCGATACCTTAAAACTAAGTTAAAAGCGCCATCGGGTAAACCATGGAGAGCACTTACGATCTCCTTTTTTCTTGACAACTTCTTCTTGGTATTGAGAAGGGATCCAGTTTAAGGAGGATGTGAAAAAGCACAGCTCAATGTTGTACCTAATTGATGTTCAACCCAGAACGCATATCTAAAGAAATAAATCTCTAGTACCTTGTTCCCAGCATCTGGAGTGCGGGATGTTTCATGTTGTCGACGAGCAACACCCGGAGATGAAGACCTGTTGGCTGTAGGGAAGACAGGTTAACTTGGCCCTCAACAAAGTATGACCATGCTTCACCTCTATCTGCAACTGATCCCAGAGCTGACTTATAGCGCTTTCATCAACCTCAATAGCTGGATTAGTGTCCCTAGCCAACTTGAATTTTCCAGATTCAAGTACGTCGACATAATAGATCCTGCATTTTCTTGAGGGTCCCTGGAACAATTCTTGACCATCTTACACCGTGCAACTCGATCAGCAACCCAGTTCCTGAACAAGTTTTGAGGATATCCCCTCCACTTCCATTGCTCCACTGATTCTTTGGTTGAGGGAACAAGTTCGGTTTCCAAAACAATGTCCGACTCAAAGCTCATCCATGGCCAAGGTCCAGACGGGGCAGCATGTCTATATCTGAAAAGATACCATTGACTCTGAACTCCACATAGGCTTACAAACATGAAGTGGATTGTGCTCACATTGGTGCAGGTATTGTGGGAGGTTTACTGTTGTGCGTTCCAAACTTCCATGACCAATGTTGCCCCAATGAAGGGTGCTCAGTGAGAAACGAGCGCAAGGAAACTGATGGCTAGTGATGGATAAAGGTGCGGGAAAGACTCAGTCTCAGTTCATCCAGATGTGAGAAGGTAGGTCTTTATTACTATGTATAATAGTTTTGCAAAGATGGTGGTGCCGTCAGCTGAGATCAAAGAATGCTTCATGCAGGCTTTGTTGACATGGGGCATGGGGGTATGGCAGGGAACACTTACTAAGTGCATGCCCCGGGGCACGATGGCTGTGAGAAAGACCCCACAGTCCAGAAAAGGGATGTGCCGAGATTCCGTGCCAGTGGCAAGGACAAATTGGGCGTGTTTGGGTGGTCTTGCATCATGCACAGCATGTGTCATCGAACCAAACTTGAATGTCATTGAACTCATCGCGGTTTCTCGCCATGTGGCTTCTCCGTCTGTACAACTGAAAATAAACCTTGTTCCCACCTCCATCGTGACGTGCTAGGCTGCTCCTGACACCTTTTTTACAATCTTCCTTGTTCTAATTGCTCTCTGCCCTGTCATATCACTCTGCAGCATCAACCGATCTAGAAGCTCATCATCTTCATCATGATTAGCTCCCTACTACGATTTCCCATTCCATGGATCCTCCCCATGGAACATCGAGTGCTGATACCGACACTATGAACATACACGCCGGCATGCTTCCGCACGACACAAAGCTCAACCCCAAGTACGCTCCAAACCTAACATCCATGTTGTTATCACTTAAAATATCTTCAGTTGCATATTCTACAAGATCTTCACTGGGGAAGTACCGTGTTTCAAATTATACAAAATGAAATACAGGTATGCCACCCCATCACCATTCAATGTTCAATCACCAATGACCACACTTAAAAGTCTCACCTTTCTTGCAAAGCCTCCTGTTTCTCATGGGCACACGCTCATCATACCCAAATGTGCGTACCCCGTTTGATCTAGCCAAATCTGCATTAAACAGTTATGTCAGACCACTCTCATACATTAACGGATCCCGGACTCCCAGATGAGTTCCTCACAGATGTCGGTCCCATAATGAAGAAGATAGCAGCGATGAATGGTGAGGATTCATACAATGTCATCCAGGTACATCTCTCCCCTCCTGCTCTCTCCGTCTGCACGCTATATTAACACAATAATCAGAACAACGGCAGGACTGCCAGGCAAAGCGTCGACCATGTGCATTTCCACGTCATGACGAAGCCAGCGAACCAACCTAATCGGCGACTCATCCTGACACCCCAGAGCTGGCCTTTGTACCTACAACCAATAAAGAATACACTCAGGACGCTGATAAGATGAAGCAAATCGGTAGGAGCCATGAATTTCCGCGCGTTTCGGCTTAGAATCTGGGGTTTGAAACATGTATCATAGCCAGTGCTCGATGGGATGGAGATGTGCAGAAGTAATTCGTTGAGGTTGTTGGGTTTATTGTCGTGCGAGGGGCATTACGGTGATCTGGTATGATCTTTCCTTGGCTGTCTGCAATATCCGTCGTAGTAGACAGTAAATCCAGGCAGCCATGTATTCTTATTTTGCATCCCGAATCAGTCTCTTTCTTTCTTGTAGTATAGGATACCTGGAAGACATGGACTACATAAACTTGAATATTGTGCAGTACGGTTTGCCTTCATGGCTATTGTGTGTAGATGATGAATCAAAGAGGCTGGTGCACTTGTATGCAAACCTGGACCTCCAGTAGCACACGAACAGTCAACAAATCAAATGTCTGTCACTTTCACAGACATGCCCATACCACCAATGAGATACTGTACATGAATATTGAATAGTGATAGGTTCCACACAAGTGAGTCATGGTTCAGGTTGTATAAAAGTTGTCTGAGACTGACAGACCACATCTGTCATTTACAGACTTCTGGTGTATGTCTACTTGTGCTTTTGCCTGTGTGGAATGTATCTCATCTGAGTGTCTTGCATTCTCAGCATCCCAGGACCAATTGAGGTCACAGATGAGGTGCGTATACTCTTGTGTCATTTCTGCATGAATTGTAATGCTCATAAAAATGTTTATAGGTCCTCTTTGCCAATGCACATCTGTCGATGTCGCATATGTCACCCAACTTTGCAAGAGTCTTTGGTGACTGCATTCACATGACTAGGCAAGGACACGCAGTTCATGGTGACTTAGCGGCCGAACAATAACTTACTCACGTGTTTGTCAGACAACTTCTTTACTCAGAGGATGCGCAGCCATTCCTGATCGCTGGGTCAGGCACATTGGGATGGGATCAGGTATGAGTCTGATGTTAATTTCAGGGTGCAAAATGTGTCTATTTATGGTGCTAGGTCTCTGCAAATCTCGTTGAACCAGGCAAAAATGTGCTTGTTCTGCATAGTGGTTGTTTTGCCGATAGTTTTGCAGACTGGTAGGGGCAATGATGGGGCAAGTGTCGTAGTGTTTGCTCATTCTTCATGGCTCTCCAGTTTGCAGACCTATGGTGCCAATGTCGACCAGATAAAGGCTGAGATTGGTGGTGCTGTTAAGGAGGCTGATATTGAGAACACACTTCAAGTGAAGAAGTACAAGATTGTTACAGTAACTCACGTCGACACCTCAACAGGTTAGTGATATGTTTCAGGGTGCCTGATATTATATAGGTTCCTGATATCGGACTGATCTATCTTGTGTAGCCGTTTTGTCCAACATCAAAGCTATTCCAAACGTCGTGAAGAGAGTTTCTCCAGACACACTTGTAATTTCCCAAAAGACTCCTCAGTTCACATGTACTCATTATGGATTGATACTAGGTCATTGTTGATGCCATCTGCTCTGTGGCGAGCGAAGAAATCCAAATGGATGCCTGGGGCATTGATGTCGTATTGACAGCCAGCCAGAAAGGTTTGGGCACACCACTGGGTCTCAGCATCCTCGTTGCTTCTCAGAAAGCCATCCAGGTCTGCCTTTCCCCAATACCGTGACATGAAGCTACTGATACAAACTTCTCAAGGTATTCGAGAACCGTTCAACACCAGTCACAACCTACTACGGCAGCTGGAAGAAGTGCGTTCAGTCCATGTTTTCTATCCTGACATAGATTTATTCTCAAATAGATGGCTACCCATAATGAAAGCCTACGAGAACAACCCTGCCGCCTACTTCACCACGCCACCCATCAACGTGTTTCATGTGTCCCTCACCCAGATCATACAGGGCTCTGTTTTACTCGAGCAATGATTCAAGCTCCACCAGGAGGTCAGCAGATGCGTCACGAAGGCAGCAGAGGAAATCGGATTCAAGGGCGTGTCTCTCAGTGAGGACATCCAGGCGAATGGCATGTCTGCAGTGTGTACAGTATTTTGATTCCTTTGCGACTGAGACATTGATACCATATACAGCTTTACTTCCCCGACGGTTTCACAGCGAGCGATATCATTCCTCGTCTGTTGAAGAAAGACGTTGTTGTTGCTGGCGGATTACATGCTAGCATCAAAGGTCAGTAAAGTTTTCTGCGAGGGGTATTTGTTACTGAAAATCATCCACATCGACCTCACTGATATTGCATTGCATTGCATGTTGCTTCATTTTTCATCATTTGTTATTTGTAGATGGAATATAGTACTGATGACGCTCCTGTGCAGAGTACCTCCTTCCTTGGTGTACCCACTGATGACGATGAGATATCCATCTTTGTCAAAGATATTGATGCGTGGAAGCCACTTAATGCTCAACGTCAACCTTCTCCTGTGTCTACACAGGGCCGACCTGCTACCCCATCACACACCAAATCCAACTCCATAGGTTCCGCGGGTCCAATGTTGACACAAGAAGAAGAAGTCGACGAACATTTACGCCACATGAATGAAATGTTCCTTGCGGGCTTGGAGGGGCTTGGTGGTAGCCGGAGGAGAGGCAGTATAGGTGGAGATTTGGCAGGCGCAAGCCCTATTTTGAGTGTAAGTGGACATGGTGAAGGAGAGAACAGAGGTTTGCAGCCCATGAGGATATGGCGAGAAACGTCAAGACCAAGACTTGGCTCATTACGCAGCATAAGTGCCAATGATGTGGCTTCGAGTGGTGGGTCTGCAGAAGTGATGGGGAAGTTGGAGCTCGATGAAGAACCTCAGACATGAAGATAAGGTTCCCATTGATGCGGCATGCATGATGCATCTACTCTCATGAACATACAACTAATTTGGTGGGGCGGTGGTGATGGTGATTAGCCTTGTATCTTCTGCAAGTTGCAAGGTTACTGGGCAAGTTTGCTGATTTTCATGGCATCGTCCTCGTTATATTATTTTCACACATTTTATAGCCATTTGTTTCATTATCTATCATTATGCATACCCAAACTCTCGTCTTTATCATATGCATAAGTTCTATACGCAGGGTTGATTGGGTCTACAAATGATGGCTTGGAATTGGTCGCAGAAATTCCATTCCTCTTGTCCATTGGGCACGCATCACCAAATCTAGAATAGTTAGCACTGTTCTAGTTTTTCTGGACCCAATCCCAATGTGTTTGATTGAAGCATGGAAATGAAAAACTAACACTACATTTGTAGATACTTCAATCCGTGATGGCTTTGTGCCTAACCATATTAATTTGACGAGGAAAGGTGAGGGTGAAAACGATGTCATGAGCAACCTGTACCTCATAAACGCAGTCATCTGGAGAAATAAAGTAAAGGTGACTGGAAGAAGGGAACAGCTGGGCGCCACATAAAGGTGCTAAGGATCCATTATTTCTCCTTTCCAGTAGTTTTAGATCACCACCCATGGCACAAGATCCATTGCGGTGCAGAAACTCCAAGGTGTGGATGCGGTGCCCAGGTAATTCCATGATTGTGCCAGTTATGTCAGAGGAGATGGGGAACTTTGTGGCAGAATCATTATCTGGTAAGGGGTTCTGTGGGCTAGTGGGCATTTGGTGATATTTGGGTGTCTATACAACTTACTGTCAAGTCTGTGTAGCGATGGGGACCCCAATGACGCACACCATTGGGACGTCTATACGGGGTGGAAGTTGATTTACTAATGCCAGTTAGTCATGGTTATAGACAGTGGCCTGAAGGGAAACCTACCATGTAGCAGGCATGTGGTTGAGGATGGTGCACTTAATTTTGGAGGTTCAACAAGGGAATCCATCATGTTGATCAATGTTTGTCCTGTTAGGGTCCCACACTATTCAAGCAGTCAAAAGTGGATTTTGTCGGAGCTCACTGTCTCACACCTCAGTCAATAAACACATTGTTCTTAAATGCTGGTCAACCTTGACTCAAAGCATGGGTGATGGTGTCAGCTCAGAGTCGCGCACTCAAACGTGCAATGATGAGCATTGGTGGCAAGGTAGCAATGGGTAGAGAATGTTGCTTACAAATAATAAGGACATGTGTGAATGTGACACTATGTGACGTGGTTCCTGTGAGATCACACGCTTTGACTCAAACCGGTCTTGTGACTTTTGTGAATTGAGACATCTATAACTTAGATGTAATCCATCATGCACGGACCAGCTTGTTTGGGCAGATACTTACATGTGGCTCCTGGCCCTCTCTCTCATGGCCCATGCCCCCCACTTGTTGAGCACCCATTAGACCTCACATATCCCACGCCGGCATCCTCAAGCCCCAGTTGATTCAGATGGACGCACAGGATGGGTGCTGCGACGGTAAGCAGCTCTTTTTTTAGCTTGAGCTTCCCCTGCACCATCCGCCTCCCCCACCCACGACACTTGGTATGGCCCATCCCTGCCCCAGGCTGAGTGAGCATGGCTTCACCACCCCTTCCTCCACACCCACGCCCTTAGCATGCAGGGGGTGCAGGCCCCTCTTGTTTATTGACTCCCCTTTGGTTGCAGGTACTGATGTATGCTGCCTGGCGGACGTCGAGTTGCTCTACTGTGGCCTGGTATGAACATGATATATTCTACAATGAGAACAGAATTCCTTGAGGTTTGCGAGTTTTCCGATCATCAATGCTTCAGGATTATTGGGTTAAATGTCTCTCAATTACGATCGGAATCTGAGACGCCTACTTGGCTCTGCATGGGTGGATCTTAGAAACCCTGCACTAACTCACTGTATATCTCTCCGTTTCCTTATCTCCTTCGTTGTTTTCTCATCCATCTTCCCCATCGAGCAGTGTCCCATCTCACTCATTGACACCGTGATCATTGTGAGCCTCTGACGCTCGTCACAGTATCTGCCCAGGCCACTTGCCAAGCGTACTTACTCTCTGCCAGCTCGCAGGACACTTGCTACGGTGTTGTCTGAACATGCAAAAGTCACAGTGGGCATACGACAAGAAGATCCATCAAGGATATGGGAGTGTTGCTGCCCCATTACGCCTGATGAAGTTGCACAACTTGTTCAGCACCTCGATGTCAACGTTCTCATTCAGGACTGCGACTGTCGAGTGTTTCCCATTGACCAATTTATCAAGGTAGGATATCACCATTCATACATCGAGCTGGGCGGTGATTGACAATGTTCTGTTTCAGGCTGGCGCTAAATTATACCTGATGCTGGATCCGGTACATATTGTGCTAGGAATCAAGGAGACACCACTCAATGAGCTGGTCACATCTCCTGTTTCTGCGCCAGGTTTGTGTTCAGGTCCTTCCACACCCCGCACCCATCTAATGTTTTCTCATACCATGAAGGGTCAGCCCTACAATATGGAATTGCTTGCCCGCTTCCTTGGTTCACATGAGAATCCATCTTTGCCTCGGTTGATTGATTATGAACTTCTTGTGGGCAATGACGTCAAAAGAACAGTTGGGTTTGGGTGGTTCGCAGGAGGTAAGCAGCAGCTCAAAACTATTGGCAATGGCTCACCATCAAATAGTTGCTGGTGTTCTCAAATCTTTGTCTGCACTTGCTCATGCGCATCTCAAACTTGGAGTTGCTTCTCCTTTTCTTGTGAGTGCTGTTATACGACCATTGCTTCATGTAATCCTAACCCTAGCATTGTTAACCCTAAAGCATCAGCAACCCAACGCCTTCTGACAGCCTCCATCCACCTATCAACCTGGTGATGCACCTGTCGAAGGCGCCAGTGAGCAGTTAGGGGGATCGGTATCAGGAAGGGACAGAACAAGTCAAAATGTTACTTACGATCACTGATCCATATACCCTGCAGCAAGAGGTCTAATAGAGTGGGGTTTTCGTAGATACTATAGTTTGAGATGCCTTCACGTCACGTTCAAACAAAATTACTTCCGACTCACAAGGCACATATATTCCACCATATTCAATATGAACAATACAACATTTTACAAGGTACGTTACTTGAGGTATGTCTGAGCTTGGATCTAGGTTAGCGAGCGAAGGGATAGGGGGAAGGAGACGAACTGTTCTCATGCTCGTAGATGGTGTGAAGAATGTGAGTGGTGCAAATTTTGTGTAGTGCTTGCGTGCTGAAGTAAATGGGATGAAGGTGGTGCAGGCGGTGCAAAATGGAGCTGCTATGAAGTAGTGCAACAAATAGCCACCACTCCCCAAAACTCAATCCGACAGTGCCACCAATTACTCAAACTCAGCATACGGCACTGCTGTCAAGCAATGTAGGGGGTGGTGTGCTTGTTTGAAGGGACAAATCTATACCAGTCTGACTAGCATTGTATCAATTTGAGATGGTGAGAATTTATTGACGTTCAGACTGGTCAAACTCGGAGTCAAGGAGTTTGAAATTGAGCAGATGCCGGTATGCCGCTTTGGGTAACATTACTTGTCAACAATGCAAACTCTTCCGCAGACGCATAACTTGTATCAGAACTACCTCCGGCACAACCGGCACCTATCAAATTTCAAACTCCTCGCTTCGCCCTGCCATGCCACTCCGAGATCAACCAGCCTGGCTACACCACCTGTACAACCATGGTAGTATACGCCAGGCTGGTCACGGGCCTAGCTTCGAAGCCTCAAATGCCTCAACTGCTGTTCAACCTCAACAACTCCCACCACCTGCCTGCACTCCACATGTTATGAGTGATGGGTTGCAGCAGTAGCAGTGAGCAATTCATGCCCCTTGTTCCTATTCCTATACATCTCCACCGGGATTTGCAGCAGCCTGCTGAAGCACCAAGTAGCACAGGCCGACCCTGGCCTGGCCAAAGGCGCAGATGCACAAGCAGCTGCTCCCGAGGGTCCCAACTACAGGCCTACTGCTTTAGTAGTGGCTACTACATACCTGCCTACTGCTTTTGACCCCATGGGCCCAGGCTCACATACTGATTTAGCCTTAGTGCATGCTCAGGGCAGGGGCCCTCGCCCTAGTGGCCGCTGCCCAATGGCCTCCCCATTAAACCAGCAGCCAGCCATAGTTCTCTGCTCACAAATGCCCTGCTGGACGAGCAGCCAATTCTGGAAGGCGATGACAGTCTCATTTTACAGGGGAAGGGCTTATACGTGAATCTCAGCCTCAACCTCGTGGGATGTAGTGCAAGAGGAGATCCCTGCAGTGGACTTCATGAACAAATGTGCTGGCCCCCTTTCTTTCAAGTCCATTCGCCTTGCTCGGACCTAGCTTACGGGTTACATACTAATAGGTTTCAGACGCTCATGAACCACCTCAAGAAGAAGGCTGCGATGTGCAATTGCACTGGCTATACGTCACATGCCCTCCCACAGGTCCTGCCCCCCCGCCAGGGCCCCATCGAGTTTGCCCAGGGCTGCAATGTCATTTTCTATAATACACCAATTATCAACCCCACTTTCAACGCCCATCACACCTGGAACACTGAGCCGAAGGGGATTTAATGGGCACTACATTGACCTATTTTTCATGGAGGCTTCCCATTTTTGGGATGTCCTAGATTTCCCATAGGCTAAATGACTATTCATTCAATGTAACTAGGCTGATGAAGGCATAGAGGTTCATTCCCACAGATGCAGTCTCCGATCTGCTTTAACCAAATAGATGTAAAGGAGGCCTGAGTGGTCAGAGTGCTCCAATATCCCAATGGAGGCAGCAGCCTGCCTCCTGCATTCACTGCATTTCCGAGCGCTATCGAGAAGAAATGGCGGGCTGGGCCTCACCGACCTCATCCTACAGGTACTACAAAGGTTACCCTAGGGTTAGGGTCTGCTCTGGAGTGGCATTTCATATATGGATAATACTGGCCATTCATCTCGCCATTCTACATGATGGAGATGGCCAACGAGCACCATCAGCTTGCTGCTTTTCGTGAGCATTCAACCTCAGGCAAATATATAGTAACTCAGCGCTGGCACCACCACAGCTAACCATGCATCTACCCTTGCCTTTGAGCCCTCCCATGGATCTCCACCTGATCTCCGCCAATTCCTCCATTCAAGAACAGAATTAATGAGGATTACCAGACCTGTACCATTTTGGTCACAAAGGAGGTGCTGCGGTAGCGCAATTCTTCTATCACCTTTAGGTGAGTTTTGTGCACGTGCTTGCCCCTATAGCAGCTACACACTATAATAGGGCAAGGCCTGCCCTAAGGCCTGTCTTATGTATGTCGCTAGCCACGGCATCAGCTGCTTGAACTCCAGCTCTGAAGCAGCTTGAAGGCCTGGAGGAGAGGTCCGAAGTTGGCAAATACATGTGCGTTTGGGAGAAAAATTATAACCACCGTTTGTCGTTTTCATGCCCTTCGACGCATCGCCGTTTGATCGTGCTATGCCGTAGGATTAATTACCTGCGCAATCAGTCATAAGTACATAAGTGGTCGCACCCCTGCAGCTAAAGATGGCCCCTGCCACCTACTGCACATCAGATTTCTGGGCGGATGGGATGACCTATTTTTAGGATGCAGAATGGGGTGTGGATGGCGTCAGGGCAGATCTGGATGCTGAGGATGACGAATGGGTGCTGTTGGACAAAGCTATTGATAGGATTGGGATGGGTGCGTCGAGCCGCGTTCTCGCGCTTCTGATAGCACTAATGTCGAGCAGAAGGCTATCAATGGACATGATCGTCATTGAGAAGCACTAGAAGGTCTCCAGCTTATTGCTGTGAGCAGCTTTGCATGTTATTGTGGAGCGCAATGCCATCACTTTTCCAAGACTGATTTTGAAAATTTCATCCACATTCCACACTTCGCAAGCTATTATTTGGTTAGTTGTTTGGTCGTATGATCATTTGTGACATTCCTATGCCTTCCTCAACATTGATCTACTCATATAACTAGTTGCAACTGCAGGTCCCAGTGCTGCGTCTGCAGATATCTTCTAAAGCTGCATCTGCAGTTAGCAAAAGCTGTGTCTGCAGTTATCTTCTAAAGCTGCTTCTGCAGTTACGGAAAGCTGCATCTGCAGACATCTTCTAAGGCTGCATCTGCAGTTATCTTCTAAAGCTGCTTCTGCAGCTTTCAATCATGTGTTACCTGCTGCTTCAGCAACTGCCACTACTGTGGCAAAAATGGTGTAATATGTGATGACCAATTGAGGAAGCATTGACTGATGGAGCTTGCTTGGTGGTAGCGAGGAGCAAAGTCTTAAATTTTTGCTAAGTTACCTCTTGCAAGATTCCAACCATCTAGACCTAGAGCATTCCAGACCTAGCCTAGAGCGCTCCAGAGCACTCTGGATCACCTTTTGGATGTAATTCCACTGGCGGCAAATCATAAAACATTAGTTTCCCGCTGTTAGTAAAAGGTCCCGACATGATCTGACATGAACTCGGGCATGATGCTCCCCTGGCCAAGGCCCTATAGCGATGCATAGCTCAAGCAGGAGCAGCAGAGATGCCTGCAAATTTGAAAACTGTTTCTCCATCAGCTCAATACATGAGCACAAGCAAGTTGTTGAATGATGTGATGGTATGCAGTGAGCAGTCACTGAGTAGGCCCATCTGCAAAACTACTGAAATGAACATTTAGTACTAATTTATACACTTATGAACACTTATGACGACTTCAGTAAATGCCCTCAAAGGCTTGTTTCTAGATTTTGGATTTTCAGATGCCTACTATTACCGATGGAATTCCATGCTCCATGTCGCTCTAGGCTTTTTCTCTAGAATGGTATTTATTGGCATTCCTGTGCTCCCTCCATACCAACCAAAACTACCCTTTCGCTTTGTTTCACCTCTTGAAAGATGCCCACCATAACTACAGCTGGAGCCCTTCTAGCTCTCGGAGCACCTTCTCCAAATGAAGGAGATCCTGAGGACAATGACTTGGTGCCTACTTCTGGGGAGCATGTTGAAATTAAGGTCCTCCACCCCCCTTGGTGTTGGCCTAAGTGGCAAGAATGCACCGGTCTTACTTCAGTTCCCTTTCCAGCAGTAGCAGTAACCCCGGAGACCTCAAGCCCCTGGAAAACATCTGAGGCAGCTGAGGCGGTCTCAACTTTTATTTCTAACTTCTGGGCTTTCTCAGAGGCAGAGCAAGTCAATTATATCAGATGCCTACCTGACAATGACACCAAGGGGCATGACTTGTGGCTGAGCTTCTTCAATGCCCAGTGGAGCCACTGGAAAGTCATTAGCATCTTGGACGCCATTTTGGTAGAGCGCGCTCTGGACCCGTATTCAATCATGAGGCGTATGAGGATCTTGAATGTGAGATTTCATTTACTCCAGCCTATGCCTCTGCCACACCTCATGCTCTTCCATCAGCTTCCAGAACTTGCTACTTCTCAAATAACCTTGGCCTACCCTAGCATTGGAGAAGCACTTTTTGGCATGGACGCCTTCACGGAGGACCACATCGCTCTTAAGGAGCCTGTTTGGTGCTTCATTGACAACCTTATGGTACACCATTGGTCCAGTCACAGGAAGTCTATTCAACATGAAAGGGGGAAACTTGAACCATGTCGTGCCCAAGTTCAATAGGCCTGGAAAGGTGCCCTTTCTCCATTCTCCATTCTTATATACCTTCTAACGTCTACTGTGGTTGGCCTAGTGCTCACGGAGCTTGTGGAGGGAGGAGAGCGCCCTGATATGAAGCTCATTAGAACATGGCTGAAGGGTGTAGAGGGACTCACTAAGATTCTCACTCGCTATGGGGACAAGGAATCCCTTAAGAACCTAGCAGAGCAATGGGAGACCCTTAGCGATATACTTCAAGTTTTAGGTATAGATCACAAGGGCCAAAACCAGATGCGTAAGTCAACCCAGCACCGCGCTCCCTTCCACTTCCTAATATTTTCTTATAGGCTTACCCAAGCCGCTGAGGGATGCCCTTCACTTCCTAGCATCAGAGAAGGATATCACACTGCTGTCGGCCTCAATCCAGGAGCAGCTTAAGCTCTGTGACCCTGATGCTGAGACCTCTGATTCTGTACCTGAACTCAATCTTGATGGCAAGGATAGTTGTGACTTTGAGTGGTCAGAAGGGGTGGAGGTGTTCAAGCATATGTCAGAGGACCACCTTTGGACCCTCCTGGGGATTCCAGACCAGTGTTTGCCATTTTTCAACACTCTTCAAGATCCCTATGGAAAACACAATCCATGGACTGAGGAGGGAGAGGACTGGTTCAAACATTCTGGAAGGGGAGAGCGCCTAGCTCTCCGCTAGCATCAACTGGTTGGGGTGACCAAGATGGTCCAGAACACTTTTTCTGGAAAGCCTATTTTACTCATGGACGAAGTGGGATTAGGAAAAACCATCCAAGTCATGGCTTTAATTGCCATACTGGCATTTTATCGTGAATATTATACAGCTAATGGGTGCTTTCCAGGAAAGATAGGCAAGTCCCTCTCCTTACCCTTTGAGGCTCAAAGCTAACCTACTTCAAAATAACTGGAAAGCAATGGAGGGGCGGTGCCCTCAACATTCTAGATCTTCCCGTCATTTTGGTCATGCTGGCAACATTAATCCATCAGTTTACTTTGGAGTTGCACCGATACCTTCGGCAAGGAAGCTTTGATATTCTGCCTTACAAAGGCAAGTGGAGTAATGATCGAGCTTTGTGGTGGAAGAACATTTGGACTATGCCCAAGCTGCCTGAAGGACGACAGATCCTTATCATCCCTCCTAAAGTAAGCATTGATTTTGATTTCTAGTTAGCTGGCCTCTGATAGAGTTTTTCTTTGTACCCTAGGCATTGGAGTCTGACTTTGAGCACATCTTGGAGGCAAGCAACGTCGCCCCCACCCAAAGTCCTCGGCAGAGGGCTAGTTACCCCACCGAAGCCTCTACTACAGTGTATGGTCGGTGTTTCCTGCTGGTGGGGATAGATGAGGCTCAAAACCTCAGAAACATCAAAAAAAGTTATTGGGCCTTATTTGCCCTTCGTGAAAGATCTGAATCCATTGTTACCATGACGGCCACCCCAATCACTAATCGACCGATGGTAAGTGAAGCACATTATTCTCAACATCCTGCTCTAATTTTAATCTCAATGCTCACTCCTTCATTTCTGTAGAATGTCTGGAATCTGGGAAGATGCCTCGGTATGGAAGCCTTTGGCAGCCCCTATGATGGTGAGGCAGAAAAAATGGATTGTGACCTCCACAAGTCTGCAGCCAAAGATCGCCAGTGCTTCAAACAAGGGGACAGGGACAAGACCATCATCACGGCAAACCTCAAGGGCGATGCCCAAGTTCAAATTCCCAGTCTTTACCAAAACCAGATGCTGAAGTGGATCTGCATCATTTGTCAACGATTTTCAGGTGTTGTGATTCATCGATCTGTCTGGTCAGTTGACAATGTCGGTGTCCGAATCTCCAGCTTGGCTACATTCCAGGAGCATTCCCTCTTGGTAAAGCTATATGACCATGAGGTGGAGAACCTCGAGCTAATCGCCCAAGAACTAGTTGAGAAGGGAGGCATTTCTACAGCGGCAAAGTTTGCTGGTGGCTCGGTACCTTTGTCTATCTTTCTTATGGGAGCCTCTGCTGATATAACGTCTCAAGAACTTTTACATCCAAGTGCGTAAGGCTTTGCTACATCCTAGCTGCAACCCAGGACACCTGTGGGCAGACCCCTCTACTTTGGAGGAGTGGAAGAGGGACCCCTCTTGAAAACTAGATACCCTGGTAGAAGTCATTCACTGGCATCTCGAACTGGATGCCCGAGCTCTGCTAAGAGTTGTGGAGGACAATCTTGTACCTTCGGCTATTTCAGCCAATTCAGCAAATGAGAACAGCTTAGTGGGTGGGGTCCCTTGTGACAAAGTCCTGGTGTACTGCACCTTTCCATCTAGTTACACTCAAATCATGAAGGTACTATTGCCATCATTTTCCCCTTATGCTTCGTTCAATGCTGATCTACTTAAACTCAGGTTCTCCAACTTCATGAGGTCCAGGTGTTGCAGATCCATGGCAAAATAACCATCCCAGCTAGGACAGAAATCATTGCTAAATTCAAAAACAGCAGACGGGATGGGCCTCGGGTATTAATCATCTCCAATGTAGGGCTAACCAGCCTAAATTTACCTTGTGCCAATATATTAATAATCATTGTGGGTATCTTCTTGATCTCCCCTGCCTTCAGCTTCTCATTTTCATTCCAGGTAGGACTGCCTCTGGTCAGCCACAGATGAAAGCCAGCTGATTGGGCGGATCTATCGCCCCCCCCAGCAGAAGACCATCCATGTTTACCGACTTGTTGCTGCAGACACCCAAGATGTCTTTTTAAATAACCTCTCCTTTGACAAGGCTGCTGTGTTGAATGCCTTTACTGGTGCAACGTCCAGCTTAAGTAAATTTTCCACTCTGGCTGGTATAAAAAATTGACGAGAAACACTGTGTAGGGGCTATTTTCCAACATGATGAAGGAGTAGATGACAGGGTCTCTGAGACGGAGGAACTTCCTCCTAAGGAGTCCAAGGCTGCAGCCAAGACCAAAGCCAAGCCTAAGGGTAAGACCAAGAAGGCGGCCTCCCACAAGGAAGTAGACAAAGGCCAGAATGAGGCTGCTGGACAGTTGGCACTTGCCTTAGTGGTTGAGGAGCTGTCAGCAGAGAAGTCTGCCGTCCCTTCCAGTTCTACTTCCCTAGGCCCAAGGGCTGCCTCTGATGCTGGGGAGGATAGCACAGGCACGGGATTAGAGACAGGAGCTCAGGTTAGTGCTTTATTCTAGAACGAAATGAGCCTAAACTCATAGGAGGTGGACCAAGGCATCAAAAAAACAGTCACACAAAAGCCTCCCTCCCACCCTGGGAGAGAAGTCACCCGTCTCCCTCTGTCGTTCTGCAGATGCCCTAAGTGGAGAAGCTGGGGTTCAGGTGAGGACTCATTCTTCTGTTCTGCCTTTGATAAAGCTTATAAAAGAATGCTGGCAGGGGCCTGCCACCTCCTCAACTTCTGTACCCCCCTCCTGCAGGGTAACGGAAGAGGAGAGAGAAGTGCCCGATTTAGTAGGCAAGGGGCCTCGGCCACTTCCACATTTGCACACTTCGCCTCTCAAGCGACCGGCAGATTCTAGCCCAGATGCCAGGGTGTCAAAGGCACCCAAGTTGCAACAGGAGAATGACATTGCTGCATTTCTGGCCAGGATGAGAGACCAGGGAGTGGGCTTTGGCGACATTATCAGCCTCATGGCAGCTCAATCCAGCAAGCGCCTCTCCTTTACTTTACACCTACCTTTGCTGACCATACGACAGATCCATCCTCCCAGGATCCAGCCCCAACCCTGTCTTCTTTTATTCCAGGGTGGAGTGGGGCTGCACTGGCGGCTCCTGCTCCCTTGAAACCTAAGTGAAGTTAGATGGGAGCCTGTTTGGGGCCGGAGTTAATGGATTTTTCACCAAAAATTGTTGATGTCAATGAGGTCCAAATGGTCATGGCATCAGCAAAACCCACTACTGCCATAGTGGGAATAGACTTGCAGCCTGAGTTCAGTGTGGTTATGGATAGAATAGAGATCTGAGAAGTAGAGTAAAATCTTTATTACTTTGACTGAATTTCAATGTAAATACTTGTACAGTTCCCGACTTCTAGAAGGAGGGTTCTGTAGCAAGGATACACCTTATTCTCTACAAAATCGATTGCGGCAAATTCTTATGTCAGCGATTACTTCAGCATCGCAGTGACCTTTGTTTTCGCCCCCACTTATCTTCTTCCCAATATTGTGATTCTCACTAGCCCCTCAGTGCGTTCTTTCATTGTTAGAAATTCCAAGCTCACTTGTTGTATAGGAGTATGTTTCTGGTGAAGGCGCCTTCATGCGTACCTCACGTGTTGGATGAGGGGCTTCGCCCCCCATCTGCTGATCACAGTATATGTGACTGTTCAGATTATTATGACGCACTCTACTATCCACACTATCATCCAGCGATTTTTGTGTCTGCTGAAACTTTTTGTGCATGGCTGTTGCAATGTCTTGTGTCTCATCATCACTCCTGCTTCTTGTGTATCTTAATGTTTACAGGATGCATTTCATTTGATGGCGTCGCAGTTGTGATTACACAGTGTGATGTGTCCGTCTCACTATCTTTGTCTCAATTCAAGAGCCTGCTTTATCGGCACTGTCAAATATTTAGTATCAGACACTCTGACGCACAATACTGTCAACACGAATAACATCAATAGCAGTGTGTATCACCCACATGCATTGTTCAATGTAATAGAATGTAAGGCCAGACAAGAAGGCCATATAATTGATAAGCACTTAGAAGAATGAATGTGGGGGCGCGAGCAGGTATCAAGGAGATGGACCGCAGTAAGTGTTCGCATCAGGGCCAATGAGCATCTCCAAGCTTCTCAATAATGCTGTCAAATATTCTGAGAGGCTGAAGATACGTGTCTCTGAATTTATATGCATCCTCAAGATCTGTTGATGCATTTTTTGCGGCGGAAACTCCAGATGTCACATGTCCCGAAAGAAGATTCATGCCTTTGGCAGCATCATTGGCTTCTTGAAGTGCTGATGAGGGATCAGCGCCTTGTTCCACACCAGGGGGAGCATCCTGAATCTGCGTGACCAGAATTTATGGAGAGTGCATAGACTGAAAGGTGACCTACCTCGATATTTGAAATAGATGAGACACCTTCACGATCAACATTCGGGAGAACAGGGTCACGACTACATGAATCTCTCAAGTTCGAGCACTTTTGTGCAATGTCAGCCTTATTCCAGTGCACTCAGATGATCAATTTCGACTCACAGAAATATTTTTTATTGCACCATTTGTAACCTTCCCCAGAAACCAACATATTTTGCCATGGGGTCGGCCCTAGACAAGGGATGCATTGACAAGAGTCAGCGTTTTGAGTGCAACTTGATGAACATCAGCCATGTACCGGGCGTTCCGCAGGGTTTGGTTCGTTGGAAATCTCGATGTGTGGAGGAGGACCTGACCTCAAGTCCCCCAATTGATTCTGGTCGCTCATGGTGAATAGTTGAGTTTGATAATCAGTCTGTGCAAAGTAGAGCCTGAGTGTGACAAGAAGTTAGGGTAGGCCTGGTGCCCGAGCTGAAGGATGCCCTGCTCATGAAGATGGATAGCTGTAAGCTTGAGGTCAGCAGAGATTTTCCTGTTGCCTATGGATGAAAGCTCAAAGTTTGTAGCAGTGCTATGTAAATTCAGGTAAATTTTCACTAAGTCCTCATTGTTATTATGTGTTTTCAATTTGCGCCAGTGCCATTATATTTGCACACAGCTGTAATACACTAAAGATACACTCAATCATGTTTCAAGCAGATGTGTATCGTAGATTGAACAACTCTTCCTTGTTTGTTGGTCTGTAAATATAAAATAGATATTAGAAAGCTTTAAGTATGAATTAAACAAACATATCTGGTATTAGCACATCTCCATTTGGCTAGATGATAACGGACACTGTGGTAGGGGACCAAAAGCTTGTCACATAGAGGGAACCTTGCATCTGCTAGAAAATACTTGCCAGGAGGGACATATAAGCCACTTAAATGAGCCTCATCATATAGGCATGCATCTGTAACAGATCTCTCTCAGCCAGTAAGAGTGTATGAGAACCTAAGGTTGAAGTCATAGGCAAAGAGATAGTTTTGTGATGCAAAGCCTTTGTAATTCTGGTATGCAGGGTGGTCAGATGATGGGGGGTGTGCTAGGATGTAACTACCATCAATTGTACCAACAGTGTCCTTGAAATAGGGCCAGAACTTGGAATTATTATGGATCATGCTGGGGATAGAGTCAGTGTCATTAGGAGAGTGTATGTGGTTAGTATAGAATGGAGGGGGGGGATGCAAAAATGGAAACCATCTTGCAGAAATATCTGTGAGCCCATTAGTATCATCATAAATAAAAATGATAATTAACTTACTTTGAAATTGTATTGTTTGACCTCTGGAAGTGCTCCCCAACATAACAGACAGTTAGTCCCATAACACACATATACAGAAATATTGCAAGTTGTTCTTCAAGAGAGACATGTCATGAGCTTGCATGACCCAAGGTGTGAAGTTTCACTATAAGTGAGTGAAATATATCTACATCCATTCCAAGTTCACAGTATATACATTCTGAGTGCCTCACAATATGCTTCATGACCTACTCTTGACTAGAAAAGCTCAATGTGTAATATGGCTCCAATACTGAGTCCTGAAGTAAGGACTGTGTGGCAGTGAGAAGAATACTAACAAGTAGTGCAATATGCTGGAGAATTTGCATGTGATCCCATTGGAATAGATGACAGTCTGGTGGCTGAGCAGCCTGAGCTTGAAGCTGTTGGAGCAGGGGGTTGATGGCGTCTATTAATGATGGTGTGATGGATGATTTTAGGTAGCATGTACCAATATTGATATCATGTAATTAAAACTCAGCTATCGGCGGCATCTACTATGCCAACATTATAACATTCTTTAATTTCTCAAATTAACCTTACTGTGGGTTACTATACAAGCTTGTAAGGATCAGTCTGAAATGGCCATTCTGGGTGAAATTCTACAAAAACACCAGGTAGGGTTCAACAGGGATAAACCTATTGGACTTAGTTGCTGATGAGATTAACTCAGAAGGAGCAAAATAGTGGCTTAAACCTTACAACATTCATAGCAACATACAGTAGTTATTTTCATGTATACTATGCATTTGCAACAGGTTCACTGTGCATCAAATTGCTGAAAATTCTATAAAACCATGGGTAGTGATGTGCACAGCCTGGCTTCAGGCTGTGGGCTGGCCTAAGCCAAGCCTAATTAGGCTGAGCCAATGTGGAAACAACAATCTTGCTAGATAATAAGTAAAGGTTGGGTCAAGCTAATGCCTAGCTGCTATGTCTAAATAGATGTGTTTGACCCTAAAGGGAATTGCTACTAGAATGACTGTGGATATATGTGACCCAAGAGTGTACTAAGCATGGGAAAATAGTGGACAGGTAATGTACAAGGTGCAAAGGTGTATCCAAGGCTATCTAAAGTGTGGGAACACACAACCAAAGGTGCAGAAAGTGCGGTGTAAAGATATAACAATTGCTAATTACAACATACAGTAAGCAACCAGCAATATAAAAATGTTGTAGTCTTGCACAGCCTAGTCTGCTATACTTGTGAGACAAGTGCATTCAACCTGAGGGGTTTGCTATTAGGTATTAGAATAATTAGTTATATAAAAAGGAAGATAGTCCAAAGTGTGAGAAACAAAGTCTGAAGGTATAATTACTAGTCCAATGTTTTTGGGTTTTTGGGTTAGTGGGTTGCATCAGATTGCATCAGGTTTGTGTCAGGTTTGTGTCAAGAATATAGCAAATGTTGGGGATAGTGAATGCCGAATGTTTTAGAGTGTTTCAGATAAAGAAAGGATGATATTTGTGAACTTCAGCTAAGAACTACTAATATCAGATGACTTCCTCCTACTTGGAGGTAGAAAGGTAGGTAGAAGGTATGCAAAATATATAGTGTCTATGTAGAATTTTGGAGTGCTATAGATGAAAGTAGTAGCAATAATTTTTGGGTCCGATGTCCTATGTAATAAGACATGCAGTACTGTGGACATGTAATAACATGGTGTACAATGTTAGTGATGTGAAAATGAATAACTGTACACCTAGTGGAGATAGATATGACAGGACAGGACATAGGGAGGACATTTTCATTGTGTTAGCATTGTGTTTCATCAGATTAGCAGATTAGTGTTGGGTTTAGCAGATAAACATGAGATTGAGCGGGTAAGTGTCAGATAACATCGGAAAGTGATTCATGTGCAATGGGTGTTTGACATGCATTGGAAAATAGCAGAATATGAGCCTAGCATGAGCTTGAGTGCTACAGTGGGAAAGTGCAGACAAGATATAGGGAAGTCAAGGAATAAGGTTTAGAGAGAGTGAGGGCAAAGGTATATTACGAGGTAAGGATAATCTAGGCATAGGGGACCTAATAGGGGCTAAAAAGTGCTTATTATAAGGGACCACTCTGAAGGTAAACCTATAGAGAGAGATATATAGTACAAGGGAAGTGTGTAAGTAGTCCCAAGTAATAGTCAACTTATACTGTCTAGACTCTCACTTGGAGTAGGAAGGGATAGGAATTATAGTAAATATATAAGGACATGTCATAAGGCTGCAACATATTTTATAGATAAGGAAATTCACATACCAATGGAGTTTGGACAGACTATGGATGGACAAGAACCTTCCTAATGTATTTCTGTTAAGGTCACATGCTCAAGGGGGTCAGATCAGATGGGCTTGGCCTCAGCTCATATGCTATGCCTCTTTCCCAAGTACGTGCCCTTTATTTCCAGGGGCAGGAAGTATTGCCTAGAGTTTCTGGAATATGATAAGTTTGGAATCCAGATGTCTGGATCTGAAACATAAGATAAATTTGATGGACGTCTGGACATTGGATGTATGAGTAGATAAGGCTAATCCAGACGAAGTCTGAACTAGAAACTAACAGAGGTAAGACTACCCAAAGGTAGAGCTGGATATGTAGTCTAGGATACTTCCTAAGACTTGGAGGTGACAAGAGACTAGGCTCAAGTCCGGAATACAAAGGAATGAGCAGGAACTAAGATGATATTTGAACTAAGGTATTCCTACGAGTTATATACTACTAGGAAAACACAAGGCTATGCACAAAGCATATGGAAAGCTTATTAGTAAGTACAACGGATCATAAGAATTCCATATCGGAAATGAATCATAGGCAATGGATCATAAATCAGGACAGAAACATAAATAACCGGAGTCCAGAGTCAGGGGTATTCCTAAATGGGGTTGGGTGCTGATTTAAGGTTTGAATTCTGGAAATAATACATGGATAGATCTGGATCTCTGGATTTTGGATCTAGTGTTCCAAAGAAGCAGATTTAGAGTTGAGGGTCTGGAATAGAATATGACAGTTTCTGAGGTATCTGAAGCATGGAAATGCATGTCCAATGCAGCCTATATGTGGGAAGGTGCAGATAAGCAGATTCACAAAGTGTGGGAAAAGTGGGTTCAGTTTCAGACATGATTATTTGCTGAGCAATGGATGGATAAGGATAGGAAACTCATAGTGCTCTATACTCCTTGACACATATATGAAAATGACCTATTTGCTGCCTAGGAAGGTTCTGAGTGTCACAGCATGGGAAAAGCAGGTTCGGTTTCAGACAAGATTATTTGCTGGACAATGAATAAACAAGGATAGGAATACTCATAGTGCTCTATACCCCTTAACACAAGTATCAAAATGGCCTATTTGCAGCCCAGGGAGGTTCTGAGTGTCATACTGAGCCAGGCCCAAGTCAGAGCCTGACCATTGCCTAGGGCCCAGCTTAACATATTGAGAAGCCTGAGCTAGCAGCTCAGGCTGCAACTTTATTTCCCTCATCAATGTTGTAGTACATTGTCATTCTTATTCTAACTTGAAATCTCATATCCACTGCACAGTACAGCTTCCACTATCAGATCATAGACAATGTCAATAAGCTATCCAGAATACACTCAGGACTCAGGAGAGATGCACCTCAGTGGAGTGCAATGAGTTGTTATTACTAGTATGTAATATCTATCTCTACTCAGCTTGTAATGATGATTTCTCTCAACAAATCTCACTCTTAGTCTCCAACAGATTTCCACTGGCTTCCATGCAATTGTCAAGGCTGACAGTGCTGAATACCAGACAAGCAATAAATCTGTAAATGTGGACCAGACTGCTATAAAATGGCATGAGCACATTCTCCTGTAAGTTGTCCCCATACATAACAGTGACAGAGATGAGTCTGATGGTTTTCTGTGTGTGCTTTACACTAATAGAAGCTACTATACTCTATTGTCATACTCTCTATCCTTAACAGTATACCTTCCTAGCGTCCCACTTTAACCTCTTGCACCCTCTCTGCACTCACCAGCAACCTCACTTGAAACTTTATGTCCAATGCTGCCACTCGTTTCAATGACATCTTACTATGCTATAGGTACATTCCATATGTAGACTTGACTCTGGTTGGGGCAACTTACTTTTGTTACCATCCTATATAGATACAGCCCTAGTATATGGCCATCTACTGTATACAGGATGGTATGCAGCCCTAGTGGAGCAGCAACTTTCTGATAGTTACAAATATGCTTACATCAAATTTTAGATTATTTTGTTCTTGAAAGCTATTATTGAGCCCAAGCTGAGCTACAGCTTTGGCCTGGCTTGAGCTCATGGCTCAGTCTGAGGTTTTGCAAAGCCCAAGCCCCTCAAAGCTAGGCCTAAGCTAGGGCTTTCAGGCCAAGCTGGTGTAAAGAATTGATTCTGTGTAGGTGCTACAAAAGTGTTACCTTCAGAACTCAATGTGTGAGTATAATGCTTGTCCCAAAGAGACTGCCTATAGAACTACTCCTTGATATAAAATGCAGAGGATGTCTAGTTAAGATTGAAGTAAAAAGAACAGAAAGGTCACCCAAGTGCACTCAATGCTCTGAAGATATGTCCAAAGTACCGAGGTACTCATCTGAAGGGATCCGAAGGTGGTCCGACATCAAGAAACGAAGGTCCAAGGTTGCGTGAAGCATCCGAAGAGCTTCCAATGAACAGCAAAGGTTCTGAGAGTGGAATACAATGGGTATGTCAAAGTATGTCGAAGTATAAGACTTGCAGAAGTACCAAAGTATGACTAAGCAAAGCCTATTGAAAGAACTAAGAGATAACAAGTTGCAAAATGGCAGCGGTCAAGCCAAACAATTGTTCCAAATGAACAAAAAGATCAATTGCATGAAGTTCAACTATCCGAAAGTGACTCTACTAACTATGACTTGTAGCAAGGAAAGTGAAGTGAAGTGCAAGTAGCTAGCAAGGCAGATTATATCCTACAGCGTGAAAGTCTGGAAACTACGTAGGCGATGTAGCACTCAAGCTTGCGCTGAGCATGTATTCAGCTATTTTCTGATGCATGTCAAATGCCCATTGCACACAAATCACTTCCCGATGTTATCCGACACTCATCTGCTCAATCCGATGGTTATCTGCTAAACCCGATGCTAATCCAACGAACCTGACACTAAATCTGACAGACCCAATGTTTCCTGTGCATCGGACCCAATATTTTCCCGCACACTTGTCCTCCCTATGTCCTGTCCTGTCGTATCTATCCCCACTAGGTGCACAGTTATTCATTTTCACGTTGCTAACATTGTAGAACATGTTATTACATGTCCGCAGTACATCGTGCCTTATTACATAGGACATCAGATCCGAAAATCAGCACTACTACTTTTGCCTATAGCACTCCGAAATTCTACATAGACACTATATATTTCACATACCTCCTACCTTATTTACTTACCTTTCTACCTCCAAGTAGGAGGAGGTCATCCGATATTCATAGTTCTTAGTTGGATTCCACAATATCATCCTTTCTTTATCTGAAACATCTGATAGTAACCCACCATTCGCTATCCCCAACATTCACTATATTCCCGAGGCAAACCTGATGCTAATCCGACGCAACCCGAGGCAAACCTGCTAACCCGAAAACATTGGACTCGTGATTATACCTTCGGACTTTGTTTCCTGCACTTCAAACTATCTCCCTTTCGTTATAACTGATTATTCTAATACCATACAGCAAACCCCTCAGGTCGAATGCACTTGTCTTGCAAGTATAGCAGACTAGGCTGTGCATGACCACAACACATTTTTATATTGCTGACTACTTACTTCATGTAGTGTCCAGCAATTGTTGTATCTCTACAGTGAGAATAGTAGCGAGATAAGCTATCCGAAATGTAATAAGACTCGAGGTGAGTCACTACAAAGATATGCATGTAATAGTGCATGAGGCATGCAGCTATATGTATTAATCAAGCTTTCCAACAGGCCAACAATGTATGTGCCCCTAAGACATAATCAATAATAGATGAACAAGGTAAAAATACATCAGCGAAGTCAAACAGACACGGACAGGACATGGTATGAAGGATCAGAAGTATATACAGGCCTTGGAAGGGAATGTATGAGTGCATGGAACTCTCAGAAGGTAAGAGGAGTGTTGGAGAGTATAATGAGAGACACCTATGAGATTAGCAGGATACGTGCCCAGCATTGATCCGAGTGCTACACTGGGCCTGCCCACTAAGGAGGGATCCCATATGTCCCACCACAATCTCCACTTTGTAGTGCTTGCTCTCATCTGGAAAAAAAATTGGCCTTGGATGGTGTTCAGGGAATCCATAGGCAGAGGTTCAAGTACGCCAAGTATTTGCCCCATCACAGAATGAAACTTCATTAGTGCTTCCTCTGTAAAGTCGGAAGCATGTGCAACCCTTACCTGTACAGTGGACGAATATCTCTACATCGCGAGTGACTTGGTCCCGAAAGCTTTGCATGAGCATGTCCAACACATCAATGTACTGCTGAGTCATACTTTCTGCTTCTGAGATAATGTTTTTTCTGAGTCTCTTCCCTACAACAATAGTAGAGGATAGGTAATGAATGAGCAAGCAAGCAAAGCACAATAATTCATGGATTCCTCACAGAAGTTTTTTGTTGCAGAGTAATCTTTGATAAACTGGGAGCACTCCAGAGTCTGCTGAACTATCTGTCTGATGATCCCCTGCATCGACGGAATTCCGCCGAGAGTCTTGTCTTGCATCATGAAATTGTACACTTGACCTAAATTCTTGAGAAGCCGGAGTATCCCTTGGTCTCGATCTGTTTGAGCGAGAATTATCTGCATGGATGGTGGCTGAGCATGAGATAAGACCCGGAGTGAAGCAATACGTACTTTTGAGGCAGAAGACGGTAGGCCCAGTAGAGATTAGTGTGGGTATACCCTGGGGTATCTGAGGTGATACCCCTACCCTTACCTACCAATATACCTCCACCTACCATGTGGGTGTGGGTTTTTTGAAGGGTACCAGAGATAGATACCCCTACCCACACCCATGGTGGGTATACCCCAGGGTAACACTTTTTACAATCACATATATCACTATTTAAAGGCAAATGTACAACTTGAAAATTTTATACTTATCCATCACTCCTATGGTAATCAATTTGGGGATATATTCCCAGGGGTACCTACCAATTGTCCAGGGGTACAGGGGTCTCCAGATCCAAACCCCTACCCCTACCCTCAAGTACCCTTACCCTTGCTGGTCCCTAACTACTAGCAGCACTTTCATTATTCTTTTGTTTGTTTGACGAGCCTTCCCGCTTCTTGTCTAGTGCAGCTTTAGCTTTGTCTGGTAGTTTTGTAATACACTTGGCAGTGCCTGAGAAAAATGTAGGATGCATGCTGTGATGATCATAAGAGCACTATGTATAGGTTTAGAGTTTAAGATTCATGTCTAATGTGTGTTACTAAATTTCAAAATAAGTCATATTTGCTTACAGACCCCCACCCATACCCCAGAGGTACCCACACCCACGACCCACGTGGGTTGAGGATACCCATGCTAATCCCTAAGGCCCAGTGCCATCTTTGTGTAAGGGTGCACCTGTGCAAAGGAATCAGTTCAGTTCCAATCAAGAGGAATGGGCCCATACACCTCTCTAGTGTTTAAATGACTATTTATATGCAAACATTCATGTCCAGTGAAAACTGGCCCTTACTGGAGAGGGTTGGAGATGTCATAGTGTGACTTGCCTTATCTGTACTATGTCAAATCTACTGGTTTCTTATCTCTTCAAGTTTACTGATGATTACCTTTGCATCGCACATTGCAAACTGCAGACTACACATCATAAACACTGAATAGGCTATATATATTCCTTTGCACTACACATTGCAAACTGCAAACTACATATTGTAAATTGTAAACATTAACTTTGCTGCAGTACAACAGTCTCACAACTCATCTGTTTTACTATGCAGCCTGTGAGTATATCCTAACAGTATAATTAAGATAATAATATGGTGATTATTAGCAAAAATGTTTCTGGGCTCAAGCTCACAGCAGCTTAATGATACTGTTGTAAAGAGTTGATTCTGTGTAGGTGCTACAAAACTGTTACCTTCAGAACTCAAAGTGCAAGTGTGGTGTTCATCCAAAGAGACTGCCTATAGAACTATCTTTGACTTAGGAAGTCAGGGATTCATCATTGATGTCATCATCAATCAACTGTATAATTTTTTCAAAAGTGTTCTTACACATCAGAGTATAGGTGCCTAGAGATCTGGATCTGACAAAACCCTCCCACTAATGTGGTGGTCAGGGATAGCATAGAAACATGCATTATTTATTAGCTACGAAGCTATGAAAGAATAGATGACCAGGTAGCAGCAAAGCACTGTAACATAAGCAGCCAATATCCTCGGGCATACTCCATAGCAGGAACATTATCAATTTGAAGTGCTACGGGAAAGACGGATTATAAAAGATAAGCTAATTCACACTGGCGAAATTCAAATTAAGTATGCTGGTCACCGAAAGCTGCACAAAAAATTAATGTCCAATTCGATGTTTCATATGACGTCGGCGATGCTGCTCCACCGTTCGTTCCGTTAGTGAGGAGGGGTCGTTGGTGGAGCATAACTGCTTCCATGTGCCTACGGAAGCCATAAATGAGGTCACGATATAATATATCGGTTCTGAGCCTTACTCGTTACGTTTAGGGTTGATGCAGCACCACTGGTATCCTCTGCGAAGATCACAGCCATACCCCTAAAGAAGTTGAATCAGATTGATCACATGGTGGCAAGACAACACCTACTCTTCCATGTGGAAGTCGATGTGGCTAGAAGATGTCATTTGAATTAGCCAGGCACAAGAACAGTATCGAGATCGTACCAGTGCAGAAACCATGGCCCTGGATTATCGGTTCTAAAGCGAATTGTCACGTTGTCACCTGATCTGCCATTGCTCGTCGTATCCCGGCGTACAGGATTGACGTAGTTGTAGACGTCACTTCCAGCGCTTCTTACGACAGAGAAGGGGTGCTGTGCGATACATGAATCAGAGTGCTAACAGGATATAGCAAGGGATACTCACTCCGTGTAAGTGAAAAGGATGCTAGAATGATGGTGCATGAGAAGCGTAAGGTAAGGAGGTATTAGCATTGCCTACCGGTCCCTCAGGCTGTCCGCCAGGTATAGACACCTCGATGGTTTTATTGGCAGGCAAAGTGTAAACCGATCCATAGGGTTGCAGCTCAGAAACGTCCAAATTTCCGTTTAAAATTTGCAATAAGACCGGAGTGGGAGGCGACGTATAGCTGTAGCCATTGATGATATAACTCATGCGGCCATCCCATACGGCGTCCAAATTTATCGACACGTCCGCGCCACCGGACTCCGCTACACCGGGGGCTGAAGGGTTTACCAGCGCATGCAAGTTCTCTTCGCTCAAAGGGTTGGTCATGGTCCAATTTCTGGGGATAGGGTCTATTGCCGGAGCTCCATCATATTTGAGTATCGCAGAGTTGAGACCTCCCGCAAAGCTAGTATCATAATTGGGCATCGCATGAATCCAGTAGCTGTCGATCGGCTGGTCTGCAACCAGGATAAAAGAGTACCGTTGCCCGGCCATAATTTGGATCGAGTCGACTTCCAGAGGTGTCGTGTATTCACTGTCCGCCTCGATGACTGTGAAAACGTGATTGTCAATCGTAAACACGTAGTTTGGTCGGCATGCCATATTCATTAACCGAATACGGTAGCGTTTTCCTGGCACGACGTGTATGACAGAAAGAGGTAGCGCTGGTCCACCCGGATAACGTCCCACACCATTAATGAGAGTCGAAGCGGGAGTATCACCAAGGGCAAGGTTGTAGGCGTTCACGTGGTACCTTTGACCAGATGGTTTAATCAAAGCAGTAAAGGTGCTGATGATCTTACCAATCTATGAGAGTAATGATGGTCGATTCTATATTGTCGTTAGCATGTTCAATTACGCATGTAGTCAAGGTTTAGACCGACCATCATCAACATCATACATCCCCAGGTAAGGATCCTCTGGGTCATAGATGATCAATGCTCCTCTCATACCTTCACCTGCACGAGCGGTGAGATTTGCTTGCACCAGTGAAGAATGAGATCACCAACAGTACTGGAGCTGGAAATGTGAATGATACCTGAGACACCGGTAAATAAATGAATACAAGGTAAAATGAAATCTCTCACCAAAATGAGCCGCTCTGGTCCTCTGGCGTGAATTCATACAAGAACGAGCGCCCAGACGTGATGGGGCACTGAGTCACCATGGGTGATCCATCCATTTCAGCCGACTCGTGCTGATTGATTCCATGCCAGTGCTGAAACGAGGTCAGCGCTGTTCCAGAATACAAGAAAATACTGACAACGGTCGTGCTCTTGTTCATCGACTCGTCCACCAGCAAATTCGTGACGTTCACTTGGAAGCGTTCGCCCTTAATGAAGTAAATCTTCCTGGTAGGGACAGTCATATAAAATAGACCACTACCTTCTGTGCAGTGAGGACTGGTCCAGGAGTTTGGCCGTTGACCACGATGGCACTGAAAATGTTGGTTGAGCATGAGAAATCAACCAACCGCGTGTCAACAACATACTTCATTGAAAAACCGTCGGGGGCGACAATGGCGTTTGAAATGATAAGCTCAGCATTGAGTGCCGCACAAGACGACACCAAAGCCGCCAGAAACCAGATAGACATGGTTCAAAACTTGGCTATCACCAATGCTACTGAGAGAGGTCGCGTACTAGGCTGGTAAAATCATTTTATCATCCCTCCCGTTACGTATTTTTCGATCGGTCAATATTTCCTCTGGGTAAAAGTAGCGAAGTAGCGGCAAGGCAGGAGGAGAGGTCCATGTCGTGGCGCGCTGAACAACAAAGGCCTTCGCCTTGCCTTTGCCCGACACTCTCCCGATGCGAGTACTGACCACATCATGATGCTGCCAAGTTGTATAGGATCCACAGCTCCAGACCAAACCCAGACTCAGCATGGTTGACGTGTGACTATTGAACTAACCGGAAAAGAAAAGCACGGACGAGCTGAACAAGGACTAGCCGCCCGAGCAAGGGACCGAATTGCATAGGCAAATGAAATGATCGGTCTCCATACCACTGGCAGCCTATTACGTAGTACTGCGGTGATCTCGTGAACCGATCACGGTTTTCCAGGGATTTCCCTTGAAACGAGCATTGTCGCCTGCAAGGCTTCGTCGGACACGTTGTTCCACTGGGTCAATACACATCCTAGTGTAATATTGAAATTATCCAGGTATTATCCACCAACAGTCCCAAAAGTCTAAGTAGCCATCACAATAATATGATCATATGCAAACCTGCCACGAATCGCGGTGCATGGGAACATATCGATAACAAGGTGGCATTAATCCCGGCATGTCCAGACAAGCCCATACGTCATGAAGTACGTTAACATCGCTGCGCAAGAAAATCAGAGTCCAAGATAAACATATGCATACAGAAACTGTTCGAAAATTATAACCCTGGTCACTTGTCTTGTTTGTCTATTCCACTGCTGCTGCCAGGGTCATGCATCTTATCCTGGCCTGAAACAGCTCGTGCGCTGGGCGATGAGCGTTTCTCATCCGCAGCACTTGATGCAGCACGCGGCCGTTTGCGTGATGAACGCGGCGACATCAGTGTTCCTCCATTAGAAGACTTATCCGGATGAAGGTCACCACCGCGTTCAGCGGAGTAATGCTCCGCATCGCGATCTCGTTCCCATGAGAGACCATCTCGCCCATTAGCGGGGGGTAGTGTCATATGGAGCTGTTGAGCGCCTGACTGAGATCCATTCTGCGACAGGAAATCGAGCCAACTAGGGTCCCCAGGAGGCCCTATTACGGTCTAAGGATATTTCCACTAGAAGAGAAATGTGAAACATACCTGATTCTTGCTGTGGAGGTTGCGAGGGAGGTGGCAGCGGCGGCTGTGATGGCCCGTGGGAGGGCCAATCGAGCGGCGCGTATTGTGGACCTGTGCTTTGCGGCTGTCGATGCTCATCGTTGTCTAAAAACGTGGATAACAAGGAGTCTGGAGGCTGCTGAGAATGCAAACCGCTTGAGTGGCTGTGTTGACCTGGCGAATGATTGTGCCGCATTAGCTGGTGATACATTCCTTGTAATTGGGGGTCCTGAGGTTGAGAATACGATGACCGTTGGCTGCTGTAGCTATTATTACGCGGTAAATTAGAGCCTCGGGACGACGAGGACGGGAAGTCAAAAGTCGAAGGCAGGAAGGACTGCGGGGGACTGTTTGACACTCCCATGTATCCATTATACGGAAGTTGGTGAGACGATGGACCGTTCGATCGATATGCAGTAGAATGAGCCGACGTGGGTGAAGGGAGATAACCACCATTGTACATAGACTCGTCCCCTGAAAGCTTGGAGCCACTGCCTCCATGAACGTTGGGCGCTAGACGTGGCTTCTTTTGAGAGCTAATTTGACCGTTTGGAGGGAGCAACCGACCGGAAGACGAATGGCGTTCTGTGGAAATAGGAAGTGCAGATCCCCCACCAGATGATGGAAGCTGTGACGAGTGATGAAGGGGCATGGGAGGGGGAGGGATGGTCATAGGACGGTGATAATCAGCCATCTGTTTCAGAGTGAGTGAAATGAGAACAAAAAGATCAAATGGTGATCTCACATCAACGTTGAGACCCATTTCACCTCCTGAAGGAATCAGAAGTTTCGCATTGTTACTGTATTCCGCCTTGAACTTGGGCTCGTGGCGCCTCTTGCTTCCACGTGTGGGAATAGAATCTGGGTCGTCGTCATCGTCACCCTCGTCATCGTCAATATCGGCATCATGATGAAGTTTGGCATTGGCGTTGTTCGCGAAATCGTGGGGAGTGCGGGTATCCTTCTCTCCATCGTACTGAGCAAGAAAAAAGTCGGTAAAGAACAGACCAAAAAGGAAAAGAAATTACTTACGCGAACGTGACGCTGAATGATATCGTGGATGTCGCCAGAACAGTATTGATAAAGTTTCAAGTGATGACCCGCACGTTCCTCTGATGGTGATGATGTTCATGTTAGGAAGGAGACATATATGGGATATGAAAAAACTCGCCAAAGATGACGACGGCGACGTCAACAGAGCATAGGACACCAAGTTCATAGGCCTTTTTGAAGAGACCATTCTTACGCTGTAAGGAGGTGAGGATAATTATAAGTTATCAGGTGCCAAGCTATTAATGGCAAAAATAGCCAAAGGCTTACCTTTAAAAAAGTTACTGAACGATTACGCTCGTGCTATGTTTAAGAATTACAGAGAGGGACGTTAATGATGGATCAAGAGGAGGTCAAGTAAAATTGGAGTAAAGCGCGCTGGCACAACCGCGACCGAGAATAGCAGCAGGCCAACTACATAATAAAAATGAAACTTACGGTGATCGGTTGGATCTCAATTTTTCTCCTGCCCATTTTACTATCGAAAGGGATGAAGAGACGATGAAGGGAGAGATGATGGGAGTACAGAAGAGAGATGGCAGTGGGCGAGAGGATGGGAGCCTTGTCTTTGAAGTTTGGATCTTTCACTGGCGGCAAGTAATTCCGCGAACGGGTGCCGAAACCCAAGCAACTGCAAACGGCGCTCATCAGATTCAGAGATCGGGATTAAGGCCACAGTCCCGGATTTCACCGGATTCTATCATTTTATACAAATTAGGAAGTAAAGTTCATGAAAAGATCAAGCTAAAATACCAAATTTGGTTAAACATCTTTCGTTGAAATGTCAGTCTGATTCATCCAATAGTAAGCTTCCTATGAATCATCATCTCTACCCTTTTTCTCACACTAACTCGCCATCCCGCATCTCCGCAGCCTAACCTCGATTCAACCCAGCGAGAGTCGAGTCCCTCGGAGGCACACCTTTTCATGTCCGCGTAGTAATACTACTAAACCACTAGTTACTATCTGCGCAGTAGGTTTATCCAACACTTCAACTGACACTGCAACCGATCTTACTTCACACCCCTTGTTTCGTCAATGATCGTGCCTTCTACATAGGTCTTCTGACTCCAGGTTCGGATCCAAGGACGCCCGTTTCTTCATCCCAGGCAGCTGACTTTTGGCTAGTGAACCGATTTTTAACCGGCATTCATACCAAGTCGGCCGGACTGTCGTACCTGATCGAGTTTGAGTGCTACTCAGCTGCGAAGCGACGTCACTCCTACAAAGCGAATTTATGATCGCTGAATAACCCAAAATTATGATATCGCCCAAAATAACAAGCTAGCTTGTTATCTTTGGAACATTCATATTCATGTGCGTATTTCTGTCCATTAATTTGGCCCCTCTGAAGCTTGTCAATGTAGCATACTACAACACTCGCTCAACGACGAACTAATGCTACTGCAGAACCCTGGCGCGTTCAAACGGCGCCCCTGTGTGTTCCATGTCGCATAGTGTGTGATAATCACGCAATCCCTACCAGGCCGCCGTGCAATATACTTCCACGCCTACTAAGTACCATATCCTATGCGCTTGTTTGTCTGCCTCGCGTCTCCATCATTCCCGGTCTTCCCGTAAGTCTTCTCGCCATCCGCAGCTTCATCTATAGCCCATCTGATCCCAATTGCAACCGTATGTTCTAATATAGACATTTCACTCTCACCCAGATTCTCGAAAAGCACCGTGTCGACGGATGCGAAGCGACCTTTCCCCCCACTTAGATATTTCAGGATCCATGTCCTCGATCACTTTCTTCAAGCTCAGAGTACCTAGCCTAGTGTTCCATACGGTTAGCGATAATTATTTTTGTCGCGATAACTCAGCGAGCAATAATTTGTTTGCTATAGCCGTTGATTAGGGCACATCGGATGGCCTTTCAAAAGCGTACAGGAGTCTGTTATCGCAAACCGAACCCGCATACCCCCAAATTTCTCCCCGTACAAATCCCTATTTCCTATGTCCGACATGAATTATTCAGCAACTTGCCCAATCCTCAGTAGCTTCGCTGATTTACTCCGTCTTCGTTCCGAGATGCCGGCGGCACGCCATGGGTCAATCAAAGGTGGCAAAGTTCCTTGCTTACCCACTCCACAACCCTAATGATACCTTACAATTTCCTTTATTCGATATCCTCTGTGTCGATGGCGTTTTCACGATCTCCTGAACATGTGGCTTGTGTCAGTGACTGTACTGTTTGCTCTCACACACGAAACCCGAGCTGTTTTACTCCCTCGGACTTCCGTACAGGCGCCTGCCCGTCATACGAACGGCAGACAACGTAATCTTCTTATCTCTTGCCACGGAGATATCCCGGTGATCTCCTGTCTTCCTTGAGGCTTCCTGCCTCTTGTCGTACTGTCTTTTGTTGTGCTGTCTTCTGTCATATCTCTCTCTCCAAAAGGCATGCCGTGACGAACATATGGAATCCCGCAATATGTTAGTTGTCCATCTACTCTCAAGATCGAGGCTATCCAACCAATACGATCCGGTCACATGGTACGCGCAATGTTTCACGACATCCATTCGGTGATTGCCTGCTCGGAGGATCGTCCTATGTGGAGATCCTTACACATGTGTTCGAAGCTCCTGACTCCACCCTGATCTCCCACCAATCCCTAAACTCATGAGATATCTTCTATTGCCATATGGTCCACTAGGAACTTTACGATCACATGCGATGTCTGGCCGATCAATCACCGTGTCGCAAAGCCGCTCCTATCTTGACAATGTTTCAGGTGTCGCCATGATGGACGCCACGATCAAGCACACGGGAATGTTCTGATTGATGCTATCAGGATTGGAAAATTGGAAACCATTCCTTGCCCTAACATGTTCCGCATACCTCCAGCATGCTGGAGATTTGGCAAAGGGCTACCACCACTTTTCCGGCCCGTTCCCGGGAAGCGAGACGTGGGGGCAGGTCTTGGCGATCTATTGTCTAGCCTCGCTCCGTGGACGCTTCTCTGTCATGAGTATGTAACCTCGTAGTTCGCACAGGTTGCACGCATAGATGATGGCCTTCGAAAGCTTGACCCAATAGAGTTTGACAATCAAGCGGTTCCTGTGGTTGCATCATGACATTTGGCTGAAACGAGATTCATTGGCCGATAGAAGGCCGCATGAGAAGAGTCTGGCCGCTTCGATTCACGTGCCTCGTTAGTGCAGGCTCTCGCGGCCACCGATAATTAGTGTTGATTTGCCTTTGCATCGGTCGGCTTTCCGGGGGGAAACTCAGGGAAATGGGAGTTAACGCCTTGGCACTGGTCATGACGTTACTCTTGTTTGATGAGCCCGCGGCGGAGGCCAATTACTTGGAGATGACTGATCAATATCGATGACCGCCGGGTGGTATTTTACACACTAGCACCCGCGAAGCCCATCCGGACTGGGTAGGTAGGATAAATTGTGTGAATGCATAGTAAGGGTCGTATGACTGAACTAAAGGTGTGATTAGGTTTAGATACACAAATAGCCCAGTCAGTATTATACACTAAGAAGACATGAAAGATACACAATGGTTAACGTTGACCATTCCTAGTAGGGGGATCATATATCTGAATTGCATACTGAAGCAAGAATAGATGCCGCGGAACTATTCCGCAATTCACCCGTTCCTGAGTAGTGAGACCTCATACAAAATGATTGTTCTCTCTCTGCTCAAAAACGTGATAAGGTTAAAACCTTTTCCCTTTAATATTATTGGCTCACCGTATGTGCAGCCGGCGGGGGACCTGGAGGCTATGGGTAGCGGCATGAGTATGGAGCATGGTTTGATAAAGATGCTACTACTTACCGAGGAGTAATGTGTTTCCTGCGGCATCTTGGCTCCTTCTCCTTTCACATAGGGAGGGGGAGGGGGTTGTGATCCAGGATACTCATTATCGTATGGATTCATGTTTGCGGTATTGGCCGGGTGACCAGGTGGAGGCGGAGGTGCATACGTCTGCGCTCCATGCCATATTGGAAGTGAGTAAGGTGGACCTGGCTGAGGATTCGTCGGCGGCTTGGTGACGAAAGGCATCGAACTACGTCGACGTCGACTCGTAGCTATACAGCATACTATGAGTAATAAGAATAAGAACACGACGCCTGCAGATTAAAATTATCCCTATCGTTCGGTTAATGCTCTTGATAACGGTCAAGAATATCTCACCGACTACAATCCCAGCGATCCGTCCACTCCAATTGTAGCTATACGTATCGGAAGCCTGCGCATACGCAGAGGATGACAGGCAGAGAAAAACAGCAATCAATTGAGTTGGATTGTAGTTCATGATGGTACTAATCATGAAGCGTGTTTCAGTGTCCGAACAGTTTCATACCGTATGCGCAGTTCAAGCGCAGCTCAACGCAGTCCCGGTTGGAATTACGTCATTTGGAGGGAATGACGCTAAATAGCCAGGAAAGGAGATTTGCGAGAACTAAGTCCTGGAAATGAATTCAGGGCCACAAAAAATATTTAGTCTGAGGAGCGCATCGACACTATAGCTAGCTAGCTCTGCCGCCAGTAGTACGGTCGAAGCAGAAAAAATCGGTTGCATGCCTTCTGGAACCGCAATAGGTTGTTTCTTCTGAGCCACGAGCTCCAGACTCCATGGCAGGAGACTAGGCTCTAAAGCCCTCGGATTTACCCCTTTCCGTCAACCTCAATGCCCCCTTCTAACCGAAACACGTTCAAAGGCTATACAGAGTGTGTTGTGAGTACTTGCGCGGTACAGCGTGCACAGAAACACATACACACTCCTATTTGATAATGATTATGACGGTTGGCCAAGCAAGGACAGTGCCAGTGCATCTCGAACCCAACGCAGAGAGAAATTTTCTAACGCACAAACGGAGGTCACCAGAAAATTCAGCATGCCTCGTGATCGATACACGAGAAAAATGATCAACAGAAAATTCGAGTGGTCTAGCGGCTTCGATGGCATACAGTTCGAAATGATGGTTTAGTCATTAGTCGCTTCCATTGTAATACAGAAAGGGTACTCCAAAAAATTCCGAACCAATGAATCAGGCCATCCTCGGTAAGCTGCTCGTCTCATCCGGCTGTGCGTTTCAAATCTTCGAAAGGATCGCTTGCGGCAAAGATGATAGGGAGGATGCATCGAAAGTCCCTCCCCTTGGGGATCTTCATTCGACGCAACCGCACGTAGCCGTAAATGCTTCTAGATCCTCGCGTCTATCGATCGAGGGGGTTATAATCAAAATCAACGTCTCGCTAGAGGAACCAACCTAGTCCGCAAGATTTCACCACAGGCTCCGTGCAGGGTATCAGAATACATAAACGAAACAACGCATGTACACGCACTCACCTAGCTGATCAAAGGTCGAGCATGTCACAAAGCACATCCTGTTTGCCCGCTAGAGACTAAATTCCATATGTACAACAGACCATCGTAAGGTGTTTTGTTCTTGTGCTCGAACGATCCTCCTCCCAGGTTCCCCTCTATCTTCTCCCATAGAGAGGGAGAATATGGGTACATTCAGTGTGCGAATGGATGGCCGGCAGGTGAGAACGCGAAGAAGAAAGGCATGATTCTGATCGAACGTACACACGTTCATGAGGAACAAGCGGCACGTGGTTAGGTTGCCAGTGGGAGTTGATCAGGACCGCAGGACCCTCCAGGTCGAGATGATCTTGTAAAGGAAATCCGGCTTCATCGTATACACAATCAATGCCAACTGGGTCATGGGAAGAGAATATCGGAAGAGGGGTAAGATGCTATGATTCGTATCAGTAGAACCAAATGAGATGAACATATCTTCTTCAAGCCCCCAGCCTAATGCGAACAGGTCACTTGGTTTTTATGTTTCCTTCTGGTCGACTTGCTAGATCTGACATGGACGTTTCGGAACAACGTGGGACAGTACTGCTGTCACGTTTGAGTCTATTTCCGAATCGTTGAACACTCCTCGGTTCAGCACTTACAATCATTATGATCAGCAATTAATGATACGAACCAGATCCACAGTACTTCGACTGTTCAATTGCCTATACACTATTTGCTTGAAGGTCAGTACTAGTTGAAGGATCAGGTTGAACGTGAACTCACTGATCGGGATCTTTATTGTAAGTTTCCACTTCTACTCCATGACATAGACCTCAGAACATGATCCGATTTTGTACTTGCTCCATCATCATCTTAGGTCAAATTCTCCAGACTTCCACACGCTCGACTCTTTCAACAGCTACAGCCAATCTCTTCCACAATCGCGCTTTGTATCACAAAAGCGCAGTGTTGAGCTCGAATTCACAGCAATCACCGTATATGTCTAAGCCCGACTTCATATCCTGGACGCAATCCCACCTCGGCGCTCTCTACGAAGCGCGAGAGGACGAGCTATTTGTTAACGCCTTCGATACTGCATTCTCCCCCTCTTGCGAGGTCCATGTGAACCATGCACCTTCGACACTTGATGCTTTGAGGGATAGCATCTCATCGCGCAAGGCCGCCGCCAAAGGAGTTGCACTCTCTTGGGAGAACGTTATCTCCACTGGTAATCGTCCGGACGAAGTGAGTCTTCATGCCCAACATTATGGTATCGCCATCAAACGCCTATTGATAGCCCTCGGTGGTTGCCGGAACTTTAATTGTCACTCGTAGCATGATGTTCCGCGTTCGCGCCGCTCCTGCTGAGCGTATGACTCACATCAACTTCAGTGCAAGGTATGATTCAAATTGCTTATAACCCTGCTGTCCCTCACATTTCAACTCTAGGGTGGAATGTCCAGAAGATTCTACCGTTCAGGCAGATGAAAATGATGACCGTCGCCGCATCACCAGCCTCTATCTTACCTCGGTGGACACAGCACCAGCGATTCACTTCGTGACACCCCATCCAGTTAGCCAAGAAAAGAAGAAGTAGACTTACCGAAAACATGAGTAGGAGTCCTTTGATATCTGTATCAGTAATGACCGCATGGTGGATGCTCATCCACATATTTCCGAATAGATAGGATTAAGTCGTCACAGTCGAGTGGCTTTTGCACAGTTCTGGGCCAGCCGCGTGAGGGGCATAAGGTTGTGCTCAGGCTGGGTTTGAAATTTGCACCGGTTCTAATTAAAGTCCACACCTGCTCAACGCCTCACGGTACGCTCCACACATTCGAAGCAGTGGTGGGGAGCCTGTAAGTAGTACAGTTCTCTTGTGAGCTAGGTATGCTTGTCGTTCATCCTGCAAGTTGCTGTGATGTCTGCCTTGATCCCTATTCCATCTCCTCAGAAGCTGCTCATTCTCCACATGCAATTGCCTGTGGTCATATATTCTGTCTCACGTGCGTTCCTACTCCAAGCTATGTTACTCCCAGCAATCATGTTTCTCCTCTTATATGCGACCCTTCAATCCCAGATGCCTTCGCTCCTTGCCCCTAAGTGCATGTCCTCTCTGCCGCGAACCTTTCCGGCCAGATCGTGTCAAGAAACTCTACCTCGCCAATCCATCCAAACAAGACGATGCTGAACAAGATGCTGAACAAGATACTAACGATGATCAGCATGCTAGCCTCCTTTTGCATCGTATGTCTCTAGTCTCAGGCGAAGACACGCCCGACGCAGAAGCTGTCAAAGTAGTCACCGAGGTGCAAGAATGGCTGAAATCTCAATCGGGTAATCCAAATTCTGTGAGTCCTTTTCGTTGTGCGGGCGCACCGCCAAAGCAACGTTTGCTGCCAATTTCTCACATACGGCACTTTTAGCATATTCCACTACGAGCTGCAGTAACCTCCCTCCAGCGAATCAAAGCTCTTCAAGACCAGATCGAGCGCGAAAAAGCAGAATGTTGTCGCCTTCGTGACAAGCTTCGTACCTGCAAACTTTACGCAGACCTCGACTCTAAGACATCTCGCATAGTTGAAGAAGGTCTGCTTTCTAGGATTCAGAAAATAGAGAATGAACATGCTCTGTGAGTCTCCGCTCGTAAGCAAACGAATATATTCTAAAATGAAATCTGCAGAGAGGTGATCATTTGGTTGAGCGGCATTCATGTTTGACTTACGTTGCGTCCTCGTAGCTGTTACGATTGCATTCTCAGCTGGAAATCCTTGTAAAATCTCAACCTCGATGCTCTAACACCAACAATCTCATCCCTCAGCCAATTCAATCTCCTCGCGCAGTGGATTTGGATATCCACATACGGAGGGGACACAATAGTGAGTCCCTGTCCTCTGTACTATCGTACTTTACTCAATTGCTGTATTTGTATTTCAGTCGCCTTCTCATTGATTGTTTTCGTCGATATCATCGAGGTATATCCACTTCTTATTTCAATGGCTAAATAATAACCCCTTATGGCAGTTCGCGATATCAACCTGGCTCACATCACAGTTTGATGTTCATCATAACTACTTCAGTCTAGCTGGACGAGACTGCACTCATTTTATATTGTTCACTTCAACATGGACGCTCATATACTCTAGTTACCGCATTTTTTTCTTTCCTCCTCCAAACAGTATCTTGGGTAGTATGACTTTTCATATTTTCTTGTACGTAGACCTCCTTTGCAACGAGTCAAAATTGCTGATCAACTCGCTATAGCCTGTGTCTAACATGGGTCTTCTGGGCCGTGGGCGCTGCAAGTTTAACTGCAGCTCTTGGTGGACAACTGAATCGCAAGTTGGTACATCTTCCTATTACTCATCGTTCTCCTTGTATCTTTTTAGTGCCCAAAGCCTTTTCGTGTACAGCGGTCAAATTATCGCGCTAGATGTCTTCGCTTGGGTTATTTTGTATGTATCACGGAATCGTTGATATAATCTATTAATATCGCTTCCTTGTTCGTATTCTTATTAGGGTTCTCGTAACTTTTGCAATCTTCGTCGTGCACACCCGCGGCATTCTCGCGGCAAGTCGAGGTGACGGCGCACGCCAGCCGCAGATTGCCTGAAGGTTGTCCCATACTGCCGTGGTTACTACCAGCGCGAGACGTCATCCCTTGTTCCGTTTCTGTTCTATGTACAACTTATTTCTGCGTACTCTCCTGACGATCTGCTTGCTGTACTACCAGTACTTCTTCATCTACGTCATGCATTGCCGTTATGGCTATAATCTTCTCATTCCTGGCATTCATAGTTGATACTCATTCCCTCTTACGATCCAATGGCAGGAGCCCCACCTAATTACCAATCTATCACTCCCAGTTCTTTCTATCCTGGTCACCCGTGCCTTTGCGTGTTCAGGCCAACTTTCTAATCTTCGCAAGACTCCCCGTCATTCGAGCTAGAGATATGTCACCAATCTACATGTCTTTGCATTGAGAGTTTTGGCCAAGTCCGTATCAAGATCTAAAAACGTATCCTACACAATTTCGTGCCCATCACTGCTCTCTCATTTATACCCCGTCTACCTAGTAGGACTGACGGGAATATTGTGAATACACAAGTCCCAGCCCTTGGGATGATCATAAGCTTACCCGCAATCGAGCCTTCGCATCAGCAAGGTTACGAGCTGACGACCAAATTTCAACATTTTCCTTCCTATCATCAGACATGGCATAAATATTCTCCATAATCAGCTGGTCGGCCGTCCGCCCTCTGACGCGCATTAGGGCATGGAGGTATTTCACCACCAACGAGGGCTCTCGTGAAGGAACCAACTCCTCGAGGGTTTCCCTGTACTCGTTGACGAGATCCTGAATCGCAAGGCTTTCAAGAGCAGAACCGATGATGCAGGTCGACATAACCCTGGCGTCAAGTAGTGGAACTACAATGCCCCTTGAGTAAATTGATGTCAGTCGAACGGATCGTCTGCCTCTGTAAGAAACTCACGCCGTTATGCGGGTTAGACCACGGTAAAAATCAAGCGCATTCTAGGTAAGATTGAATGATTACGGTCTATCATGGACCTTGGTATGTTCTTACATGAAAGCGACTCAAGCTTGGTTCGCAAGCGACGAAATGCTAAAATATGCATGTCGACAAATAGAATGTGTTGAGAAAGAGAAACACGCACTAGAGTGATCTTCTTCTGGAGCATCTCTCTCGCCAGATCAAGAGGGTCCGGCACTGGAATGTATGCATTCATTCAGAATTCTGGAGTTCTCCACGACGAACGGCAACGAGTTCTCACCACCTGGTACACCGTGGGGCCAGTAATCGCCCTGAGATCCAATACCGTGGGGCGGAGCATCCGATACTAACACAGCGACCTTGTTGCAGTCATTCCTCCACCCCATCGTTAAAGCTCGAGCTAGAGCCGCCGTTGAGGCCTCTGGCCCATCTCCACCACCGTCAGCACCAGGAAGACTTCTCAAATTTGCATGAATTCGAGTGATATCTGACACAAAGTCCCATTGGCGGGTAACGAAAGAGTCCTCCTGGGGATAATGATCGCGGAACCCAATAAATGCGACGCGAAGATCGCCTGGGTGAGCTGAATTCAAATGATCCGATCCCAGTATCTCTGCGCAGATGGTATTAATGGATGATTTGACTGAGTCTATGTATGGTTGTTGACTGCCAGTGAGATCCAGGATGAACAGCAAGTCACTGTACAGAAGTTATACACGGTCTCGAACTATGGGAAATGGACGAAGCATCACTCACAGTTTAAAGCCATGTGTACGCGAAGGAGGTACATTTTGCTTTGTTGCAGGATCCGTCAGATACGTGTATACCATGCGCTTGACCTATGTAGGACATCGAACGACACCCAATGACTATGTATTCTTTTTAGCATACCGAAAAACACTTACCAGGTCCTCGGATACAGGTGCTTTCCTTGTCTCTATATATGGGAGAGACGATCTTCCGACTGGATAGGCCATGGAAGTTGGCGGGCTGTCGTATGTGTCTGAAACTAAGAGAGCTTGTACAGCCTCTGCCTCTGCTTGAGATATCGTTCTGAAATTTGCAGAATCATCATGAACGACGGCGGTGGACGGGGCCTGTTCAATGTAAATCTGTGCTAGGAGATTTCCGACTTGTTCAGCCTCGGGTTGGGCAGTCTCAGGGGCAACGTCGCTGACCTGGGGGCGATGGTTGATGTTGTCCAAGACATTGAAAAGGATTGATAATACGTACAGCAAAGTATCTGAGGGACTCCCTGGCATCGCTGAGTTCCCTATCATCGCTGAGGAACGCCCTGTTATCACTGAGGTACCCCCTGCTATCTTCGATACCCTCCGACTCTAACACTGGAGCCATGGTCAGAAGTTCCTTTGTAGGTTCTGCACTACAGTTCAGTTCCCGCGATGGATGGTCTTCGTGAGACATCGTGACATCCGCCTCCAAGGGAACGCTTTCGATCGCTCCTTCTAGAGTTGGAACCGTCATCTCATGTCCTCGTACAAACTCCACTGCGGTAGACTGTTCTTGTAAAGGAGTGCAATCAGCAATCGCCGTTGCAGTGTGATCTGCCCCCGCGTGAACACCAATCGCTTGAACGTTTTGATCTGTAACCAGGCTCGCATCCAAAGCGCGTACCCCAGCGGTCTGTCCTGGTGGTGCTTTGTGCGAATCAGAGGCACTACAAAGACCATCCGCCGGAGCGTTGTCGATTGCCGGTTCAAGAGGCGATGTGGCAACCGGAGGCGCGTCTGTAATTCCCGTCCACGTGGGCTTTCCCCCAGAATCAACGGCTAATGCTGTCTTGGGAGATTCTGGTGAAGATAGCGAATCGTGTGGACTCGGAGGAGACAGATACACGTCTTTGGCTGACTTATCGTTCAAGCGTGGGCTGTCCGACAGAGTAATTTCAGGGGAGGGTCTTGCCCTTCTGCGTCTGCGATATGCAAGGAACAGTACACAACCACAGACCAGAAGCAGCAGAAGGACTCCCCCAATGACTCCTCCAACAATCGCACCCACCGGAGGTTTATGGGAGCTTGATGATGAGCTTGATGATGAACTTGATGATGAACTTGATGATACATTGGAAGCGCAGGAACCAGCGGCTCCTGTCAAATCGGAGTATGCTTATTGAAGTCAGCATGTGTTCATGGGTTCAACAAAGCGGACATACATATGGCAGCAATATCAGATGCAGCTACTGCACTAAATGTCCCATTTGGCCAGTTTCGAGCTGCGGGACAGTCCCCATGAAAGGGTGGTTTAGTGGTCAGTGATTTACGGACGTACGATTGGAGCCCGCGTAACAAGGTATCGAGATATTGGAAGGCAGCGCTCCTGCATCCGGAGGGATGTATCTTTGACAGATACTTCAGATCGGATCATCAGGGGTCGTGTCATACCAGTTGAAACTCACGTTGTTGTCGACGTTATATTTGTGGGACAATTGGTTATCCACTCATCCCAACTGCACTCTGTTGGCTCATATATACATCTAATAACATCAAAAGACTTACCTCACCAGTGAAGGTGATGAAGAAGTACAGAACATACAGGCGCTAAACAGGTTGTAACTCGCCCAGGAACTGTTTATCATGACATCGTTATTTGCCAAGTCATATATGTGCACTGAGGGCCTACCATGTGCATGCAGTCACATTTGAGCCACTCGGGATAAACGCTTGCTCAGAAGAGAGAGGGGAGATGATAGGGTCTAGAGTGATTTAAGCGCTGACCCATGAAACCGTTGAAAAGGGCTTACATATACATGAGCACCTCTTGTTCACGCCCCGGAACACTTCGCATGGCGTTTGATTTTCCATGTTTTCGGTCCATGATGGACAGATAGACATTGGCATTCAATCTAAGACAAAAGGTAGGCAAGATAAGCTGTGAGTATTGTGGCACGGAGAGGGAGAGATCCTCGCATAAGGATGGAAAGAAGGAGTGCTATATGAGGGATTTCGCACTGGCATGCGAAACTAACAACCAAACTTACCATATATCCAGATGCATTGAAGCCTCGTAAACAATTGAGTTTTTTATGCGATGCCTATGGAATCGGACCGAAACATGGTTCTTCTGTGTGCGCAAATCAACACTTTTAGAACTTGTCCTCCTGAGGGACCTACTGATGTATGTAAGTGGTCGTACGATATGATATGCACGAACTTACAATCGCAAGAATAGATGGCACGGTAGCCAATCTTGTTATAAGGCCCAATCAATTTGAATTCCGTGAAAATAACTCATGGATTGAGTGGTCGCGGAGATAGACACGAAGCTGTCTAGGACCCTAGGTAGATAAAAAAGGGAGATAAGAAGGTACAACTGTTGTCATGCGTCAGATCTATGGTTTGTGCTGGTGAGACTAAAGGGGAGAAATGGCGCGACTTGTCAGTTCTCGCAGGAACGTGGTGATTATCGGATACGTAACGGGCCCACTATAAGTCACGTTCACCAGGTTAGGTTGAACTTACCTAAATTCTGCAACGTCGTAGGCGCAAAGGGCTGTTGATAGTCCTTGCGGAGCCGATGAAGCGAGCACTAACGTTAACAAAAATCACGTGCATATTTTGTGGTTCTCGTTGCGGATGAGGACACGACGGATACCAGCTGACTCTGGCACATCTTCATTGATAGAATGTATTCTAGCTATATCTGTTCAGATCGCGATGGTCCTTGCAAGCTTCTCCGTCAGGCCAGTCGCTCATCGGAGGAGTAATACACGTTCGCTCATATACAACACAACATACATATGCAACAAATTAAAAGACTTATCGACGTGTTCGTTAGCACGAAAAACACGTACATCTGAGTAGCTCACCACTAAAATACGAAGGTCACGGAAAACACAAGCTGAAATGTGTGAGCACAGTCAGCAATCTCAAATGACAAGCGTTGTTTGTATGACTTGCAAATTTATCAGCAGGCTTAAGCTTCATCTACCTGACCAGCTGTCTCGTTGCCTCCAGGTCGCGCATTGAATTCGATTGAAGTCGCCGATCGGTAGGTGGGTACGAGCGGTTGCTGCATGCTTTCTTGGAGATTGAATAGTATTCGAGAAGAAAGAACACTGTGCGCAACAATTTGAGGTCTGAAATGATGAATGTGAGCTTTCGATGACATATATACTTGACCAGACTAACGTGTTTAGCGTTTCGCTGTACGAGAGCTAGGGGTTTTACTCAGTTCTTTGAAGTCGACCGAGACGAAGAAAGAACTCACGGGCAACACAGCGATAACGATCACATTGATTGTAGATATCACTACAGAGATGTCAGCGTGAAATTATTGGTAACAATGGCCTTGATACTTGTGATGCATAACATGTAGAGTAGTCCATCACGATAAACACTCTTCATCAACGCACTATGAGGACCCAGATAGTGTCGATATCTCAAGAATACAGTGGTGGACATAAGAACTGGAAGTGGATTATCAATGAAGGAATTTTGAATCAGATAGTCACCTCACCTATCTCGAAGAACAACAAGAGTGCATACGGGAGGGCACTGCCATGAGCCCCTTCCAACACGCAAGGGGGACCGACTGAAAGGGGATGAATACTAAGACTAAGAAGTGAGACTTGAAACCTCGCCTCCTGGGATCTTCCAATTGACGGGGGCAGCACTTTTAACTACAGACGTCACTAAGATGGCCTGCGCCATATGGGTCAGTGGTGCACAGGGAATCAAAGATATTGTTCTACCGAACCAAAGGAGAGGATACTTATGAGACAAGCCTTGTTTTTGCCAGAGAAGGCGTAGACCCTGAAAATCAACAAAACTGTCGTGCGAGTGTAAATGCACGCTGTAACGTGGTATGCAAAAGTCAACCTTCCGCAGCGATGATGCCCAAGAAGTGTATGCCTGCGGAATATCATTTCCACGTCATGTCATGAAAGCGGTTTGGGCCAACCACTCAAAACATCATTAAAAGATGCACACTATATGTTGATGTGAGTTGCAAATGGCGCCGCACAAATCAAAGGTGCACTCACATCTTGCGTGCCCCATGTCTTGACAGCGGCTGATTAGGAATGAGCTTTTGCGTGGTAGCGCACAGCAGCGTATCTCACAGTATGAGGTCATAAGCGCACCAGCAAAAGGTCCATATCGTGAGAACGTGAAGATGGTCCGAGTGATTCCCCACTTCCGTCCCCAGGTCCATTGGATCTACTAGAAAGATCAGCACCGATGTGTGAAGTGACTGATTTGTCTGACTTCAGAGTGTAAGGTGACAAAATAGTCATAAATCTGGTCATGCATCAGAGCTATAACGAGACTGAAGAGACGCAACTTACCAGGATTGTTAATCCAGCGACTTTGGGAGAGTCGTGAACAATGATAAAACTATATCAGCCCGACTCACTATTAGTATACTTCAATGATTAGAGACATTAGAAAAAGGTTGCACAAAAAGCACGATTAGATTACCTTGGCTAACTGCAAACCGAAGGAGTCCGGGACCGACATTTTCGAGTAGCAATGCGGGTGAGTAGAAGTCTGCAGCAAGTAGTCGCCAATAAGTACTGGAACTCGATCAGAGAACTGGTCAGAAGAGGATATTGACATACACCGTAATATATAGGAAATCATTTCGTTGTGACATTGAAATGTAAAACCCTGTAAAGGCACGACAATCAACATAATAGCCAGCGACTCGGAGAACTCACCAGTTCACTGATACAGTAAGAGGACCAATACCCTGAGGAGTGTGCAGTGATCTAGAACATGTGGGTGCCTTGGATGATCATGATATAATCGGATTCTTGGACATTTTAATTTAGTCCGCCAGGGCTCAGCGGTCGGTCATTTTATCGAGAGCATAAGATACTGGGTTAAATTATAAATGTAAGTAGAAATTGTTCGTCAGAATTCAGGGCGCTCCGGGAGGGTGTAACTGTCGATCCAACCAGTTGCAGCAGTGTGCGTGAGTATCAAAATCATCCAGTCTGAGTCTGGGCCAAAGTTGAAGTACAGTCGACTCCCTCCTAACGCATACCTCTCGGGATAGCCCCAAAAGTATGGCCTATTAGAGAGTATGGGGTATCCAAGAGAGCCATATTCCACTGCTCCGAAGACACAAAATTTGTACTTGCTGACATTAGTATTGCTCTAGTAGGTGCTATGAAGCTATTTACGAGAAAAATAATCAGTCAACGTTGTGTCCTTCATGCCCTGCATTTCGACTGCAAGAGTCTGCTGTCCAAACAACCCTAACATCACCTCGAGCTTGCGTGCAAATGGTTCGTCGAAGGTCCCAAGGTATTTCCTCAATGTTAAGGTAGCCTGTAGCGCTTCACAACGTGTCGGGCCTGGCGCAGGCACATCAATATCTGAGTCATTGTCGTCGTCGTTGCCTCCAGCAGCCTTCTCCCGCAACCTCTTCGCATCCATCACAGACTCAAAGATATCCTCATCCGTCGCATTGAAAATGTTGGTGGTCTCGATTGCTGGGTTCAGAAGTCCTGCAATATCCATCCGATTCGAAGATTGGAGAGCGCTGGTTGCCTCGAGATCATCCAAGGCATTTTTAACAAGTGTCTCGGCATGTGCGGTGGGGTTGTTCGTGGCATCCGTTAGATGGACATAAGCCCTTTTTTAGGATCTCGACAGGCTTCATAATGACAAAGAAGTTGATATTTCAGAGTCCTGGACCATTGTTGTCATCCTGAGATACGGATTACATGATATATTTTCCTATTTTGGTGCTACATCGGCATCATCCGACCCAAGGTATGGGTTATGATTGCCAAAAATACCTATGGGTTATGCTCACGAAATCCCCGCAAACCAACTCGGGAAATCCAAAAATGTATGTCCTATGAGGGAGTATGGGTTATACCTGGTATGTGTTAGGAGGGAGTCGACTGTAGTAGCCTCTGAACGGCCTTAGGCATCGCTTGGCATAACGTTGTTTGAAGTATTTTTACAACTCCGACCAACGCTGAGTTCCGTGTGTCACGTGTTCAATCAACTTGTCCCAACTTCTACTATCACAGTATTAGAGAGCTCTTTGTTGACTCAATTGTTGGCGACGGCCTTTGCTCGCCATATACTCTTAATGGATCATGAAGTATGGAAATTCCTCAACCAGGCGCGATTTGGATCCTTCACAGCTGTGCAAGGTTCTAAACAGCAACGCTGCCCCCTAGTTTCTCGACAAGAAGGAAAAAGTGACGGTACGTGTGAAGGACCAAGGTAGGGTATTGGTGTGGGCCTGACGCGCATCTCATGTCGCTCGAAACGGTCCAGGGTTGTGCTAGCGTGTGTTCAACTGAAATTCGTTTGGTTTAAGACTAATAAATAGGTAATGCGACGTCGATGTCATGCGTACCGTGATTATTGCAATTACATGCGTCATCTGTTTAGGCCGCTTATTCGAGAGTATCCCCGACTCCTAGGAGGGCTTTGTTTTCATTATCGGTTTGCTCTGTGTCGCTCTCGTGGTTCGAGAGTAATAAGTATAAAGTATGATGGCGGAGCCATGGTTTCTCCACACCCCCGGATATGACGAACTTGAATGAGGTAGAAGCTGAAAGCTCTTTTGGATACAGTCAACTCTTCTACACGCCAAGCAATTGCATAATACGAGAAGATTTGACATAGGGTCCCCAGTATCGACGCAACAACCTTTTTCCCCTTCGACCTGACGACAGATACACTGGTCCTCAAAAAGGTGACCAGGTGGCTCGAAAGTGTATACTATCAATTGAGCTCAATACTAGCACCCCCAACACACGGTCGTGGGCATAAGCTTGCAAGCGCGCATTGCAGACCTTCTGGAACACACCTAGAAGGTCTTAGCATGGGTGAGCCGGCTGAAGCAGTCAATTTCGACGAGATCAAGACTTGCGAGCTTTGACTCTCAAACCCCCTTCTTGATGCACATTCTAAAACGCGAGATACAATGTATGTACAGAGTCATCCGTTCACTACTGACAGCTCACTGAATCAGACGTATAGAATTTCGCAAATACAAAACTCAGAATGCTAACAAAATCGGCAATCTGATTTCTGTCATTGTTCGTGTCATTGACCTATAATGTGCGTCATCCAGGATTCGTATCATCATCCATACCTTATCTAGCCTGACATCGATTCTAGGCAATTAATTCTGCTTTCATCCATCGTACTTTCGTTTAGTGCAAGGTTGGAAGTACTTTATCTGTCACGCGGAAATTATCCATAACCCCTGCTTCAAAGACAAGAATCTCGCCATTAATACACCTCGCGTCGATACCTATAATGTCATCGATATCGGTTACCGAGACCCACAAGTTATCTTCCTTATTGGTTGTTGCAACAGCCCACATGCGAGACATGCTAATGGGTGTATGTATGTATGCATGTCTGTATCTCGTGTGTTGCTTTACGTTGATGGTCGTGCTTAGCAGGGTCTCTAACAGAATATCACGGCTGATGCCTCATTAGTACTTTGACTTTGATAGTAGTACACTTGAGGCCTTCTAACATGCTGCCTCACACTGACTCTAGCTCTGCCCTCCTGCCAGCTCTGCACCCTTCCTGGCCCTGCTTTCCTGCTAACCTCGTCTCCGTGAACCCTTATTTGAGATTCCCATTACTTGGTGCAAGCTTGGGCGAGTAGCTACTCCATTCCAGTAGTGGTGTGGGTTGACCTCTAAATCTGTCAAATATACTTCGAAATGCCATATATTGAATAAATACTACGAAGGATCCTCCGCCAGATTTCTCCTCCCTACAGACCACTCGACAAACATGTCCCTATACAACACTGCTAGTTGATATATGTACACGTTCCTTGGAGACAATCGAATTCATGCTAGTTTCTGTGTCAGAGTCAACCATACGTTTTGCATGATACTCTCGAACGCTAAGGATGAGGCGTGGTCCCAGCACACTGAGTATCTGAATTCTACAAGAAATGATGAGCAGTGGCTACATGCAGATGTCGGCGACAGGCTCATCAACGTGTTTGTTAGCATGGAGAACGCATACACCTGGGTGGTGGAGTAGCTCACCACTAAAATACGAAGGCCGCGGAAAACACAAGCTGAAATGTGTGAGCATAGTCAGCAACCTCAAATGGCAAGTATAATTTGTATGACTTGCAAAATTATCAGCAAGTTTAAGCTTCATCTACCTGACCAGCTGTCTCGTTGCCTCCAGGTCGCGCATTGAATTCGATTGAAGTCGCCGATCGGTAGGTGGGTACGAGTGGTTGCGCCATGCTTTCTTGGAGATTGAATAGTATTCGAGAAGCAAGAACACTGTGCGCAACAATTTGAGGTCTGAAATGATGAATGTGAGTTTTCGGTGACATATATACTTGACCAGACTAACGTGTTTAGCGTTTCGCTGTACGAGAGCTAGGGGTTTCACTCAGTTCTTTTGAGATCGACCAGAGCGAAGAAAGAACTCACGGGCAACACAGCGATAACGATCACATTGATTGTAGATATCACTACAGAAATGTCAGCATGAAATCAATGGTAACAATGGCCTTGATACTTGTGATGCAAAACATGTAGAGTAGTCCATCATGATAAACACTCTTGATCAACGCACTATGAGAACCCAGATAGTGTCGATATCTCAAGAATGCAGTGGTGGACATGAGAACTGGAAGTAGATTATCAATGAAGGAATTTTGAATCAGATAGTCACCTCACCTATCTCGAACAACATCAAGAGTGCATACGGGATGGCGCTGCTACGAGCCCCTTCCATCACGCAAGGGGGACCTGCAAGAGGATGAATACTAAGACTAAGAAGTGAGCCTTGAGACTTCGCCTCCTGGGATCCTCCAATTGATGGGGGCAGCACTTATAACTACAGATGCCACTAAGACGGCCTGCTCCATGTGGGTCAGTGGTGTACAGTGGAATAGAGATATTGTTGTACCAAACCAAAGGAAAGGATACTTATAAGATAAGCCTTTTTGTTGCCAGAAAAGGCGTAGACCCTGAAAATCAACAAAACTGTTGTGCGAGTGTAAATGCACGCCGTAATGTGGTATGCAAAAGTCAACCTTCTGCAGCAATGATGCTCAAGAAGTGTAGGCCTGCGAAATGTCATTTAAGTCATGTCGTGAAAGCACTCTGAACCAACCATTTAAAGCATTATTGAAAGGTGCACACTATATGTTGATGTGAGTTGCAATCGGCACTGCACAAATCAAAGGTGCACTCACATCTTGCGTGCCCCATGTCTTGATAGCGGCTAGTTAGGAGTGAGCCTTTGCGTAGTAGCACATAGCGGTGTATCTCACAGTACGAGGTCATAAGCGCACAAGCAAAAGGTACATATCGTGAGAACGTGAAGACGGTCCGAGTGATTCCCCACTTCCGTCCCCAGGTCCATTGGACCTACTAGAAAGATCAGCACCGATGCGTAGGCGACTGATTTGTCTGACTTCAGAGTGTAAGGTGACAAAGTAGTCATAAATCTGGTCATACGTCAGAGCTATAACGAGACTGAAGAGGCGCAACTTACTAGGATTGTTAATCCAGCGACTTTGGGAGAGTCGTGAATAATGATAAAACTATATCAGCCTGACTCACGATTAGTATACTTCAATAATTAGAGACATTAGAAAAAGGTTGCAAAAAGGCACGATTAGATTACCTTGGCTAACTGCAAACCGAAGGAGTCCGGGACCGACATTTTCGAGTAGCAACGCGGCTGAATAAAAGTCTGCAGCAAGTAGTTGCCAACAAGTACTGTGATTCGATCAGAGAACTGGTGAGAAGATATTGACATACACCATGATATATAGGAAAGGATTTCGTTACATTGGAATACAAAGCAATATATGACCCTGTAAAGGCACGACAATCAACATAATCCTCACCAGTTCAGATACAGTAAGAGGACTAATACCCTGAGGAATGTGCAGTGATCTAGGGTGCCTTGGATGATCATGATATAATAATGATGCATAGATTACGATGAGCGTACTGCACATGACCTGATTCTTAGACATTTTACGTTGGTCCGCCAGGGCCCAGCGGCCGGTCATTTTATCGAGAGCATTGAGCATAAGATACTGGGCTCAAGTAGACACTGTTCGTCAAAATTCAGGCTGCTCGGGGAGGATGTTACGGTCGACCTGACCAGTTGCAGCAGTGTGCGTGAGTATCAAAATTATCCAGTTTTCGTTTTCTGGGCCAAAGTTGAAGTAATAGTAGCCTCTGAACCGTGACGGCTTTACGCGACATAACCGAAGTCTTTTTGCAACTCCGACGAACAAAGCGACGCTCTCTGAGTTCAAGTTGCTCCGCATGTCAAGTGTTCAATCAATTGTCACCCAACTTCTATTATCACAGTATTAGAGCGAGCTCTTTATTGACTCAATCGTCGGTGACGGCCTTTGCTCGCCATATACTCTTGTTGGATCATGAAGTATGGAAAATTCTCAACCAGGCGCGATTGGATCCTTCACAGCTGTCTGATCAAGTAAGGTTCTAGACGGCAACGCCGCCCCCTAGTTTCTGGACAAGAATGAAAAAGTGACGGTACGTGTGAAGGTAGGGGATTGGTATGAGCCTGACGCGCATCTCATGTCGCTCGAAACAGTCCAGGGTTGTGCTGGTGTGTGTTCAACTGAAATTTGTTTGCTTTAAGACTAATCAAGTCTCACATCTAGGTAATGCGATGTCGATGTCACACGTACCGTGATGATTGCAACTACATGCATCATCGGTTTAGGCCGCTTATTCGAGAGTATCCCCGACTCCTAGGAGGGCTTTCTTTTCATGATCGGTTTTCTCCGTGTTGTTCTCGTGGTTCAAGAGCATAAATTATGATGTTGGAACCATGGTTTCCCCACATCCCCGGATATGACGAACTTGTATGAGGTAGAGGCTTAAAGCTCTTTTGGATATCATCAACTCTTCTGTACGCCAAGCAATTGCATAATACGAGAAGACTTGACATGGGGTCTCCAGTATCGACGCAACAACCTTCCTCCCCTTCGACCTGACGACAGATACACTGGCCCTCAAAAAGGTGATTAGGTTGCTCGAAGGTGTATACAATCCATTGAGCTCAATACTAGCACTCGTGGGCATGAGCTTGCAAGCGCGTATTGCAGACGTTTTGGAAAACACCTAGAAGGTTTTAGATCTTAGCATGGATAAGCCGGCTGAAGCAGTCAATTCCGACGAGATCAAGACTTGCGAGCTTTGACTCTCAGACCCCTTCACCACCTTGACGCATATTCTAAAACGCGAGATACAATGTGTGTGTAGAGTCATCCATTCACTACTGACAGCTCACTGAATCAGACGTATAGAAATTTCGCAGAGCCATACTCGGCCTAACTGAGGTGAACGGCGCTTTCTGCAGTGCTGTATGGTAAGCAATCACCTCTGAATTGTCAACATGACCGCAATTTGCCGGCCATGGATGGATGTTACCATAGATATGCCCACTTTATGGTGCAATGCTCGTGAGACTTGTGCGTGAAGACTAGGAGTGGCGAGCCCTTTCCTATGACCTGTGGCTCAGGCATTCCAGAGGATGCACGCTCTCGCTGGCACTGTGGTCACCCAACTTCAACACAAGTGAGTGGGTCTGCCCTTGTTTCATCCTTCAAATATGTAGTGCAAGACACACTTACGTATGCCCTTGGCTGTTGCAGAATGTTCCATACGGTGATCAATCGGGCCACGGTGTACGCTCTGTGTTACTGCTACTGTATGCTATCAAGCTTCGCAATGTGCTCATATCTCTTCGCACCTTGAAGGTACTTTTCAAGCGCAAGGAAGAATATGATATGTCGCCGGCAGGATTTATCGGGGATCAGACTTTCGGATTGCTTGTTTTATTCCGAAGCTCAAAAGTTCGATGTGCCTGTTTGAGTGGGGCGACAAGTCACAAGTTATAATGGCACGGGATGCAGAACGGTCTGGAACGCAAAATTGGGTCTCCAATGCGGAGCTTAGCAGCGTCTCGTTGCACGTCGGGATTCAAATAAAGGTGTGATTCGAACATTATCAGGCGGACCCGGTATTCACTATCGTACAGATACATTATTGTTTCAAAATTCAAAAGACTCAGACTCTTTTTCCGCATTCACTAATATGCATATTCGAAAAAATTGTGGGTGGGACCAGGCAGATGCCACCGCGTCTTCACCCAATTGTAACCTGCTGGGGTTGCTGGTCTGGTCCAGCCTTCGGGAAGCACACGGTGAGCAATCCATCCTCCATCTTTGCGTGGATATCCTCAGCCTGGACAATACGTTGGCCGTACGCGCTAAATGGCTGCACAGAATTTGGATTGTCAGTGTACTCTCACCTTGATTCCTTGAGGAATCAAAAGGGTCCTGGAGAACTTGCCAAATGAGCGCTCCTGCACCGCATAGCCGCCCTTGTCATAATTCTCCAAGTATTTCGACTCCCCGGATATTGTCAGGCGATTCCTATGGACCTCGAGATTGATATCCTGTTGTTTCATACCAGGGAGTTCGAATATCGCGGTCAGTGTCTTGGTCTCAGTATTCTCGTGTAGGTCCATTCTGTGTTGACGCGGCTTAGCGCTGTAGAGTGTTTAATAGATTGAAGGTAATAGTATACCTACCTGGGGAACGTCTGATCACGGCGATGAGTACTGTGGGTGGTAGAAGAAGGACGGAGACGAGCATTGAAAGGATCGTCAAACAACATGTCGAACTCGGTGATTCAATGGATCGCAGAATGTGCGCACTAGAGACATGATTAAGTAAAGAAATGGTAGAAGTGCTTTAGTGGATAAGTCTGACTTGGAGACCAGCTGTAGTTATATACATGATACATAAACATTCGTGACGACATCATGATACAACTAGCTTGTATGACATCAATGAATGATCAATGAATGGCGTAGTCAGTCTATTACGTAGTGGGACTAGATCTAACTTTAGTCTGGGCGTAGTGGCTATGGCTATTTTGACGCGCTATCACCTTTCATTGCAACGGTCAGCTTCGATATTTTTTGGGAGACTAACCTTTGTCTTCGCATTAACCAACAAACAACATGATGCCCCAGGCAATCAAGGGAATCACAGAAGTATTCGGGTTGGACACCATCAATGCACTGCAGACAATCGTAAGTGTCTACTTGTATAGCACTCGCATCTGCATATAATAATATTTGTTCGCTTCAGCTCGCATGTTCCGAACAAGTGACCGTATGTCTATGGCGACATTAATACTAAATATCGTTTCATTGACGATTCCTAGATTCCAGACCTGGAAACATCATGTTCCAGGTTTCCAAATACCGATCAGTCTGTCACCCACAACGACCAGAGTATCCACGCCATCATTTCCGAACGCCAACGACAGCTAGATGCAGTTTTGCACGAGATTTCAGGCCTGCAATCTGTGATGGATGGTATCAAGAATATTCACCGGCAACTACTCAAAAAAAAGGACAGGATTAGACATTCAATGATTTTGCACAAGGGACTCGTATCGCGTCTCTGGCGCTTGCCAACTGAAGTCCTGTCACAGGTTTTCCACCACTGTCTCCCGGACCACTGTTTCCCAGAATCAAACCGCCCATCAGCGTTAGAAGCTCCCGTCTTGTTAACCGGAATATGCCGACGATGGAGGGAGGTTGCTGCTGAACACACCCAGTTTATGGTGCAGGGTATCTGTGGGGTTTGACAACTTGCGATACTACTACCTTGAGGAATTACAAGCCTCCCGCTATGACGTATGGCTCAAACGGTCGCGGGGACATCCGCTCTCGTTGTCGCTCGTCTGCGAGGCAGATGATGCGGCCAGGCTCCAGAGCCTTCTTCAGCCCTACATCAATCAAATTTCGTCTCTGTCTATCATATTTCACGAAGATGTGGTCGAACCCGAACTTTTGTTAGACGACCTCCCAGTACTTCGGGAGCTGACCATACGAACCCTGAAAGAAAACAGGAATAGACACAGCCCATCCATCGGAAAGTCTCTCTCACGACTACCGGCCACTTTGCGCAGCCTCAAGGTCGTTGAATGGTATTTCAACACCACGCAAACTTCTTTCGGTCCGGCAGGGTCACACCTGACAAATCTCGATGTCGCCACACTGCTGCACCAGAGCACAGTTATTCATCTACTCCAGCTATGTCCCAATCTCTCCTCGTTCAAATTTTGCGGACAATTCGACACAAATGAAACCCTAGATTCATTTACGCACACCAATATCCAAACCTTCCGCGTCTTAGCCCGCTGTGACGCCTCATCCTATTTATCCGGGCTATTCAATGCTCTATCGCTCCCGAATTTGCGGGTGCTTGAAAATTACTGCTCTGGCAGTGTCCGATACCCTGATGAGGAGCTGAAGGCATTTTTTGCGCGGTCAAAGTGTCCCCTGGAGAGATTGATTTTTAGCAGTCGCGGGAAGCCGACGATGACAGATGAGGTGCGAGCGAAATACATTAACATTTTTCCTTCTATCGAGATATCACTAGTAGAGGATCTGTTTGCATTCTTGTATTTGTGATCAGTGGTAACACACCAGAAACCAAACTGGTCGTGGAACTTCCCCCAGCTTGTCGCTACGAACTGAGCGCTGTACTCCCACAAGCGCCAGTCCCTGCATTCCGCAGTATGACTGCCAACCCAGGCTTTCATATGGCTAGCACTCGCGTCTCTACAGTACGACGTGTGTATGCAGCGGGAGCACAAGACCAAGTCCCGATTTTCGGAGAGGTTCTCTCCCCAGCAAGACCTGCTACATCTTGGCTTCCGCGTGCAGTTGCTCGTCCCACAGCACAGCAACCAGGTGGTCTTTCCTTCCTTGCGGAGTAAGCGGTTGTTCCGTTGCATGCACGCACCTTCTCTCACAAAGTTGCTCGAGCATGTCAAGGGCTCCGTTGATGACGCGATATCGCGTGGATAGCGGTACAAGGATCAATCACCTTCACTCGATCCTGGAGGAGCTTGTCTCAGAGTGCGCTAGGTTCAAGAGAGGCGATGACTGGGGAGAACGGAGCAAGATGATTAGCTGGTGCATCGGAAGTTCATTGTTAGATTCCTCTCGGACTCACGCTGGAGATATCACGCTTATGTATTTGCCATCGGCCTCGAACAGATACACTCATGCCTCCATCTTTCTCCTCTGCTTTGACACCTCCCAAAGGCATCCCGTATAGTCTGAGTGAGCTTCCGTTTATCCTCTCAAAGACAGTAGGTATGAAGGTATCCCCTGCCCGAACGAAGGGCCGATGGGAAGAAAGGATGTAGGTCCAGATCGAGTGTGCCAACATCGGGGCTTTGGATCGAGAACCAGGACGTCAGAGATGGACGAGAAATCCCATAATTCGAATTTACAAGAATCCGCTTCTTCTTGCGTTTTGCGAACGTTTCTTTCGCGGGGCCATCCTCGTCGCGTCCGATATCGATAGAGGAGTGACTCGGAGCCGATTAAGACTTACTTCCGGAGTCCGCAGACTCCGCAATGGGGCGTCATGCATGTCCCATCATGGTCGTATCCACCTTATCCGAGTCTTAACTATATCATCCTACGATCTCCGCGGGAATCCATCCTCTTCCATAGAATGTAAAGGCCCTAGCTTCCACGTAGTAAAACGAGCCTTCGATATACCGGGTCCGCATGGATACACGCCAGGATGGGTCAGAAAAAGAACCACACGGACAGTGCAACAACGTGGCCACGTCTGAGTACTTCGAGAACGTGTTACTACCACGGCTCAGTCCGAGTGCCCGTCGGTACTATGACTCTTCCACATTAATGCCACCGATTTGCCAGCAGGTCCCAAGTTACGCGGTGCACTCGGCCTGCTTTTTGTCGGTTAGTGACACCCTCGGGTTCGAATTATCCCAACTAACGAATTATTATTGATATTATAGCTTCAAACCGCGATCGCCTCCGAGCTGCAGGTGAAGGTATGTGTCTATCGCCCTAAAAGTGGAACGAGCACAATGAGTTCATGAGTATTATTACAAATTCCATGTGGGAGCTGCTCTTTTCACTGAGAATGGCGAAATAATTAAAGGTGTTGATATCGGGAACGCCTCGTACGGTGATTACGGTCTTTCAAGACCTTACTTGGCTCTCAGTGTTATTCATCCATCACACATAGGTGGTACGATTTGTACAGAGCGCAAAAAAGGCGGTGGTGCGTCCACCTTATCTGGTAGCGCTTGACAAAATATCTCGAGATCAGAATGAAGGGCAAGCGTAATTTTGCAGCGCTCGCTGTCACAACGTATGTCGTTATTATCCTCGCTCCAAACCTTACACTAATTACCTCCTAACGATGTTGCCTCGCTGATTGTGCCTTGTGGGACCTGTCGTCAAGTAATTCACGAATTTTGTCCCTTCGACATGACTATCCTGTTGGCTGCATCTTCCTACACTGAGAAGGAGAATATACTCTTTTACTTCCATTTGGTTTCGGACCCGAGGACTCAGAAGAGACGTGGTTAAGCTCTCTTTTGATACCTATTTGAATTCATCTTAAGGTAATATCATATCTTATAGGAATGAATGATTTTGCAGTCTTATTAGCAGGAACAAAGTGTCATGTTCTAAGATGAGGTCTAGACTAACCTGTCGCCCGAAATGATTCAACTGGTCGTGTGGCTGTGAATGACAGCTGTCACATTGGGAGCAAGCGATCTACTGGAGCTGTACAGTGTACACACAACACCATACAACGTGCACGGGTACTACATATTTTTGACCCACAACATCCTGCATGACTCCCTGGTACAGGATAGCCGATTTCATATGCTTAACGTTTGCTTATCTTCTTTATTTTGGTTACACATCTGCTGCAGATACAGAACATACAATGAACTACGTCAACGTCGTCACGATGAGTGGAGCTTCTTCGTCGATTACTGTTATCTCTATCTCATTTTCAACAGCGCTCCGTGATGCTGATATCATCGGGATATTCGGTTGAGGCTTGGTCTTCATATAGAACAGTTTATTGGGTAATATTCAAGTCCATCTACGAGATTGCAGTCGGCGTAGTAGAAGCCGCAGAAAACCACATGGGCCATAGTCTTGATAGACAGGTCTTCTCGAGAGGTCTTATCCGATTAGATCGATTAGGCTGAGGTGGGCACTTGTATTACTAGTGGCATGGGCTTGGCATGAGCTAACAGGTACTTGGCCAGATAGTGAAGCGGGAGTAAGCCCCTCGCGAAAAGGGTGAAAAGGACTACGTGGACAATAAATATGGATAAATAAAATCTCTACGGTAAGCGCCAGCGGTCTTGTTTTTAACTCCGCGTTTGACTTGAGACGCTGACCACTAGCTCGGAGCTCACGATGGTGTAGTCCGAGCTTGACTACCAAGGAGTCCCTCCTACCGGTATATTATATTACTTACAACAACACATACGCAGCCGAACGTCAGGTACCCTCGATCTTTTCTCGCCTGCGAATTCAGTGTTCGTTAATATTGTAAGCCCTATCATCCGATATAATTAGTTTGATTAGGATCGCACGAGCTGTCGACCCCATGACCCCACATAGCTGTGATTGCAGGCACCCGACACCTCAGTGACAAGGCTTATTAATAGAGTGCATGGTGTATGATAGGCTCCAAGCATGTGGTCTGCCAGCTAAAGACATATTTGCTATCCTCGTCATTCTATCAGACCACCATCGCATTAATTACAGCGGAGTTCACGAGTGACAGGGGTTGGCGCTAAGCCTGGATTGTGCTTATTGCTTTTAATGGAACGTTGCTGCAAGTGAGCATTAGACAAATCAAGGTCTGGCACGGTAATAACGCATCAAGGGGTCGTAGGCTCCGGTGCCTGTTACCCTTCTTACCCTCGGCCTACTGCCCACCACGCCGAACATGCAGTCTCGATCCACCTACCAAACTACCCTCCCCACTAGGCCTAATTGTAAGTACAACCCTACCCCTGAAACCCTCGCGCCGATCCGCGCCTGAGTGTGACCTCTCGCCACCTCCTGCTTTCACCCAGCCATTACGAAAATGTTGGAGTGCTTATTTTTAGCTTTATTCAACTTAGTAAACAACAGATGCCATTCAAGGAAGACTACACACAAGATAAGGAGACATCAGAAAATGTTATATCCAAGTAAAGTCGTGAAGGAGGCATGTCTCTATGTTTGAAGCTCGTCCAACTTCAACAAAAGATCCCAAAACGGCCAACACGTGCAAGGATGTTGGCAATCATACGAGGGCGTGAGCACCAAAAGGCACCGGAGAAGGACAACGGCAGCGAAAATGACAGACGAGTAGAGTTTGGTGCGGTGGAAGGCGTATGCACTGATGAAACTTGTCTTAGGAGTTCGATGAGTGCGGATGGCAGGTATTCTGGATCGACCTGGGCAAAGAGATGGGTGATAACCCGAGTTGCAGGTTGAGTTAATTGAGGTTTAAGCTTTAGGTGGCGGCTTTCGTACAGATGAATCGTCGATGCCGTTCACATCGGCGTTGGCGAGCTCCAGAATGTTGTCCTGTTCATGGCCAAGATGTTCTTGCCGCCATTGTTCCTACTACTCGGGTGGGTCAGAGGCACATTTGCAATTGATGAAGTGTTCGAGGCGTTGTCATTACCGTTACACTGCACGTACGTACGTTGTTCTTGTCAACATTTGGGAGCCGAAGTGCTTCCAAAGGGCAATCATTACAGGTAACTGTCACAAGGCACTGCATCAGTAAGTTTTAATTAGAAAGAGCTGTGTAGTGCCCTGTTACCGTTCCGAAGTAAATCGGCTTCTAACAAGGTGGTTCCTGAACATCATTACATCAGTGGCAAAGACCTCAACCACCGCTCAGTAAGCATATTTCTTCCAAGTCTTGAAGCTCACCACCCTCGCACGTATCCTGTTGTGCGCAAAGATCGCAAGTTAATAGAATGAGTGAAGACGATAATAAATAAAAAAAGCTTCGTACCTTTCTCCAACACAGTTTGAGGGATCCAACGTTTACCAGTTGAATAGTACTAGTAAGAGTGTGTAGTGGCAATAATAGCGTCAATCGAATGGTAACATGGTTTCTGAAACATAAGCAGAGACAGGTCACACATCACTCCGACCCTTGTGATGAGAGAACCGACTCAGACGTGGCACCGGACCTGGTCGAGTCTTACCGATGCCAAACACAAACCTACTAGTTCCGCATGATGTAACAAACAACGACTCGCATGACACCGCATCATGATATACAAGCGATTCAGGCAGGCAAGGCACGAGCTTAGCAGTATTAGTACAGATGAAAGAGCGATAGCGCGGTTGAGAAATTACAGTGGGAGGGGGGCAAGCACAATGCATTTGCAAATTCACTGGAAATGAACAGCGGCGCGTCTCCCTAATGTGGCAAAGTCATGATATCCTAATCTATTCAACATTTTTCAAGCCTGTGCGGAAAAGTCATCCGATACGAATATGTTGAATTATCGCATGGTGCAGGTTATTACCCAAAGAGAAATGATCTAGGCATGATAAATACCCGGTCAGCAATATTGCCTGTCATAATCCCATCATGCCGTTCTCCCCTTCTTACGACGTACTCATCGTTGGTGCCGGTGTAGCAGGGCCGGCCCTTGCCCATGCCCTCGCCACAAAGACATATGCCAAGCGTGCCGCTCCTTTGCGGATAGCTCTACTCGAGCGGTCCTTGTCAAAGCCAGACCGTATTGTCGCTGAATTGCTCCAGCCTGGCGGCGTTACTGCGCTTAAACAGCTTGGTCTGGAGTCATGCCTTGCGGATGTTGGCTCCGTTTCTTTGTCAGGTTATTACGTTCTACGACAGGAGAATGGCGTTTGCGCCTCATTCCCTCAAGGCCATGATGCCCGAGCTTTCGACCATGGGGCATTTATCATGGCCTTGCGCGACCGCGCACGGCGTGCGCCCAATGTTGACGTGATTGAGACCACAGTAGCCGGTCTTATCGAGAGCGAGGACACACATCGCGTAATAGGTGTTCGCGCCTCCAAAGCGGGTGGTCAGCTAGAGTCATATTATGCTGATCTCGTCGTTCTCGCGGATGGTTCCTCATCCAAGTTTAGAACTGCCGTCCTCGGGAACATGCCGTATGAGCCTGTGCAAAAGGGTTACTTGGCAGGTCTGATTGTGAAAGACCTGAAGTTGCCGATGCCCAAGTATGCTACCATGATCGTCCTGAAAGGCGCCGGACCGGTCATCCTTTTTGAGCTCCCCAACAACGAGTATCGGATGCTGGTCGAAATGAAGGAGCCGCCGCCAGATCTCAAGGTTTGTAATTATGCCTTGTTGTGCGGTCGCGATCGCCCCCACTTACTATCAATATTGCAGGAGCATATGATACGCGACGTTGTTCCTCAGCTTCCATCATCCGTACGCGCGCCCATTCTCAATGCTATGGAAACGTCACGTCTGCGACGAGTCCCGCATTATTATCTTCCGGCGATAAAGCAGGGAGAATCTAGCAAGGCAGGCGCGTTTCTGCTAGGAGATTCGTTAAATATGCGCCACCCGCTGACTGCGGGTGGAATGACGGTCGCCTTGAATGACGCGGTCATCCTTTCTGATCTTCTGGCCAACATCGAGAACTTTGGCAACTGGGATGAAATCTCGTCCGTCCTCCGGAAGTGGCACCATATGAGAAAACCGCTCGCATCCACTATCAATACCATGAGCATGAGTTGGGCTGGCCTATTTGCAGCCGAAGGTACGCCGATATTAACTGTCGATTGCTTGAAGGCTTATGATTGTCCACGTGCGTAGGAGAAGCATTCGATATCATGCAGGAAGGAGCATTCAAGTTCTTTGGGAAAGGTCCCGAGTATTCCGAAATACCAATGTCATTAGCAGCTGGGTCAGTAATACATCGGTAATTTGTCACGATCGCGCTCATCTGGTTCCGGAATCCCTAGGATCACTCAATCTCCGTTACTGCTGGCACGAAGTTCTCTTGCTATAGCGCTTTACTCCATTTGGGTGTTATTCACCCATCCCAGAGCTGGAAGTAAATACGCTCCGCCATTTTACGAATACCCGATGCTTCTGGTTAAAGCACTGAACGTCGTAAGGTCATTTAACGCGCACTTTGGAACATGCTGACCGACTTCCATTGTATAGATATGGACTATGGGCATGGTGATGGGGCCGGTGTTATGGGCAGAAATGTAACATTCTTGCGACCTACATGAGATCAGTAGAGACTTCCGATATTATGCCTCACGTATTGCGTCACCCACGATTAATGTATTCTTCCGACTCGCACACTGCTCCAGCAGACTTTACAGCTGGTATAAAACCATTTACATAGTAACAACCGATATAAGGCCTTGATATAGATGGTGTTGGGGGCCACAACGCTTGCCATTGACAAGTCATACCGTGTTCATGTTGACATCGTTGTTGATAATGTATGTGCTGTCGACGTGCCTCGTTGACTGATTTCCGAGTGGCTTCAAAAATGGGGGGACGTCGGATTAGGTCGAGTCGGAAGCGACACTTGGTTCACTTGGAGATTTCGCCGACGGCTGTTTCACCAGCATCAGACCGAAGAAAACCAAGAGATCATGCATAAACACTTTTTGGGCTGTAGAGAACACTCATCCCTCTGCACACCGCCTACTTCGTAGATTGATCCTGCGTCCGCCTAGCCCAGGCGATGCATCTAGCACCGTCTTTCTCTCCTTCAGGGTGGGTTGCTCCTGCAGGATAAGCGAACCCTCCAACTATACCTGAAGACGAAGGAAGAACGCCCGGTGGTGATAACGCGGATCCTCTGGTCTTTGTGCAGGGCAGATTGGTTGGTATTTGGAAATATGGAACATAGCGCTTCAAGGTCTGAAACGTAGTGATCATACAATGCGTTATGCTGGTCGCTTGTTCAAGCTAAAAAGAACAGGGATTACGCGAGGGGCAGGTGGCACGTGGTTGAGTTAGGTCGAGTTAGGTGGTCCAAAGTTCGCTGGGAGCACGTCTTTTCGAAGTCCAGGTGGCGATAATTATCCGGCTGCAGCAGATCGTGGTCAGTTCTTGACTGGCCTGGATCAAAAAGGAGTATTGGAAAAGGAATTGCCGGGACGGTATGCAGTGCAGCAGAAGTAGACTCGGACACAATGCGACTGACCATGATCCTCCTGCTCAGATAGTTTGATTAATTCTCCTTGCGTTGCTCTGGCGTGGACACATGGGAGGTTGACGATGTATATTCGAGAGATAGTGCGACTGAGAAGACATACAAGCTCGATGAGGAGAACCCATAGCAAGCTCATGCGCCGAAGGTAAGCAATGGCGCAGTGGCCATGATTTTGACCCACAAGAATTACACAAAAATATTGTAACTCTATTCCTCCGCTTGTGCCTCGTTATTACGTAATAGAGTAAATTTCAACTCGCTCGCGGCTCAATTGTATACTGATATCATCATGTTGTCATCATGCTCTCCTAACTTTGCTCGTGTTGGAGGTACCACTCAATATTATAGCATTTGTTTCATTTGCTGTGTTCCCTCGTATTCTGGCCTATTACATCCTTGCTTCACTCGCCTTAGCGAACAACATGCAGACACCCCACCCGGAATTCAATATCTCTGAGTCTGTTTCAGATATCATCGGTGCACTACAAAACATCGTAAGTGCTAAGTTTCTTGAATTAGAATCCGTGTCAGCTGAGAATAACAATAATCCATTCCAGCTCGCACGCTCGCAAGTGATTGTACGTCTACTCCTTTTATTTCGACATATCACATGTCATGTTACTGACGATTACTAGATTCCAGTCCTTGAAACTCCATACTCCAGATTCCCCAATACAGAGCACTCTACCGTCGAGCTCGAACGTCAGAGCGTTATCAACATTATCGCTCAGCGTCAGCAGCAATTGGATACAGTTCTGCACGAGCTCTCGGGCCTGGAGGCCGTGATAGATAGCGTTGTCAGCATTATCGCTGAGCGCCGGCAGCAATCGGATGCAGTTCTGGACGAGATCTCTGATCTGGAGGCCGTGATGGATAGCGTCAAATATCATCATCAGCAAGTCGTCGAAAAGAAGGAGAAGATCATGCAGTCGATGGATTTGCACAAGGGACTCCTATCGGCTCTCTGGCGCTTTCCAACGGAAGTCCTATCCCAAATATTCAACCACTGTCTCCCTGAAATCATATTTTCGCTATCCCCATTGAGGCTCGGAGTCAAAGCCCCCGTACTGTTAACAAGAATATGCCAACGATGGAGGGAGGTTGCTGTGGGTACGCCCGATCTATGGTGCAGGTTGTATGTGGAAGCCGACGACCGAGGCTGGGAGCAGGCAGCTTTCTGTTATGACTTGTGGCTCAAGCGTTCACGAGGACGTCCGCTCTCATTAGAACTCGGGCACCACTACTCGACCAAACTACGAAGTCTTCTTCAGCCTCATATGAGGCATATAAAATTTCTCCGAGTCTCTGTCGATTACTTCCGGGGTAGACACCCTCAGCTGTTTGCTACTGACCTCCCAGCACTTCAGGAGCTGACCATATTGGGAATGCGAAATCATGATATTCCAACTATTGCACAATTTATCTCGCGACTGCCGTCCACTATGCGCTGTCTCGAGTTCATTAACATAATGCCGCGTTTCGACATCGAGGACTTGTCTTCTTTAGGCCCCGTATGGGCTTACTTGACGGATATCCAGATCGCCGTATGTAACCCGAACGCATTCCTCCATTTGCTTCAATTATGTCCCAACCTCTCTTCCTTAAATGTCCATATAGGATCCGACCGAAAAAAATCCATGGAATCATTCACGCACACAAAATTACAATCCTTATGCATCATCCTTTATGATGGGCCCTTGCTCACGCGCCCTTTATCTGACCTGTTCAATGCTCTATCACTCCCCAATTTGCGCGCGCTTGGAGCTCACCGCAAAAGCTACAGTGGATCTTCTTGGCTTCATGAGGATATGCAGGCATTATTGGCACGGTCAAAGTGTCCCCTGGAGACCCTGACTATCGGTCGAGCGAAGATAACAGATGCGCAACGAGCAGAGTATGTTTCCCTCATTCCTTCCCTCAAAGTAGTGAATCACAGTAGTAGATACTTTTGGTAGTCCTGGGTATCTACATATATGATTCAAACGCCGATCAGTACTCAAGTACTCAATAGTTGGAGACATCCGAGTCGTACCCATCGCACTGCGGAGATATACATGCCTAGGGCATCTGTCACCTCAGGCTGGAGCGACTCCGAGTGAGCGTCGGACTCCATTCGAATATTCCACGGTGCTAGCGTTGTTGGCAGAAATACGATGACCTAGGTAGTATTTGTTCCTATTAACAAACAATAAAAATTTGACATGTGGCCTAGAAGCCCAAGGGCCGTTCTGTCCAAAAACTCGTGTCCGACCACTTTGTTAGTACGTAGTAGTTAGTAAGTTACTGGGGAGAAAGTCAAAAATTGGTCAAAAACAACTCAAATCACTACTTTTTCACATGCACCTGCTCAGCACAACGGCATCCATGGAAGGCCACGACAAACATCTAATTGACTGAAAAATATGATGCCTTTGATCACTAGGGTTCGGCGTTGCCGAATCTGACCTTGCTTGCCTGCATAGTCTTGGATTTTTCTCAAGTTGTTGTCGCCTACTGCAAGATCTTCCGCGATTTATGGTGCTGTTGTATACTTTACAACGCTTCGAGATTCACGATTGGGGCCAAAACAAAGACTTCCTCCCAATTGAAGTTGAGGGGAAACTATGCCACGAATTTAAAATCAAGGATGAAAAACTTGGAGAGGTGGATCTGCTGCTTCACACCAGCCACGACGAAAGAGTGATGCACTACGGACTGCAAGGACGGGCGACCAATGTGGTCCCTGTCACCAGCGAAGCGCTCATGAAGAAATACGGCAAGTTCGAGGATGGGATGGTGGCCAAGATCTTTTGGGGAGAGGCAAGTCGCACTAGCGAGCCGGAGATCCTGAAAAAGGTTGAGGAGATCGCCAAGAGGCACGCAACTGTCCAAGACCATGTTCCTGAGCTGCTTTGGCACCACACGTTCATGAATCCCACGTCCGCAATTCGAGAAGCGCTTGACGTTCCGGAACCCACTACAGGCAGTCGCGTGCTCTACATTCTTGTGTTCCGCAAGCTCTTCCCCATCACTCAGCTTCACGGCAAAGAGCTTTTTGATGTATGGCGTCAATGCATCCTATGTACGTGTTTAATCGAATTTACATGGCTTTCATTGACATGGCATCTAGGCCATCTTACCCTTTGGAAGGAAGGGGTCCATCATTGAGATGTCAGCCCTGGAAATCTGATGTGGTACTGGAGAGACGACAAGCGGATAGGCGTTCTAAACGACTACGATCTATCCTCATTGGTGGGTGACCCAGGTCCTCGGGGTAACGAACGCACGGGCACGGTGCCGTTCATGGCACTCGATCTTCTCACCAAAGAGGGTCAATGAGGTGAAGTAAAACACTTGTATCGTCATGATTTGGAGTCGTTCATGTGGTGCTTCGCTTGGATTTCCTTGCGTTACAAGAATGGAGTTCTTCTATCACGGAGATTACGCCCCTTGGATGAATGGGCGACTTTAGGCGCTGTGGCATGTGGCGAGAAGAAGTATGTTTTTCAGGGTCATATGACAGCTTCTGCACCCTCCGAATCGAGCACATGGGATTTCCTGGTGGACTGTTTTTTGGTGCTTAAAAGAGATGCTGACGAGCGATACTATCTTCGCCTTAAACGGTCGTCGAGCTCAGAAGGCCAGCAGCCCAACGCTCATGACCCAGAACCCAATGCTTTTCTATATAGATTTACAAGTTTAGAGAGTTGGACCAAGCTCAGTAAGCCTGAGTAATTTTTTTTTACTTGTACATACCCAATATGCGGTTCTCTGCGTATCACTACTCGTAACTTTCAGTTGTAGATTCACAATACAAGTGGTCGACTGTTCATTTCCCATAGAGTCGTGCGTGAATATTTGAATGCTGGAAGGGAGTCAATATCTCGAACAAGTACGATGTATCCGATTGCATCCAAATCCTGGCTCTGAGTTGCAATGATGGAGTGACGTTGGAATCCCTTCGATTCTGAGAATAAATGAAAAATCAAATTCCTAGAAGAACTCCTGACTCGGAGGGGCTCGAAGTGACTCGAAGTAGTATCATGATTGATTGGGTACAGAACGTAGCCTAGTGCAGAACATAATTTATGTGGTAGACAGCTGAATCCCCTCACCATGAAAAACATGAACTATTTGACGCACTGCGCATTATTGACAAGGTACTACCATTTGTCAATTTGCACTTAGTATAGATATGGACTATGAGCATGGTGATGGGGTCGGTGTTATGGGCAGAAATGTGACATTCTTGCGACCTACATGAGATCAGTAGAGACTTCCGATATTATG